CCTGGTATTACAAACGGGTCAGAGGGTGAGATCTGTTAACAGAAGGCCACACAAGCTAACGGGCAAAAAGTAACTCAGTGTTACGGAAACAAATGCCGAGAGGGAAAACTACAGAACGGAGCTTTTGATAGAAATTCTACAGGATGGAACATGAACAAATAGACATTTCAGAAGAAAAAAAAAGAAAAGTTGCAAAGCACAGATCAATCGTCCCAAAGCAAAAAAGAATGTTACTTTCCCCCCCTCTTCTTTTGCTTAAATACAAAAGAATTGTACCCCTCCCATTTTTGGTCCATCTGTTTTACATAGTGAGTACAAAAAAACCCAAACGTTACTGATTTGATTGGACCCAAATGTGCTGCTCGAGGCTCTTTTATACATCCAAAACTTGTTTGACCCTCCCTTCTCCTGCCCTGCACCAACAAAGCTCCCCTCTGGATCCCCGAGTGTTCACGGGGCTGCAGGCCGGTCGGCGGGTGTGTGTGTCTGTCTGTGTGTGTGTGTGTGTTTTTGTGGGAACGAGGAGTCTGGTTCCCGCTTATTGGGTCGCCATGTATCAAACCACCTGTAGAGGTGGAAAAAGATTGTGCGCCAGTACGGTTTGCTGTTTGATTGTCGCATGCAAACATCTCAGTGGCAGACACGACCAACGGAGCGCTGGATGTGATTTATTTAAGCCGTTTGAAGCCGTATTTTGGCATATTTGATTTATGCAGGTATTCGGTCACAAACCAAAGTATTGCACAAAACAAAACTTACAAAGGCCGTTGCGTTTGTTTTTGATGATATTAAAAACCACAAACCGAGCCAGACATCTGGTTGTAGTTATGGATCCAATCCGCAATCTGAACAGCAAAATCAAGACAACTACAAAATCTGCCTATTATCACCTGAAGAATACATCGAGGTCTCAATGGGATTTGTAAAAACGTGTCCATGGATTCATCTCCAGTGGACCGGACTGTCGGTCAGGATTTTATTTTTATTTTTTAAACTGCACGGTTCTTGTTTCAATGACTATTTTCAATGTTTCAATCAACGTTGTTAATTGTTTTTAAATTACGTTATGTCTCAATGCTTTTAACGTTTCTATATGAGGCACTGTGAATGTCCTTGTTGTTTAAATGTGCGATACAAATAAACTTGCCCTCGAATGAATTTCCTCCAAACCACAGACGCCCACCTCATGATAGTACCTGGTGATGAGTCACGGCTCTTTTATTTAAGCAAATGCAGCGATGCCGAAATGTCACACACACACACACACACACACACACACACACACACACACACACACACACAGGGAGAGTAGTTTCATTCTCTGTTGAAATGCACATTACCATTTCTTGTTTACTGCAACATTGATGAGCAGATTATGAATTTTAGAGCCGTAAAACACTATTGTGGTGGTTTTCCTAGTTAATATAAATTGGGTTCGACATTTCCTGGCGGTGAGTAACTTCCTTTTATGGGATTTTTTGGAATGAAACTCCACAGCCAGTTGATAAGAGGAAATAAATCCACCAGCGACAAGCCAGTTTTTTCTGCGCCCTGGTTGCGGGCCCTGCTCGGCGATCCCACATCGTGTCCGTGCTCATTTCCATCAGGACCAGGCGCTGCGACGCACTCTGGCATACATCATCCCACACACTTGTCAAACATCTGAACAAAAGAAAGAACAGAAAAGATGGAAAGGACGTTCCACATGGTTCTGATAAAAAATGGGGGGGGGGGGGGGAGGACGCGCTTGGTCAGCACAGTTTGCGCCTTGTGGGATTCCTCGTGTAAAGGAAATAGCTGCATTATGAATTCACGTTTTAAATAGTTGCTCGTTATCGACACGTCACAACGTTTCTCCCTTCTGCCATTAAACGGTGCCCTTGGTGAGTAAACAGGAAACATTGGATTGTTTCCAGCTTGCAAATGAAGCATAACGGCTGCTCCCTGTGTGACCATGTTTACATGATCTTTCAGCAGCACGAGATGGATCACCTTACAGATTTATGGAAAAATATTAAAAGTCTGCACGAATGTTGATTGTCTGGAATCGAAGAAGTCAGTGTTCATTTGCGATACTGAAGAGGATGATTTATGTCTTTGGCCGATGCTGCTGAAAGACTGTAAACAGATTCTGGCTGTGCTCTAAACTACAAATGTTCTCCTGGAACCACTTACTCTGCACAGAAAAACAAAACAAACAAAAAAAGCTAAACTGTGTTGATCCTTTATTCAATGAAAAGTGGGTAATTTATTACTTGTGTCAGTTAATTAGGTTCCAAACTCCCACAAGTCTCAAATACGAAAATACCACATATCCTTGAAATAAGTTATTTCTTCAGACCTCTGAAATAAGGTCCCCCTATTTTAGACACCTTCAAATAGGAGTCACTGCTAAAGTTCATCGCTTAATTATCAAATGTTGGTTTATAATCAAATCAAACCCACTAAACCCGTGACATTTCTGCCTGGTTTAACTATAATTTATCGTTAAATTGAAAAAGAATGCACGCTAAAGTGAGATAATGGGTATGTTGGCGTTGTCATATTGATCAGCAGGATGTCGCCTTAAAGCATTGGCTGGTTTATCGCTTTATTGTATTTGATATATTGTACATAATATTCTAATTGAACTCTGTGCTGTTTTGAAAAGAGCTGAAGCTAGTTAACTATGTCTGCCGGGTTAATAAATCAAGTCAAATATATACAATCACATTTGTTTTTGCAGGAGTCGTCGCTTCCTGATGACCATTAGATAGAATTAAAGATTCTGGCATTTCTGCCTTTGCTTCACAATACAGATCCAACTTTAAACCCCAGAAAGGTAAAAAGTCAATTGTTTTCTTCTGAAAAAATAAAGGAGTTGAGGCTTAGAAGGAAAGCAAAATCTAACTAATCTAAAGGACAGACTTAAATAAAACACACATGCATTTATGTACCTTGAAAGAATAGTATATAAGACATCGTGCACAAATGAAATGGCTTTTGAAGAGCAGCCTGAGTTCAGTCTCTAATCGATACCATCTTTCATGTGAGATAACTTCAAAAGGCTTCCCAGAGGCTCTTGTTATAGCTTTACCTATAAGTGGAATTTCTAATAAAAAGCACATGTCACAAATCTGCATCACATATACATTTTTTCTGTGACTGTTATTTGGGTAAAACAACCCACTGTACCTCTGGCACCAGACGTAACGAGCCGGGGTCGGACTACTGCCAGTCGGTTTAATTCGATTTTACATTCGGCAACGTACAAGCCTCCAGTTTAGCAGAACACAAAGTTATCGTGAGGTAACGCACAGTAAACACAGAAAAAAAAGTCCATCACTTGTCTGCATCTTTCATCCAGGGGGAAACATTCAGCAATTCTTCAAAAGTTACTTTAGCGAAACATAAAAAACATTTGAAAACGCGTCATTAATAAATCAACTATGGCCGCTCGGCAACTGTTTCCCAACACAAGTTTAACGCAAGTTCCTCCCGTCCAGCTCGGCCTAAAGTTCCCGGAGAAAACAAAACCGGTTTAGAGGCCAAGCACAAACCTCAATGGAGTTACAACGGAGATAAATAGGAAATACCAGTCAGGATGAGAACACAGATGTGCTTTATTTGTAAAAAAATAACACCGGGCGATTATCAGATTGGACGAAGAGGTGATAATCTTTTCTTTAGGGGAAACATTGAGCTGACCGTTGATCCGATTTGACAAGTGAAGCTCAAACACAGACGAGTATGCATTATTGTGGAGGTCAGATGTCTTTGTTTGCCTTAGTTTGACAGCTTTTTTTTGACACTTCGTCCACAACCACCATTTGCTCAAAATGTCAATGATGTGCTTCATTACAAACTGGTTAAAATTGGAGGTTAATCTGCTAGTAAACGCTTAATAATCTCTGTTCATTAAAAAGCGTTTCTGCAGAACCTACAAACATCTCAGTCTTTTTAAGACTCCAGACTCTGAGTACCTGCGACCTCCTGACCCCCCCTCAGACAGGCAGTATATAAGCCGCTGAGCAGTTGTGGGGACCGCCGAGCGGCGTGCCGAGACACAGAAGCTTGTTTTGCCAGATCACCCGATACGGCGAAAGATGGCTTCCGTCACAGCGGTGCCGAGGCCGAGGAGCCGCTGGAATCACAAACACACGAGGAGCGCCGAGCTGAGTCAATAGGAAATTACGCGCCGATCAGCGACTGCATGCAGGACGCATTTGGCCGGAGTGGTTCGGGGGGCCGGGCTGTTTATTATTTTTCATGGAACTATCTGATAAGAATTCAGCTCCTCAGCTCAGATGTTCCCGCAGGCCGGCACACTTGGATTAAGAGCAGACCAAGCGGAGCCAAGTTGAACCACTACATATTTCTTTTCTTTTCTCAGAGAGACAAAATTCTTAGATATTTCGATCACTGTCGCAAACAATAAAAAAATGAATTCTCTGGTGGGAAGACTCTTCAGCTATTTCAATGAGAGTTTTAATAAATGAGCCCATACTGGATGGAAATGGTGAAGAGAGCTAATACGGCACGTAGGAGTTCACGTTCAAATGAGCTGCAATGATTTATTAATATAAATGAAAACTGTTCAAAAATCCTATTTTACTCAAGCATGATGTGACCTCGAAGAATCTCGAAAACCAGAGGTCACTGTAAAGTGTTTTTCTCTCCACCATATGGAAATGTTTTTAGAGGCATTTTCTTTAGAAAAACATCACAACGGTAAAATCTAGCTTTTAAAAATAGCATTCCCATCTTTGATTATGTAGAATGTATCGTGAATGCTTTCACAGCGTAGCCATGGGGAAAAGGCACATTACAAGCAAAATATAATTCTATGATACGTTTTAAAGAGAGGCCGTTCACTATTTTATGCGGCACATGTCAGGTCTTTGGGGTTAGATTTTCTCGGTCCCTTTATTACTTCCAAATTATTGTTTACTTTAGTAAATTGAATGCACAAAAGATAAATAAATAATAAATAAATAACATTATACACATAGATGCACTAATTGGAAATTGTACATAAAGTGCTGTTTATTAAAAGGCTGTCTGTAGTCTACAGTTACACACAGTAACAAGTAATAATCATAAAGGGAACCGCTGTTCATGACAAAAGAAACAGTAAAAACAGCCAGAATCTGGAAAGGAGAAAATGATTAATGAGAAGCATGCTGACCAGAGACAGGACAATGAAATCCAGCTGATTGAATCCATTGTGGATTACTGTCAGTAGAAAAACATTCATTTTGTCCCTGTTTTGTCTGACTGTCTCTCTGAAAACGGTTCTAGATTGAAGGAATAAAATAAGTTCTTTTCAACAACCAATTTCAGTGGCGCTTTATTGTCAAAATATATTAAAGAACAGGGAGGCAAAAGTTCCTTCTTAAATACCATATTGCCCTTCTTTGCTCATTGAAGTCAAACCAACCTTATGAGGTTTCCATTTAGAAGCTGCATCAGCAAAGTGTTTCATTTTCCCCACATATAAACATGTTTACAATAAAACATTCAATAATAAATTGCCAACCCGAACAACTGCCGTTATTCAAAGTGCTGCATTATAGGAATATAATGCAACACTGATTTTCCGGCTTTTCGAGATAAGTAGTTTATTACAAAAGTTATAAAATCAACCTCAATCTTATAGTAGGTAATTAACAGACTACATAATCTTCAAATCACAACTTTGCCCGTAGTCCCTTTCAGACTTAAACCCTTAACACCATTAGTCTGAAAACATAAAAAACTGGTCAATAATTTATTTCTTAAACTTTTAAAGCCTTTAGGTATTAACTGAAGATGGCAGATGAAATATTATTATGGATACACTTAAACAAAGTTTGTGTCTACACTTGGATCTCTGCCTCTAGCAGGCTGGCAGTGAGTGGTCCTGAGTCGAGTCTGATGCCCCCCACCCCGGTGTCAGAGACCACCGGCGAGGCATTGGGGGTCCTGACGGTGAGAGAAGACAGTGACGGGGCGAAAGTGGGCGTCATGGCTGAAGGGGTAAGTCCCGTGTTCCTGCCTAAGGGGGAATACGCATATTTGGGGTAAGAGGGCTTCCTCCTCAGGCTCGGCATGCGGCCCGGCTTTCTTGGATGTACGGTCCTAATTCCCGGGTGAGCTACTCCCGTTATGAGCGGCGGCGGGTACATGAGACAGCTCGCCTCTGCCGCCAAGTCCTCGCGGCCGCCTTGGAGCTCCTCGTCGGGGAGCATCCCGAGGTCGGTGAAAACCGAGGCCAGGGGCTGGAAGCGTGGCTCCCAGTCCAAAATGTAGTCCCAGCTGTAGCTCCCGTGCGTCTGCTCCTCGAGACACAACAGCGAGGAGAGAGAATCGGCAGAAGCGTGAGCTTCCGAGAGGGGAGCGTATCCGTATGTCCTCATGTTCTCCTCCAAGTCCCTCACCCTGAGTATAGCAGGGAGCAGCCCTTCGCCGCCTCCCTCCTCTTTGAAATGATGGAGGCTCTCCGTGCTGGCCATCGCTGAGACCAGACGTTTCTCCGCAGAGGACATTTGCTCCGATACGTCATCGGCCGAGTGGCAGGAGATATTGTCCCGAGGTAGAGCAGAGTCTGCGAGCTCTCCGACCTGGTCGTCTCTGTTACGACAGGGGTACTGATTGATCCACTTGATCTCCTGGTCCTCAGCTGTCTCCCCTTCCGCTGATCCTCGGCCGCTCGAGTCCGACGGGCTGCACGGGGTTGACCCGTCCGTCTCGGCCACCACGACGCCGGGGGGTTTCATCTCCTGCAAAGAGATTGCGCTTTGGCTACCGGCTCTGCCGAACGAGCCCGTTTCGTGGTCCGGGTTCGCGGCGACCGCGGCGGCCTTTTTGATCGCCGCTTCCTTCATCTTGTACTTGAGAAGCGAGCCCACAAAAACGAGAAGCATGAGGAGGAACATGATGAGCGAGACACTCAAACTCAGCATGTGCGCGTCGAGAGGCACCCCGGTGAGGGCTTCTGCTGAGCTGGAGATATCGATCAAAACCAGGCAGGCGGTGGTCCTGGAGGTCGATCTGGGACTAGCTGCCGACACCACCAGCTCCACCAGGTCCTCGCTGGCCTGACTGCCTCTTCTGCGGTACACGGGACCTGACACGAAAATGGCGCCTATCGTTTTGTTTATTGAGAAAAAAGGCGACGACCTCACGAGGGAGTACTCCACCAGCCCGTCCACCCCTCCGTCATGGTCCATTGCCATGACGTAACCGACTACCTCTCCAGGCCCGGTGCTTTCGCTCAGGAGGAAATGGTACTGCTTTTGGGTGAAGACGGGACTGAACTCATCCACCCCTTTGATGGACACCGTCACTCTCACCGTAGCTGCTTTGTTGCCTTTGTCCCGCGCCTCCACGACGAAGCAGTACTCACTCTCGCGTTCGTAATCAAAGGTCTGCCTGGTGTGAATGTCGCCGGTTAAGGGGTCGATGGCAAAGCCCTCCTTCTTCTCGGGGCTGCCGCTGCCGTAGTCCGTGAAGCAGGAGGACACAATGGAGTAGGAGAGCTGGCCGTAGGGACCCGAGTCGTTGTCAACGGCGTGGACCGAACAGGTGTGGGTAAACGCCGGGAGGTTCTCCGGCACAGAACAGTTAACAGTAGGAAACATGAAGTACGGAGTGTTGTCGTTTTCATCCAGCACTGTGATGAAGACCACTGTAAAAGCCACTTTACGTTGTTCGGACGACTCGACGCCGTCAGTCGCTCGGATGGTGAGGGTGTACTTGGGGTCTTCCTCATAGTCGAGCGAGTGGTTGACCACCAGGAGGCCGGATTGGCGGTTGAGCTTAAGGTGACCTTTGCCGTTCCCTGAGATAATGTCGTACCGCAACAGGCCGTTGGTTCCCAGGTCCGGGTCCCGAGCGCTGACCTGGACCAGTCGGGCGCCTACGTGGCTGTTTTCGCTCACTTGAGCATGGTACCCTGTGCTGGAGAAGACGGGGGCGTTGTCGTTGCAGTCCGTCACGGTAACCGTGACAACGGCGGAGCTGTTCAGCGGCGGCGTTCCTCGATCGGACACCCTCACTGCCAGCGCGTAGCTTTCCGTGGTCTCTCGGTCCAAAGGGTTGCACAGAACCAGTTTTCCTACATTTTTCATCTGATTCTCAACTTGAACCATTTTTACTTCCAGACAAAAACGCCTTTCCTCATTTCCTCCGATAATGCCGTAGTCCAAGTGGGTGTTTTCGGGGCTCCAGTCTCGGTCCTCTGCAGACAGCGTCAGCAGGGTGGTGTCCGTGGGCGTGTCCTCTGGCACGGTGAGCGTGTAGATGTCCTGGTGGAACAATGGCGTGTGGTCGTTGGTGTCCACAATCAGCACGTCTACAGAGGCGACAGTGGACTGCATCGGTTCGCCCTCATCTCTGGCCTCGACCAGAAGATGGATCAGGTTCCCGTTGGTGATGGCCTTCAAGGGCTTATTGGTAAAAACAGACCCTAGAAGACAAACCGTGTGTTGGTGAGCAAATCGTTTTATAAAGCGTCACTAACAAAGGATCTGATGGCAGTGTGAAAGTCGCTGATAGTGATTATATTGCAAAGACGTCAAGCTCTCATTCAAACATGATTTTGTTTTACAGTGAAGCACCAAACAATAACACGTTGACCAGAAATCTGCTCTCACCAATGTAAACCTGTAAAAGTATTTTTGATTGTTTTTTGTTGGTCATCTTTTCTACATGGTGACTTTATTCATTCTGATGCTCCACAATAAAGCAGAACCATTCATTGTCTCAGACAGAAATTGGTTTGGAAAAAAGAAGCACTGCCCTACAAAAGGACGTTCAAAAGCAAAGTTAAGAATATGGGCAAAAGCATTTCTTTGATATTAAACTTTGGAGTTTAATACAACTGAAGCCCATAAATCCCATTTTATTGGAAAAGACTGTCCATGAGTGAAGAGGTGTAGTTCCATTTCAGCTCTGCTCGATTCGTCTTCTTTCTTGGGTTTAGACATTTTAAAAAGGGAGATAACCAGTAAGGCATGGCTCCTCCGAAGCACTTTATCTCAGTGTTTTTCTAATTGCCTTTTCGGCTGCTTCTCTCTCCGCCTGTCCAAGGAACTCACTCTCACATTCAAGACTACGGAAATATAAACACTGGAGGAATATAGTGCTTCTGGCAGCATGACAACTCTCTGTAACTGTGCGTTCTGCTCAGAATAAAGCAGAATCTGACTCGCTGCGTCTTTTTTCTTTTGCTTGAGCCCCTTTAACTATGCCAGAAAAGTTTAATGGAGAGAATAAGAGGGCCGAATATGAAAATCGGACCACCAGACAGTCATAAGCCATAAAACGTATAAAGCTCGGGGTATTGTGTATTAGAGAAGAACTGCAATACATCTTGGATCATTGTTTTATCCCTTAGCCGACTGCTTGACCTCCAAGTTTTCAACGTATAAATATCCTCTACATTCAGTGAGGCTCTGCGGTCAATGACGCGTTTATACCAGAGCTTCTCCGTCAGTGAAGCCCTACCATTGTCTGGCACGATGTAAAAGCCTTGTAAAGGAGATGAAAGCAGCCTGTAGTTGATCTTCCCGTTGAGTCCAGAGTCGCTGTCGGTAGCCGACACTGACAAAACCAACGTGTCCTCTGAGACCAACTCCGACAATTCCACCTTGAAGAGAGAACAGGCGATGAGTCAAATCCGCAGCTCTTAAACGGAGAAAAATAAACCAACTCTGAACCTTTTGGTGGGTAAATATCTCATCTGTACCTGGTAGGAGACCTCGGTAAAGACCGGAGCGTTGTCATTGACGTCAAGCACTTCAACTTTGACCTCTCCGGTGGTCTGGTGGAGGGAATCCGACGCCCACACCGTCAACGTGTACTCTGTCCGCGCCTCATAGTCCAGGGCTCGGGTCAGAGTGACCACGCCGGTGTACGGGTCAATGGCGAAGGGAAAGTCGGTGCTGCTGTTGTCTGAGAAGCTGTAGGTGATGGTTGAGCTCAGGTCCACGTCATTCGCAGTCACCTGGGTGACCTTGTAACCCGCCGGCAGATCTGGGGTAGAACAGACAAACGTGGAAAGACGTCCACAAACGGATAAAGATCAGAGACGGTGTTCATATGTGACCGAGTGTTTGGCACTGCGAGCAGTCAGAGAGCAGCGGGGGCAGGTCTTACTCTCTGCTACGACAACAGGCTCCATGGGGGGGACGGCGGGGCTGTTGTCGTTGACATCCACCACTTGGACCCTGAGGGTGGTGGTGCTGCTGAGAGGAGGGTTCCCCCTGTCTGCTGCCTGCAGAACCAGCCTGTAATATGAAGACAGTGAACAAATGATGCCACTTTGCATATGATGGAGGAGTACATTTGTATTATGCTGGGCTGGAAACGTATGAAATCCTTTCCAGGAGGCCCATTTCATCATTTATTCTCACCGAGTAGACGTGTTTACTTTATTCAACTATCAACTTTTTGGCAATTTGCGAGGATTAACCTTACGGTTAATGACTTCCCATTTATTTTTTGCTTCTGTCTTCTAACAGAAAATGAATATTTAATCAGCACTCAACAACTACAGCTTCCACAAGGGTTTCGACACTGAGCCAAAGCCTCCTGAAATGTGTGTTTGTTGAATCTACTTTGTTCCTACGTTCTAGAAATGAAAGAAATGAATTAACACATTCATATATGAGGTTGTCGTACTTGTATGAGGGCGTGATCTCTCGGTCCAGCAAGACTCTGGTAGCAAGAATCCCGCGAACAGAGTCCAGGACGAACGCCTGGTTGGGGTTACCGGACACGATGGAGTACTCGATCTGCCCGTTCAGCCCGCTGTCAGCGTCAGAAGCAAAAACCTGCAGAAATATCATCAGCATGGACCCCAACCGAATACATGACATGCCGACGCGGCCTTTCGCAATTTCAAAGAAGTGTAAACGTCCGTTGCGTCTACCTGCATGATGTAGGTGTTGTGCACTTGCCCCTCCCACACGGCCGTTCTGTAGCCGCTGTGTTCAAACACGGGCGCGTTGTCGTTTACGTCCAGCAAGGCGACGGAGACCCTGCAGTGAGCCGTCTGCAGCCCGTTGTCAGCCAGCACCACCAGCTGGATCTGCGGACTCGCCTCGTAGTCCAGAGAGTTATCTTTCTGCACACGGATCTCACCTGCATTAGAGGAGAAAAACAGTATTTCACCGTGCACCGAAAAACTGTACAAACCAGTCACAGGTCCTTCATTGCACCCACTTTTCTTTAAAAAAAAACAACAACATTTTTTCCTCTATTTAAAAGGGTGTTGACAGAAACAGTTTTAAGTCTTTTTCCCATGTCTGTATAGTAATGTGTATAATGTGAGTGTAAGTTACGGTAACATGGATCCAAAAAAAGAATTTGATTAAATCAGGGAGGCAACAGTCATAACTCTTAAAAGGAAATACTTGTGTATAAAAAAAGAGCAGATGAAGCAGATAAGGATATTTTAAAAAGAAAAACAGAAAATACAGAAAGTCCATGAAAAATACTGAAATATTTTGGATGCTTTTGTGAAAAATAAAATGGATGAGTGAAAAAGAAGTTGTGCCATTAGCAGAACTCAATTGATGGAAAGAATGGCATACAATAAGAACCATCTGCTAATCCAAACCAGTGAACCTTTCTTACCCGTGTGACGATTGATGGAGAAAACATGGTTCTCATTGCCACTAAAGATGGTGTAGGTGATCCTTTGCCTGATGTTTGTTTGGTCGCTGGCCTCCACTATCGCGATCCAAGCGCCTTGAAAAACAAACAGTGAAATGAGGTTTCTCCAACCGGTACCAATGGAGGCGGAAGGAAAAGAGGGGGGGCGAAACCTACCGGCTCGGCTGTTCTCCTTGATGGTGGCGTTGTACACTTTGTCGGTGAACTGCAGTCCTTCGTGTTCTCCCTTCAGATGGATGACCACCAGGCAGGTGGCGCTCAAAGCGGGTCGCCCTTTGTCTGAAACCACAACCTGCAGGTTCCGACCGGAGAAACCTGCCCTCACTCGCCTCCTCAGTGAAATCTCTCCCGACTCGCCGTTGATCTCAAACAGGTTCTCCTCATCGGACAGCGCGAACTGCACCGTCCCGTTGTCGCCCTGGTCGCCGTCCGTCGCCGCCACCGTGGCGACGATCTGGTTGGGCGGAGTCCCGGCGGAAACCCAGGCGTTCACGGGATTCTGCTCGCACACCGGCGCGTTGTCGTTCACGTCCTCCACCTGGACGGTGAGCGACGCCACGGAGCTCAGCGGCCCTTGGGAGCAGCCGTCGACGGCCACGGCCCTGAGGGTGTACTGTGCACGGGCCTCCCTGTCCAGGGACCTGGTGGTGCGGATCACCCCCGTGAAAGCGTCCACCGAGAAGGCCCCCTGGCTGCTGTCCTCCGTCAGAGAGTAGGTCAGGTCGCCGTTGGGCCCCTCGTCGGGGTCAAAGGCGTGGACGCGCAGGACCTCGGCTCCCGCGGGGAGGCCCTCGCTGACGGAGGCGTGGTAGCTCTTACGGGTGAAGGAGGGGACGTTGTCGTTCTGGTCCAGCAGCAGCAGCTGGAGTCGGGTGGAGGAGCAGAGCTGGGTGGCGCCGTAGTCACAGGCCTGTATGGCGAGTGTGTAATTCTGCATTTCCTCGCGGTCGAGGACTCGAGTGGTGCTGACGGCACCCGTGCGGCTGTTGATGGTGAAGCGACCTCTGTGGTCATCACCTAATGACAGAAATGTCAGGATGTTCCTGGTTTATTTCTGACCATTTCACTTGCCGAATTGATTCCTGAGATCTTGACAACAATATTCTTGCTGTGGTCAGACAGTCACACAGGTTGTAAAACAGACAATTATTAAAAATTATATATAAACCACCTGAAATGTTACTGATGAGGCCTCATTTTATAGACACACTTTGCATGCACAACAGCTGAAAGTAGAATTGTTCAAAGTTGAAACAGTAACTTGCAACAGATGTTTGTTTAAAGACCTATATGATCGCTTAGTTGATTTCTTCTTCTTCTTATTAGAACGATCCAAATAGCCCGATGTTACCGCCCACGCGGCCCCTCACCCAAAATGGAGTAGTGTATAGTTCCGTTCTCGCCGCTGTCCGGGTCGGAGGCCTGCGCCGTGTGCACCCCCCCGGGGGGGAGGTTCTCCGGCAGGCTGATCTGGAAGGAGGGCTGCATGAACTCCGGCGGGTTGTCGTTGTCATCCAGCACGGCGCAGAGCACCGTGGCCGTGCCGGACAGAGGCCGCGTGCTGCTGTCACGGGCCTGCACTGCAGACACCAGTCAAAAGGAAATGATTAATTCTTTTATTTTAGGCTGCCTTAAAAACATCTGGCCGGGAACAGCAGATGGAAATCAGCCCCTCTGGCTCACTTGCAGTACGACTGTTGATAAGTGTGCATTGTCCCTGCAAAATAAATGAACGATTTGGAAATCAGTAATTCTGTTCTGCTCGGTAGTTTCAGTCTCACGGCTCCACAAGGACTGAACTCATTTTTAATACCGTAACTATTCTTGGACGCACTGCCTCAGCTTTTCATCCCTGCTGAAAATAATTTGTGTTTCTTTTCAAATCTTCTTCACACATTTTAATATTTCCAGAGAAGCCGTGCATGATTCTGGCACAACGGCAAGACCTTCGTGCTCGCTGGGATATTATATTTAATTGTTCATCATGCCGCTGACTGCACAAACATTACGATAAAACATCTGAAAGTGGTTCATGGTTGAACGCGGCCGAATAGCTCGAACGTAATAGCCGTGTGTGCCCACGAGAGAGTGAAAGCAAACACTTGGAACGGCAGAAGGAGGTTAGATATACTGTACCTATTACAACGGTTTCCCCAACATTAATCAATCTGCAGAATTATGTTGCCGTCTCACAAAAAGACTGACTTCTTTGTGGCTTTGCCTGCAGCTTTACATTTTTTTGGGGAGGTGGGGGTATTTTCATAACTCTTAGAATAACAGGCTTTGGGTTTTACATTCTTTACAATTCAGCACCTGATTGTTAAATGGATTGACACTTCTTTTCCCAACTTGCACAGACGCGGGTTTTCTTAACAAACGATGATTCCTTGTGTGTTTCAGAGCACTATTTCCATCCTTTGTGATTTACCTCGGAGCGTGAAGTGATGCTGCTGCTCGCGGTCCAGCTGGGAGGTGGTGGTGATGAGGCCGCTGTGAGGGTCGATGCTGAAGAGCTCGTATCCGGCGCCGGGCAACAGGCTGTACCACACCACGGCGTTCTCCTCTGCCGACGTAAAATGTAAAATGCTGTTATTGTTGCTGTTGGTTGATTGATGGAAGCGTTCTGCGCACGCCGGCCGGATCGGCACGCCGGCCCCCCTCGCGTTAACAAACATTCTCCTGTTAGGACAAACACCAGGTACTGCAATCAAAATTTCCCAAAAGCCCAATTATCGTCGGCAATAGTCGACTCTATGCAGCACCGCCAAAAAATCTGGATTTTTCAAACTTCCAGGTGCTCATCTAATTTTTCAAGCTGTGTATATTTAAGTCATAGTTCTGCTTTGAAATCTTAACTTTAAAGAAAAGTCTTTGCTGAGTTATTTCAGTTATCATTCTGCCATAAGGATTAGAGATGTAATAATGTGATCAACAATCAATTAGATCCTTTCTTTCTATAAAACTCGATAATAATTTCTACAATCGTGTTTTCTCTCAGTATCATCAGTCCTGAGCACCTCATTAGTTCAGTTCATGTTTCCATGGCTGCTTCATCTTCAGACAGCTGCAGGGAAAACAGAACCACAGGCTTCAATAAATCCCAGAATCACCTTTAAAAAAACGGACAGAGGAGGAAAAGCGTAATCTGCGAGTCCTTTGATGCACTGGTCCGGCTCTGCTGCTCGGACACGCAAACGGTGGTGGTGAAGTTTAACCCGCCGCTACGGAGCAATGCGTGTGTTTTACATCCGTTCAGTATCGGAGGATCTGCGTAAAACATCTTTACCTGCACACATGTGCTCAGGGCTAGGAAATGCCTGCATGTCATGTGCTTTCTGCACTTTTCAGTGCAATCACTTTCTAACAAAGAAAAGATTCTCTGAAAAAAAAAAAAAATCTTTCCTGGAGCTAAGTAAGAAAATGTGTTTTTTTCTTTGTTGTAATTTAAGTAAACCAACATCACTGCCAGTGATTCTCTTCCATTTAATTAGAAACTCTGTTTTTGATTTTGTCTCAAAACTGTGTTTTGTGACCCTTCATGAACGCCAAGAACCTTTTCTTGTGTTCACGCAGCTTTCAAACCTTTGAAGGACATTTGATATCAGCTCTTTTAAGACACGGGTTGTATTTTGACACAATGTTGACCCAGAGGACAACGCAGCTATTCTTTAAAAATCCCTCAGAACATCTGAACCTTTACGAAACAAAGTGAAATCCTGAGTAACACACAGTTGAGCTGTCACACTCGTTGACATTGCACTTCTCCTCTGACTGACTTCAACACATGGAAACCAGATACGGGGACCGCCACCGCCACAAAACAATGGTCATCTTTGGGGTGCGTTAGCGGGGTGTGGGGGGAGCAGCAGAAATTATGATCAAATAAGACGTGTGGGAGAGCGGGCCGAGCTGCCAGACGAGGCAATTTGAGGAGACAGAGAAACCCGGGCTCTTTTGGCCACAGGGGGTTTTTTTTTGAAACCCCGGGGGGGGGGGGTTTTCCGATTCCCCGGGGGAGCTCCGGGCTCGCCGTTTTTGGACAATTTTCCCCCCCCAGTTAACTCCAAAACCCCTTTTGACCGCCCCCCCCCCCCCCCCCCTCACATGCCCCCCTCACCGTTTAAAAAAGGACTCAAGCCCCGGCGAGGAGTCCCGAGTGAGCACAGCGGGTTTAAACAAACGGGGCCGATGTGTGGATTTGGAGATTCGGGGTTGGATGGATGGAGATTCGCGAGGATGCACAGTGAAACAAATGGGGGCCGGCTGGGGGGGGGATTGGTGAAACAAAGCCGGAGACAAGAGCACAAAACAAACTACTACTCCTTAAAAAAAGTGCAACTACAAGTTCTCTCTTTTCACAGCAGAAAAAAAGGGGGAAATAATGAATCCGTCATTAAAGATGATAACCACCAAATCTGTCTGAGCTTTTTTAGCTTTTTTTAATGCATTTAATCTTTTTTTATGTGGCACTACTTGGTTTCATGCACATTGAGTCTGTGGTTTGAGGCCGTTGGGCTTCAGGGAGACGAGCCGGTGCTGCCATCTAGGCTCTTTGGAGGCACATTGCCATCTGCACTGAGTCAGTCAGTATCAGTATCTGCTACTGGACGGAAATGCAACTCATCGGACAGTTTCTGGATTTTAAGGAACACCATTTTTTTTTTTACTGGTTAACAAGCATCCTCTATACGAAGCTGAGGTTTCTTCTTTAGTTTATTCGTTGTTTTTGCACAAAGCATGAGGATTATTGAGCTATTTGAGTTGATCAACCTTTATAATTATTACCCGAATCGTCGTCGGTGGCAGAGACCCGGATCACCGGTTCCCCGGGGTCTCTGTTCTCCGCCACACTGGCGTTGTAGATGCTCTCGCTGAAGACGGGTCTCCGGTCGTTCACGTCCTCCACCTCCACCGTCAGGGTCTGGGTGGAGGAGAGCGGCGGCAGGCCGTGGTCCACCGCGCGGACGGTGAGGCGGTGGAACCGCTCCGTCTCGTAGTCGAGAGGCGACGACAGAAACAAGAGGCCTGCAGGAGGTGCGAGAAGAGAATCTTACCTTCTATCTTCACCGAATACACTTCAACTTGTCAGCTCTGGAGGAACCTGCGGATATTTCGTCTATAGATCGGAATCCTACCGCTTTTCTCCTCCAGCGTGAAGAATCCTCTCTTGTTTCCGGCCGTGACGACGTAGGAGACGACCCCGTTTTCTCCGAGGTCACCGTCTATGGACACGAAACGGTGCAGCAGGCTCCCCACCTCTGCGTCCTCCATCACCTGGACGGTGTCCACGGACACAAACACCGGCCTGTTGTCGTTCACGTCCAGCAGGAACACCTGAGCCGTCACCGACGAGCGCCGCCGCTCCTCCGTCCTCTCGGCCCGGTCGGTGGCCGTGACGGTGAAGGCGAAGCCGGGGTTGGTCTCCCGGTCTAACGGCGCCGTCACGGTCAGTCTCCCCGTGCCGGGGTCGACGTGAAACGGGAAGCGCGAGGGAGAGCGGCCCAGCTGGGAATCCAAGGCCAGCGAGTAGCGCAGGGCGCTGTTGGGAAAAGTCCCGTCGCCGTCCCTGGCGCGGAAAGCGAACGCCAGCGACCCGACCGCGGCGTCCTCCCTCAGGCCGAAGGTCACCAGTTTGTCGGGAAACCAGGGCGTGTGGTCGTTGACGTCCTCCACCGCCACGGCGACCAGCAGAGACGCGTTGGCCCCGGCGGAGGGCCCCTCGTCCTCGGCGCGCACCGTGAGGCGGTACTGCGCGGCCGACTCGTAGTCCAGCGGCTGGTTGACGTAAATGTCCCCCGAGGAGCCGTCGATGCCGAAGTGGACGCTGCCGTCGCCCTCGGAGATGGAGTAGCGGAATCTCCCTTCGGAGGAGACGGCGGCGGAGCCGATGACGGTCGCCGGCTCCGCGTCCTCCCTCACCGTAAAACGCCTCATCATCTGGCGTTCAGAGTCCAGTCCATCCACCTGCACAAGCGACAACATCAGGAAGCCAGAATAATTATCATTATTCTCATTATCATCATTGATAAAGATCCCCTGAATACCTGGACATGAATGAGCGCAGTGTCCTCCAGAGGAGGGACCCCGCCGTCCCGGGCCGTCACTTTCACGGCGTAGAACGACCCGGAGTTCTGATGGGCGAACGGCTCCGTCGTTCGGATGTCTCCGCTTTCACCGTCGATCTCAAAGGGTCCGAAACCCTCGACCTGCGAGTCGGCTTGAGAGAAACGCGAGAGGGTGACGACACCCGGGGGGCCAGAATGACGTCGCGAAGAGCGTGCGAAGTGCGGGATGCGCGTAACTCACCTGCGACCAAAGAGAAGGTGACCGTTCCGTTTTCTCCTGCATCCAAATCTTTGGCAAACATGTTTGTCACCAAGGAGCCCGCTGGTAGACCAGCCCATATCTGCAATCAATTATATATATATATATATATATATATGACTACAATGATCTCAGCGGATGAAAGATTATTGTTAATGCGAAGCAGAAGTGACCGAAATGTGACACAAATGTGATACAATTTCTGTTGTTTTCTGACATTGAGATGCGGTAAAATGCAAAATAGCACAAATATGTAGAAAACAAGATACTTTTTTTTTACTTTCAATCTTATTTGTAACCCAAACTTGACAAAAAGGGCCTTCTGAGGGCGTTTTTGTGAGAAGGGTCATATTCAGCAGCGTAAAACTCACTGACATATTCTTCATAGTGCTTCCAGGACCACTGCAACTGCTGAAGTGCAATATCCGGGCGGGACTCTTACCTGGACGCTGAGCTCCTTGCTGGCAGGCAGGTGTGTAAACTGTGGCGTGTTGTCATTGAGGTCGGTGACCAGGATGTGGACGGCGGCGGTGGCGTTGAGGCGAGGGCGCCCGTTGTCTGTGACCATCACCTTCAGGCTGTGCTGGCTGTGCTGCTCCCGGTCCAAAGCCACCCAGTTGATAATCTCACCTGGGACGGGTACAGAGAGGCGACGCAAAAAAGCTGAGCCTGCAGGCGGAGCCTAACGCGACCTCAAGGTGGCGCCATCGATGCGATGAACATACTTATAATTACTTAGCGTTATGTTATAATCTGCTTTTTGTACTGTTTAATTAAGTAAAGAAAAAAAATATTCTACAAACTGCAACGTTGTAGTTTGTTGTAACTCATGGAAAACTTATAAGTCACATTATAAATTATAAAAGCATGAGTGAGTGACCAGCTAATTATAACACAGCGTATAATGCTTTATAATATGTGACGATTGTGCTATAAGCACTTTATAACACTGTGTATTGGGCCTCATAGTGAAGGTTGCCGTGTATTTTTACCTGTTTTGGAGTTGATGCGGAAGAACTTCCCATCCGTCAGCAGGATGTAGGACAGCTGGGCGTTTTTCCCAGAGTCCTCGTCCACGGCCTTGACCGTTCCCACCAGGCCCCGAGGCGACGACCCCTCGGGCACGGTGAAGTGGTAGACCTCGCTGCCGAACGCCGGCGGGTTGTCGTTGACGTCCAGCACCAGCACCAGCACCGCGGCCGAGGCCGTGGCGTTCGCCAGCGAGGCCTCCACTCGAAAACGGAACTCGGGCTCCGTCTCAAAGTCCAGGCCGCGGGAGAGGAACAGCCACCCGGTGTTCGGGTGGACGCGAAACGGAGCCGGGGGGAATCCGGCCTCGGCCTCCAGGGTGTAGGTGATGCCCGAGTTGGACCCGTGAGCCCCCCGCCCGCGGTGCGCCCTCACCTGGATGACCCTGGCGTCCTTCCTGTAGCCCTCGCCTATCTCCACCTGGTAGACCAACGTCTCGAAGGCCAGGCCGTCCTCGGCGGCGGCGGCGAGCTCCACGCTGACCGCGAGGGTCAGCGTGGAGCTCAGGGGAGGTTCCCCTCCATCTTCAGCTACGATTTCCAGGTTGTACCTCTGCTGATGACCCCCCTGCAAACTCTGATTCAACGTGACCGTCCCGAGGCGGCGGTCGACCACGAACGTGCCGTTTGCGGTGCTCTTCAGGTGATACCGCACCTCCCCGTTGGCCCCGCTGTCGCGGTCGCGCGCGCGGGCGATGAACAAGACGGTGCCCGGGCGGGTGTTCTGGGACACCGCGACGGCGTCGCCGGGTTTCGGGAAGGCGGGGGCGTTGTCGTTGACGTCGGCCACCGTGACGTTGACCTGCGTGGTGCCGCAAACGGGCGAGGCGTCGCTGTGGGACTGAAGGATCAGCAGGGCGTAGGGCTGCGACTCGCGGTCCAGGAGGTCGACGGTGCTGATCAGGCCGGACTTCGGGTGCACGGAGAACAAACCCCGCGGGTCGCCGGAGGAGATCCGGTAGGTCGCCGATTCAGAGTCTGCGAGGAAAAATGGTTTTAATTGATGCGCCATCGGGACGAGAATGTCCATTCACAGCACGCACGATATTCTGGATGAAAGAACTCTTTTGATTGAATAGATACATCAAAAATGTAGACGTGTTTGTCAATCTGAGCCAGTGTCCACATTCCAAAATATATATACGAAGAGTTTTCATTGGAATCATTTATTTTGCTAGAAAGACGTTCTGCTGCAAAAAGCTCATAAGTGGAAGAAAGGTGCTTATAGCTGCCATTAAATGTAAAAATTCTAATCAAAGGCAATATGTACATTTCTACTCCAATGCAGGACGAGGTAAACAACATGCAGACACAGTAAGTACACCACAAGTGGTTACAGTTTGTCTCATTAATCCCCTCCAAGTGTTTGGTGCTCTTCCACACTAACTAACACAAACACACAGGGAGCTTAATGGCGCCTCAACCCCGATTCCGTTGTGTCCGTTAATCTGTTAATTGATTGGACAACCTTAAGTGACTGTCTAGTGCAGCTCAGTGCTTCAGCTACTGAGGGCACGAAGTGGAGTTAAGTGACACGTAACCTGTGGGCCGATAACGGATAATCCTGGAGCATTTAGTTTAGGTTAAATCAAATATTATGCAGAATGCCGGCTCCTTCATCTCCTCGTTCTTGTGTATTTCTATTTTTTAATTTTCCAAACCCATCATCACCTTCAAACATATGAAATAAACTATTTCTACAAACAAAACTATTGCTTTTATTATAAACATATTTTTAATAAACACAGATCCTCCACCAGTCAAAGTGTAAACAGTATAAGTGAAAGGCTTTGACCTCTAAGAATAATGATATAATAAATATAAAATTGTCTTTAGGTCTTTATGGCCTGTGCATGTGGCTAAGGAGGATTAAAGATTACCCCCCCCCCCCTACTGCTGACCTCTTCATGTCTGGAAGGAGATTTAAACAATGACAATGATCACTCAAGTGTGTTTGTCACAATCATCTGGCAGAACAAATCCTGCTTACCCTGTTTCCTTAAGCTGGACTCGGTGAATAAAAGTAACAATTCCCGTTACCTCCTCATATGAATGAATAATTCATCTTTAGTTTTTTCCCCTCACAAAAAAGAAGAATGCTATTTAAATGAATGACATCCGAGGCTCTCAGACATGAAAGCGAGGATGTGGCCACATCTGCTCTCCCACCTGCTGGGTTTACGGCCTCCACTGTCCCCACGGGTGTCCCCGGCGGTGCGTCTTCAGGCACCGTAAAGGTGTAACGGGACCTCTTGAACACAGCTGGAGCCTGGGCGCTGCGCAAAACATTGATGGTGACCTCCGCGGGCCGGGCGGCGTTCACGCCCTCCCCGTCCCGAGCGGTTACTGAGAGCTTCACGCTGGCTGCACCCAGGTGGGTGAGAGTGGAGGTCAGCAGGAGCGTTCCTACAGCGACGGGACAATGTGGAAATATTTTAGGCACGAAGGTCAGACAGTCCTCTCGAGGTTGATTTTACCACAAGTTTCTCTCAATTAGTGCCAAGAAGAGGAGGCAAAAATGCAAAAAATATATAGATTCTGGTTCATTTCTCAATTGTAAAAATGTAAAGCTATTGATTTAAAATATTCTTTTTACTTTAGGACAAACAATTTTAACGCATCCCGTTGGGCTTTCAGAATCAGAAAAAAAATCAGATTGATGAGTAAGGAAAAGTTTAGTTGACGTCAAAGAAATGAAACCTTCTTTTAATTAAAAAGTAGGTCGCACATAAATACAGTTTAGAGAAAAACAGGTTAATGAAAAAAAACACTTCACAAGAGGTTAGGATGGTCTAGTTAAGATACAGCTACATAGATTTGCAACATACTGCATTGGAAACTATTTGTTTACCGCAATGACAGACAGACAGACAGACGGGATGACAGACAGACAGACAGACAGACGGGTCGGGAATGTGACTCATTTCTTTCAAACCCGAATCCACCTTTTAATCCCGTCCCCAGAATCAACACGTATCCACTTTGGAAAAACATTCACGTGTTGGAGGGAAATGCACTCTTTGGAAAACGTTTTTTCTTGTTCTACTTTCTTAAGTAGCACATGGTGGCCGAGTGCAGGTCTTACTCTCGGGCCACATGGGGATAATTAAGCTTCGGGCCTTCTGCGTCAAACCCAACCCCCCCCCCGGCCCCCCGCTGAGCAGGGACACCTGCGATCACGAGGACTTACACAAAGTAAGTAGCTGTTTATCCCTCCATGAGGCACACGCGCAACTTAAGGAACAGTGAGGGGACAAGTCAAATTCAAATAAAAACTCCCTGAAAACCAGAATGCCTGTAGAGGAGAGGTTGAGGCCCCCCCCCCCCCCTCTTTCTGCTTGTGTTTTTGGGGGGGCTTTGACATTTATTTGCCTTCTTTGTCTTGTGTTGATATCTAATAGGTATCTGAGAGGGAAGAAAACATAAAAATAAATGTCTGGCCCTGACCCAGTCCCTTGTCTATCTTTTGTTATGTGTTTTTCCACGCACATTTTGGACAGACAGATAAAATATATAAAAATAAAAATGTATTCTTGCATTGATTTTCACTCTCGCTTTAAACTTTCTAACAGCAACCCAACATCTTGCGAACCAAACGTGTTCTTTATTTGTTTGCTTTTCTTCTCTACCTGTTGTTGCATCCAGTGAGAACAACCCGGACACGTCCCCGGGCAGGACGTGGTAGGTCACCCGTCCGAACCGGCCCGAATCTCTGTCGGAGGCGACGACGTTGAGGATCTCGGTGCCGGGCTGCGCGTGCCCGCTGATGCTCGCCGCGTACTCGCCGGGGTTAAACACCGGCGCGTTGTCGTTCAGGTCCTCCACCTCGACGCGCACGTGGGTCTGCGCGCTCAGGCCTCCCTGGCATTTTTGAAAAGGGACCTTTTAGTTTAAGGCGCGTTGCATTATACGACGAGATCAAACCCGAGTCCACTCACCGGGTCTTCGGCTCGGATCAGGACGTCGTGGACCGTCTGGCCCGAGTCTCGGTCGATGTCCCGCGAGACGCACAGCTGTCCGGTGCGCGGGTGGACGCTGAAGAGCGGGTGTTTGTCCTCCGCGTCGAAGCCGTCCGACAGAGAGTAGAGCAGCTCGCTGAACTCTGGGCCGTCTGCGTCCGTGGCCACGACCTACCGGGTCCAGAGGGAAGACACAGTTACGACCCAAACCACAGTTGGTGACAACCGAGGTGCATTAACGAGAACGCACAAGTATGAAGGAGAGGGGATCCTAAATAGTCCTAAACATATTCCACTTCTCTAACTGTAACTGCATTGAATGATGGAGGATGTATTAAGTGGTGTATTGTGTGTTTATCACGTAGTGGGTCAATGTTAAAGGTTTAACCTCGGTTGTAATCAGGAATCATAATACTTCTTTGTTCTGCCAGAGAAGGTGGACGTAATAAAAGCATAAATGCTCAGAATCAGACGGGTGTCCCCGCAGCGGGAAAGAAGAGACACACCTTCGGATCCCAGAGAGATCCTTTCATGTCTCACCTGGCTGAGAGAGAGAGACAGCTCACTTTCAAGCCATAAAGATGAGATATCAGCTCAGAGATTATGAACTCTGATCAGGGGGACTTTCACAGGAAAAGGCCTGACTAACACCGACTTCTGAACCAACTTTATGTTCCTTTACGACGACCGGGGAAAACCATTGAAACACTCCCTCTGATCTCTGGCAATGAGACAAACACGTCTCACTCTTTCTTGACGTTTCACAGACTAAATAGTTCATACGAAACTACATCAACATTTGAATTGATTATGAAACCGGCCTTAACTTATAGCACATGTTCTGCTTTTGTTTTTAAAACATTTTAAAACACATTTTTTTGCAAGTAACTAAAACCTCCATGTACACTAGACCCTTAATCCAAAACTAAAAGCTTTCGAGAGACAAAACCTAATCAACAATCACGTACTTTTTTTGTTTGGTGTGAATGTGAATGTGTTGGTTGTGTTTGCAGTTGGAAGGCTTTGGTTAATGAATCGTTCAGGCTGCATGAGTGGTACCAGGCATTGCAACTGTCATTAAAGTCACAGTGCTGAACTGCAAAGTGTGCGTTGGTTGTGTTGTTTGTTTGTTTTGGACAAACACTGGTGTCTTTGTGCCGGTCGTCGGACTGAAAGCCGCTTTTGTCTGTTGTGTAAAAAAAAAAGGAGACGGCGAGAATGAGCTGTTGAATGATCACACTGGGGACTTTGGGAGAAATTGCTCTGCTTTGCACTGAAATCCAGAGCTCATTGTGAAAGTACTCTATACTACTCTGTGTATAATTATCAAGTCGATGGCGCGAAAAAGAAAAAAAAAGCAAAGATCAGACATCCTCCATTCCAAAAAAGCAACACGGTCAATGTTTTCCTTGGTTGTGTGTTGACCTCTGAGGATCAGGGGCAGTGGCCTTTTTGCTTGGACAACTGAAAGGTTCATTTCTCTGTCGCTCCACCTGCTACAGTCTCCAGCTATTAAAAGGTTCCGGCTCAGACCCGATACCATTGAAGTGAATGGCATTGTGGATCATTGATCATTTAAATGTGATTGGGTTTCAGACGTTGACCGTGACAATTCTGGTGTCAGCTGTAATACAGCCTTAAAAATGCCCCCCCCCCAAAACCTGAAGAGGTGCACGTGTGTGAGGTCAAGTGAGGTCACCACCTCGGCGTGTTTCACTCTCCGTACTTGCAAGAAGCAGCTCCCGACGTCGCCGTGCTCGGGTATGGACACGTTGTACAGCTGCCGCTGGAACACGGGCTCGTTGTCGTTGACGTCCTCCACCAGCACGGTCACCGTCGCCGTGGACGACAGGGCCGGTTCTCCTCCGTCAGCCGCCACCACCAGGAACCGAACCTCCGCCCGCGCCTCTCTGTCCAGGGCCGCCGCCGTGGTGACCCAGCCCGACTCCGGATCGACGCTGACCGGGCCGTCGCGGTCGAACCCCGGGATGGAGTACCTGACCTCCGAGTTGACCCCCTCCTCGTCGGCGTCTCGAGCGCGCACCTGGATGAGGGCGCTCCCCCGTGGCGCGTCCTCGGGGACGCGGACGACGTACGCGTCCCTCTCGAACGCCGGGCGGCAGTCGTTGGCGTCCGTCACCCGCAGCAGGAGCACCGTCTCGCTGCTCAGAGGCGGGCTCCCGGAGTCCGACGCCCGCACCTTCAGCTCGAACAGGTCCCGCTCCTCCCGGTCCAGCTGCGCGTTTACGCACAGCGCGTAAAGGTAATCATCCGTCTGCGTCAGGATGAACTTCCCGTCGTCGCCGTCCTCCTCCAGCGTGACGGTGACCCTCTCCTCCTTAAAGTCCGGGTCCGACACCGAAATCCGGGCGACGTAGTCCCCGACGGCCGCGGCCTCGGACACCACCGCCTCCCCGGTCTCGCTGAGAAACAGCACGCTGACGGCGGGGCTGTTGTCGTTGACGTTGAGCACCTTGACGCCCACGAAGGCGCTGCTGCTCTCGGGCTGAGCCCCGTTGTCTCGGGCGCCGACGACCAGCTCGTGGAAGGCCTGCGTCTCGTAGTCGAGCGGCTTGTTGAGGTACACCAGCCCGCTGGTTTCGTTGATGGAGAACACCTCGTCCGGGTCGCTCTGCCGCCGGTTGATCTCGTAGGTGATTCGGCCGTTCTCGCCCAGGTCCAGGTCGGTGGCGGTGACCTGGCACACGGCCGACGCCACCGCGGCACCCTCCGGCAGCGAGGCGTGATATTCGCTGCGGTCGAACGCGGGGGGGTTGTCGTTCTCGTCCAGGACGCGCACGTTCACCTGGAGGGTCCCCGTCCTGGCGGGGACGCCCCCGTCGAAGGCCTCGATGGCGAGAGAGTAGAAGTCCAGCGTCTCCCTGTCCAGTCTGCTTGTCAGGACGAGATCCAGGCTCGGGTGGTCCTCGGATCCGCTCCGATACTCCAGGCGGAACAACTCCCCCACGCCGCGCTCCGTGATCCTGTATCCCTGCGTGCCAAACTCGGCCTCGTCTTCATCTCTGGCACCCTCGAGGTGAAACCGACTCCCCGGGGGGCTCTGCTCGGAGATTTCCAAGTCCACCGCCTCCGAGGGGAACTGTGGAGAGTGATCGTTGACATCTTCCACCTCCAGTTTCACGCGTATCACCTCCCCCGCGAGAGTGGCCGCCACGAACTCGTATTTGTCTCTGCTCTCTCTGTCCAGGACCACCGCCGTGGAGATGATCCCCGTGTCCGCGTCTATCTCCAAGTCTCTGAACACGTACGAGTCTCTGCTCTCCGAGATGAAGAAGCCGGTGCTTGGCCCGCTCAGCCCCGCTGACAGATCACCAACGATGGTTTCGGCGGGCAAACCCTCCTTGACGGACAGCGTCAGGTTGAACACCTGTCCGGACGAGTGCGCGCAAAGCAGCGGCAGCGCGAGGGCGCGGAGGAGCCACGCCGCGGCACCTCCGCGACCCGTCGCGGCTCTCCACATGGCGTTGACCTCTTGGTTCCCGGTCGCTAAGTTCGTTTACATTATTTCCTTTGGCTCCTCGGTCTCATTTCACGGCGCTCCTCCAAACGGAGACAATAAAACGCACCGTGCATTTCTTTTGCGCAGGGAAACAGCCAGCAGTCATTCTCCAATATCTCGTATAATATCCAATAGCTTCTCACGATATCTCAGCAGCGTCTTGTGTGGTTTTTTGGAGGCTAGATATCCGCGCATCCAGGAGCGCAAAGGGTTCCGTCCTCACGCGTCGTGGCACCGAAGTGGCCTACAGAGCACCAACTGCGCGCATTGAACACACCTCCTGGCGCGGCGGGACGTCCCACGCGGATCGGCTCCATCCGATCTGATCTTTTTCAGGTTTAACGAGGCCGAGAGGGTTTGACCTGTGGAAAAAAATCACAAGGTGTTGCAGGAAGGAAGAGCAAGACAAGATGCGGAGAACGTTAAATTGCTTTAATCTGTGTTTCAGCCCGCCGTGGCTTTAGTAAACACGCTTTGAATGAATCAAATGTAAATAGTTTATGAGAGTTACATCTGAGCAAAAGTCCATTTGTTATTGAGGTGGCACCCTCTTCTGATGAACGTGACAACTGCAGGCACTGCACGTTGATGGGATGATTCCTGAAAGTCTGAGGCCCCCACCGGCCTTCACCCATAAAATGTCAACTCAAAGAAACACTACCAACCTGCAGAAAGAGACGATGCCCAAAGAGAAATAACAAACGACAACAAAGAGAAACAGAAAACCACAAAGACATCTGACATGACTACCTGGATACAAATCAAACAATAAAGTCTGATGTCCAGGTTCGGGCTTGGAGGAGCAGCCTTTTGCAGGTCTGTTGTCGTGGTTCACGTAAGCGTGTTTTCTAAATCTGAAAATGCTGCATCGAAACAATTCAAAAACATCTGGTTCTAACGATGTTATTTAGAAAAAAAGGGTTTGGGGATTATTTCTGCACCGCTTGAACAATAGGATCGGTGTACGACGCGTCTGCTGAGATAAGACGTCCGAGTAAAGAACGTGACGGTCCTCGCACAATGAGATCTGTGTACGTGCACAAACCCTCCCTGATGTCTCTCCAGTGGACATGTGGGCGCTGGAGAAGGAAACCTCTGAGTAGCATCGACGCACCACTTGTTTCTGTCTCCTGTCTGCAAACATTATTGTCACGTAAGTTTGTTCTCATAAAGCTCTGTAATTGTAAACTGTTGAACTTTGCCCAACAGATTCTTCTGCGCGGCATTGAGCCAAATACTCAGTTGCCTTCAGTTGCGTCGTGCTCTTGTACTCATTGAGGCACCTGCAGATCTTTTGACACTGGGGATTCAGTGTCTTGCTCAAGGACACTGAGACATGCAAACTATAGAGAACACGGATCGAACCGCAGTGTAAAACATTACAGCCTTGTTTGGTTATGTCCACTTCCTCTTCAACAGTTAAAGTCACAAAGTCACATGAATAAAAATTCTGCATGGACCATTTTGTTACATTTTTGTTGGGGCCCGACAGAGAAAGTTTGAGAACCACCACCAGATACTTGGATAAGAATTCAAAAAAAAAGGAGGAAAACAGTAAGTCAGTATGTGAAAAATGTAGATTTTATTAAACGCAACAGAAATAAACCAATCATTTGTTTCAGGGTCTGTAAAACTGGTTAAAAAAAAAAAAAACTTCTACAATTTGAAAACATTGTGTCCTTCTGCAGAGTTTGACTCGTGCACTCTGAGACTGGCTGATGTTGGTGGATCAGACGGACCAGAGAGCCGCTGTCGTTAAGAACACTTCGGGAGGTTCCTCGCAGTTCAAAACGGACATTTTATTGGGCTAACATCGTACGATTAACCATTAGGCGGTTTTTGGAATAAAAACAGGACTATTATGAAAACGCATTAGCAAGCAAAACTTGATGGGCATTTTCTTTTTTTTACAAAAAGGAGGTTTTTGTAGAAATAAAATTGAACAATGCTGCATTGTAATGACATGAGGAGCAAATGCAGAAAACAATTAGAATCGTTTCCTCTTGAGGATTTCTGGTTTCCAGTTGACTGGATGGCTTTCTTCCGTCTGCAAAAAAGGAAAAACAAAAAGGTTTTTCACCCGTCTGCCGCCATCAGCTAACGCTAAAATAAAACTATGAACATCGCGGCCGAACTTACCGCCGTGTCGTCCTCTTTGTACACTTTGATGGTCTTGTCGGCCTCGGCGGTGATCAGTCTGCTCTCCGAGTTGTCGAACATGCAGGCGAAGATGCCCGACTCGCTGTCCAGGGACCCGGGCTGCACGGCCGCGTGAATCCGCTGGAAGTTGTAGCCTGTTCTCCAATCCCACATGTGGATGGTTCCGTTGTCGGCTACGGAGACACAACGGAGAGGAGTATCGTCCGCGCGATGCGTTTAAAACCCGACCATGTGATCCCCTAGACCCGTTGGCCCAAATAAAAAACCCAAAACAATTATCTAGTATGGCGCCTCAGAAGTCCTGGTTAATTGTGCTTACCTCCAGACACCAGCACGCCATCAGAATTAACAGCCAGAGTGTTGATGATGGCGTTGTGGCCCGACAGGTTCTGGATGAAGTTGCCATCTGGGAACATCCACTGCTTGATGTTGTCGGCTGAGCCAGAGGCAAAAGTGTATCTGAGAGGGGAATAGAAGACAAAACGTTACTGGTGATTTATCAACCCGAAGGCCAAACGTCTTCGTTCAGTTCCAACGCAGACTCATTCTATAGTAACGCACTGTACACTACATACATTAGGGTCATACAACTTACTGCCTGGGGTGCAGCGCCAGAGTTCGGACAGACTTCTTGTGGTTGGTCAGAGTTGCTCGGGTTTTCCCAGCGATCAGATCCCAAAGTCTGATGGTTGAATCGTGGCTTCCTGCAAGACGTTAATCGGTTGTCATTTAAGCAGCTGGAGGCAGAACGATCGGCGACGACTTCCATGACGACAGAATCAGCAGCTGGAGGTTCAATTTACCAGTGATGACTTGCGGCTCTGCACCCTGACATCTCACGGTGGCCACAGTGTTGGTGTGGCCCGTCAGCGTGTGCACGTTAGCTTTGGACCGGATGTCCCAGACCTGCGGGGACAGATCGGTTAGGAGTTAGTCCACCATGTTATTCACACGTCAGCAGGGTTGCCTACTTGGGTTTACTGGCTGGAGTGAAATTGGGATCACTTGGCTAAATTGTGTCGCACGCCGGATCGTGGACACATTTTATTACAGCATCAATGCAAATGGTGCATTTGTTCAAGAAGAACACCAGTCGAAGTGCAATATCTCATTACTGGGAATCGCAAAGTTGAAATGTGGTCTCATCTAGTCTTTATTAAATGTTGTTACAACTCACACGCACAAATGTGAACTTACCCGGGCTGTGGAATCCCTGCTGCACGTCACCAGCACGTCAATGGTTGGATGTAGGTCGATATCGTACACCGCACTAAGGTGTCCGTGGTAGTGCCTGATGACCTAGTACACAAAATCACATCGTCAGGAGAATACTAACCAGGATAAACCAGCAACTGAAATCGCTTTTTAACGGCCCTCCCATTACGTCATACCTTGTTGTACTCCAGATCCCAGCACTTGACCTGCTTGTCCTCTCCACAGGAGAACAGGTAAGGGCTGCGGTTGCTGACCGCCACGCCACGCACCGTGCTGATGTGTCCAGTCAGGGAGAGTTTCAGTTTGCCACTGGCCAGGTCCCAGATCTGTCAAGACAAACGCCATTCATCTTATAGTAGCACATTTTTAAGGACATTCATATAAAGTTGTAGATACTGAAAAAAAGCAATATGTTCCTGTTGGTAACAAGTTGTTATAATATATTAAATATAGTATATACATTTTTTTTTACAGGAGTAGATTTTCCAGACATCACGTTTTCTTTTTTTTATTCTGACACATTTCAGCTCTACTCGCCTTTATGGTTCTATCAGCGGACCCCGTGACAAACCACTGATTCCCCGGCTCCACGGCGATGGATCTCACCCAGCCGAGGTGACCGCTGATGACCTATCAGATAAAACATACTACGGCTTAGCATAACGCACACAGACCACAGGTGCAGTCCTCGCTTTGGCATAACGGTGTTGCGGCCAAATTATTTGTATTTACCCGGAACAGCTTCCATGGTGGATGCCACTGGGGTCTAGGCATGGTTGGTGCTTTCCTCGCGAGCGTAGAATTTCTGGTGCCGCCTCCTTCCAACAGCGACTGGGAGAAATAAAACATTTGTGCGTGTGTGTCAGCTTTTCACTTCTGCGTCAACAAGATGCCTCATCAACGTGCACATAGTCCAGAAGGTACCACGGCGGTCGACTGGGGGTGAGATCTCTCTGCTCCGCCTGCGTGCCGATGGATGTCCCCCACGCTGGCTGCAGTGCGGCTCGCGTCCAGCCTGAAATTCATAAAGCACGTGGACCTCGCTTACCAATACGAACAAGTGATAATTAAGAGATTGAGAGCCTTACATTTACACACAGTGGAGGGGAGAATAAAAAGAAGAAGCTTTACCTGGCTTGTGATGGCGGCAAAGCCAGCGCCATGGAGTGGACGCCTCCCTCACTTGGATTCCTGTGCATCTTTGTGTCAGCGGTCAGGGCCACTCCTGTAGAAAGAAATTCAGTGAGCGGTCGCGGTGCAATTACATGCATGCAGCTTGGTTAAATTAACAGTATTTACCGGGTCCAGAGGGATACGCATGTGTCCCGGTGATCAGGTAATCCGGGTCATCCCCTGAAACACAAACCACAGATCAGTTTTTGGGCCTCAGCAACAGGGACGCTTTTCTTTAAATTGTCCCAAATAAATAACAAAACATTTCTCAAAACCGGAAGCAAAGAAATCACATATCTGCATGGACGCGTTTCCTTTGTAATAAAGTTGGTTTTGCACTCACCTGGCTGTGTGTAGCTCTGGTGGCCCAACATACTGCCAGCAAGCTGGGACACTCTTTCTGTCCCTTCTTTCAAGACAGGCATGTGTAGAACTGCACTGTAATCCGCCTTCAGTTTCACACCCATCTTCATCTTGTGGCTGCAAATACAAAATTGCATTGCATTCAAAAATCATTTATTTTTGACCATAAAATGCGATGCATAAACAATATACAGATGATTGCTTTGAACAGTAGAATCTGTTGTCATGGTGTGTCACGTTTTACATAACACTAATATATTTTACATAATACTATAATATATTAAAAACAGATTCATCCGGTTTGGTTAAGCCACTTAAATAATAGACATATCGCTGACGACTCTGCATTTTCAAGCAATGGAAAAGTGTCTTTATCAATACGGTAACGGTAATGATAAGCAGGTTATGAAAATGAAATAATGGAATACACTACTGGTTGTAGAAATATGAAATTGAGTTAACAGATTTTCAGAAGTTACCTTTCTTCGTCCTGCGCGATGGACTTCGCATGGTCGGACACAAACATATCATGCGTCCTTTTGAGGGACCTGAAGACCAGAGTGTGGACAGAGTGCTTCTGGACGTCCTGCACAACGAAATAACAAAACCTCATGACATTACATGTTACCTACACCAATTCGGCGACATTCATAAAACGCCCCCAGGCTTCAATATAAAGCATACGAGCAATACATCGCATCGAGAATTTAACGCGATCCAGCAATCAGCCGGGCCCCGATTTGGGATAAGTTACGTTGCGGAGAGTCTGAGCGGGAGATAAAGAGAAAACAACCCAGGACGAGACTTCAAACCTCGAATTACCTCGGCCATTCTGATGGAATCCACACGGACAAAACACCACGGCGGAAGAAACTTCTCCTTTGTTAGGATTACTGTTTGGTAGCTCTCAAAGATGTAGCACGATCATGAAAACATGGCCATCCGCAACGCCGGTGAACCGTTGAACCGGAAGTAAACGTCACCAACAGGAGGCGGAAGTCATTCAGCGCCCCCTTCCGGCCGGGAGGCGTAAACCAATACAATTATTCAAAACAACACCTAATGGACAAAGGCTGCACAAGATAATGTTATGACCGGATTAAACAAGTTCGATTTTGTATTGTCAGTAACAATGGTGTGTGTATGTATGTGTTGATATAATATATGAAATTTGCAGTGAGCAGTACAGGCCAAAGTTTGGTTTGCAGCCTCCTGTACTAAGCCATGTTTGCCCAACAGGGAACATTGATCAATGGTTATCCAATCCTTCAATGCCAAAAAACTTAATGCACTTAGTGCAAAGTGTGCAGGAGTCCGTTTCAAGTAGGAGGTTTAACAAACTCTGCGTTTCCACTAAACCTGCTTCTTGAAACAGACTGGTGGCCACGCTGTTGCATTGTAGGACTAATCAATCCGGTTCAGAACTAAAAATATTCATGCAGTGTTGCTGTGATTAAAGTGAGATCAATTTCTAAAAACACCCATCAACTGAAGGGACTTTGTAAAGTAAGGCAGAGGGGGGAAGGGGGAATCAAGCCTTTTTGAATAATTATTTTGCCTTATATTAGACCATTTTACTTGGCACGAACTTCGACAACAAAGATGGAATTTGGACTCCACATGTCGTTATTGACTCTAGTGCAATGAAGCATGAGGACAAGGGCTACAAGCAGTACACAATGCAAAGTAAATAAACTGATCAAAACAAACATGGCATGCTCCGATCAAACTCTTAACTCTTAATAACTGGTGTTATTGGTGTCCTGAGTGATACTCCAGTTAGTATTCAAGGGTTGGCCTTAGGGTATAAGTGAGAGAAAAAAAAAGTTCACTTCATAGGTAAGCTGTTATTAAAGATGAATGCATAAAAAGATATACAAATGTCAAAAGATTAAGGCGGAGCAGCACATTACCATAAATGTAAGTGGGGTGTTTTCAGGGAGATTATTTATTTTCCTTGTCTCTTTGAAGAGCACTTTAGTTTAATTAATTTGCAAACTTCCTCAATTTATACTGGAATAGTTTCCAGTGCCTCTTGCACTGAAGATCACTGCCTCAGTGAACATTTTTGACCATTCAAATGATGTGTTGAGTATGACATGTATTGTGTTTTGTTCCATGTAAAGCAAATTTATTTGAACTGGTGAAGGTTTCAATTAAACCTTCAACTGAATTGGCTTAAAATGTCCTCTAGCAAGTTAAATAATCCAAAATCCCAAAACTTCTGTAGCTCGTAATAATCTGGGTGAATTTTTAATCATTTTAAGAGTTATTGAAGCTCTCCCAGAGTGGTTTTGAATTTGTCATACAGCTAATAAATTGGACCCATTATCTATTTAAGATGGTATTTTTTTCAAAGTATGTGTATTGGTCATACATGCATATGTCCACTTGAAAAAACTGAAAAAGCACATGAAAAAGTTTTGGCAGATTCCATTCCGATATTTATCTTGCAGCGTTCTCGATTATTTATTTTTACGAGCTGCGTTTGTCTCACCTCCACATTGTTTTCACAGAGCAGCTCTGCGTCGACTGAGTCCAACCAAGGCCACGAGGTAATGAGCATTTTAAGAAAAGATTTATTTCTAAAAACAACACTGAGGACAAACAGTGTCCTGCCAAGTCAGATCAGTAAAACCGGTACAAACATCACGCATCACAAAGTCAGCGAGTGTTTTTTCTCTTACAGATGGTGACGCTTTTTAAGGTGCATACCTTGTTGCGAACAGTTTTGTGGAACTTCACACGTTAAACTGCTCTCAACAACGCCTGCTCGTTGCCATCGAGTGACCAGGTCACGATGTCCGGAAAGGGTCGTTGCCGTTGAGTTTTTCAAATACATTTATTGACGCTTTGAGCACCTCAAGCTGAGAGCCATTTCGTCCCATTACATTTAGGAAAAGGCAGACACATTTTCAAGACAAAATTTCAGGAGCAAAAGCTCATTTCTCTTCTTTTTAGAACTCAAGTCCAGGGAACTGTTTCACGGTCTGCTGCCCACCGCCCGCCGTGATGCGGCTGAGCGGAATGAGCTTCATGGTCGTCTCCTTCAGGGAGTACCAGCGGTTGTGCCACGTAACCCAGATAATGCCATTGTCGAAGCCAAATTCTCCTGCGTCCTTTTCCGTGTACCTGCCACCTAGACGGAGAAAAACACAGGCCGTTAAGGGTGGAAGCCATTTTTTTTCCCCCATTCATGTAAATGAGTGTGTGGGGGCCAGTTGATCGTTCTTCTTCTTCTTCTTCTTCTTCTTCTTCTTCTTCTGCTCGTAGTGTTTCAGCCACGTGGTCTTACCCTGGTAGTATTTGCCGTTCAAATGTCCGGCGTGACATCTGTTCATCCACCAGCCGGAGCCGTCCTGCTCGGCGCAGTTGCCCCCGTACTTGTCGTTGTCCTTGTCGAAGGTACTGAACTGCATGCCGTTGTGGGACGTGTAGAACTTGTCGCTGGGATCGTCCCCAAAGTCGAAGCCGTCGAAGGCGTCTCCGGCGTCGCCCCCGAAGTAGTACCCGTACGTCAGGCGGTACATGTCGATCTCGGGTCCGACTCGGAACATGGTGTAGTCGGCATGTCTTCAGGAGTCCACGAAGAGGAGAGAAGAATCAGTTTTCTGGAAACCTCGATGAGTCATTTTTTTTTTTCCCTCTTCAAAGGGGGAAACGCCCTCGCGGGGTCATGTTTGCCCCGAGTCCCTTTGCCCGCCGCTTGCGCAATCTGTTATCGCGCGCGCGTGCGTGTGTGTTTGTGTGCGTACGTACTTTTTGTTGCCGTCCCAGTCGACGAGCTCTATCCTCAGCACGGTCGGCATGGTGGTGGTGGCCGTCAGGAGGTGGATCTTCTCGTTGCCGAGCCAGAACTCCGTGGTGTCGTCCGGCGAGAGGTAGCCGAAGCCGTTCTTGTACTGGATCCAGTCCTTCTTGAAGTCCAAGCTGCCGTCGCGTCTCTGTGGAGGCGAAGGAGTGATCGGTGTCAGTCTCCATGGCGGGGGACAGTCTTTTGGACCCTCGCCCCCTTCAGACTTTATGATAAACTTTCATTTCATTTCAATTCATACACAACCGGCCTTGCATCATTTCTTCCGTTATATCCAAAGAGAGCAGTAACGACAGTGAACACATGACCCCCGCTAACAGTCCCTTATTACGACTTGTCTTTTCTTCAAAGCAAAAAGGCCTTCTTATTGACAGCAGAGAGACATTTGTCCCCAAACAGTCTAGGACACATCAATTCAAACAGAAAAAAGGTTGTTTTTTGTTGAAAACAGACCAAACAACCAGAGACTCTGGAGGACAAGTGCAGGGGGGTCGTACCCTCTGTATGACCGTAAAGCCGCGTCCGAAGCTGTCAATCTCACAGTAGACCAGGAACTGCTCGGGGGCTTTAGCTGGCTTCACATAATAGAGGCCACTGATGGTGGCGCCTTTGTTCGCAATATCCTGGCAGTCTGATGAACGAAACGGGGAGAGGATGGAGAAGAAAGAGGTTAGTTAGTTCAACATATTTTTTTAATCCACATTACAGATTATTTTCCTGTCGTTGGATTTATTTATTTGTTAAGATTGAGAAATAACTTGTTAAACCCAATCGATTGCACGTTGAACAAATCTGTTCATTTTCCATATTGATTTTTTTAGTCCCTAAATAAACACTGAACTCGGCCAAATGTTCAGATGAGCCGTGATTGAGAAACCTCTTGTGCAGAGAGGATGATCCGAGGGTTAATGAATGTCATTTTCCTTGCCCCCCCCCCTACCTGTTCCTGTGAGGGGCTGGATCTCCACCGAGTCCTTGCAGGGCTCACTGCATTTCTGCTGCAAGTTGACGGAGAGTTGCTTCAAGTCTGACATTCTCCTCTCGTTGGAGGAAATTAAATTCTGAAGATCACTGGAAAGAGAAGAGAAGTTCTGAAGTGCAACACACGGAAGCTTCAAATATATTATTTAACAGATAAGACAAAAGTAAGAAGCTACGGAAAAGAAGAGAAACCATTGAGGGATCTAAAATCAGAAAAATGTGTTAAACATAATAACAAATGATGAAGGGCAAACGGTGCCATTTAATTACAAACGGTGCCTCACTTTATTTGCTGCTCCTGTGCAATGACGGTCTGTTCAAATCGACGGATGTCATCCAACATACTTTGGGATTTTTTGTAGTACATATCTGAAACATAAAGTCGGTCTCGGTAATGATCCCCACGCAGCAGCTTTTCAATACTTCTGAGTTCTCGTCAACGGGGGGAATCGAACGCACGCTACCTGGCTGCGAGGTCTTCTGGGCTGAAAGCGCAGAGTCCTTCATGTAGACGACGGTCTCCTCCGTCTCCTTCGTGAAATTGGCGATTGACTCAAGTTGCTGCTGCAATCTTTCCAAATCCCTCTCCACGGCCGGCATGTACCTCAGCATGTAGTCAGACACTCCGCATGTGGTGGGACAGTACTCCCCCTGAGCACACGAAGAACACTCATCAGCCGCGCACAAATCCATCCACACAACACCGTCTTTTGTCTCTGGCTACTCACAAAGCCGTCGTTTCTGGTGCACGTGGCGATGCTGTCTCCTCTGGTTTGCTGCACAAACAAAAGAACCACCACAACAACAACAACAGCATGATCTAGAGATCTGCGCTCAAGAAAAGCCCGGCGGCCCAAAATCGGAAATCCTGTGACTCACCGCCGACGAGAAGGAGAAAAGCAGCAGGAGTCCACCTGCCGTTGCGAGGAGTGATGGAGCCATGTCGCCTGGGGACGCCAGTATCGCGCTCGTCTCCTCCGGGGAATGGCGAGCTGCTCGCCCGCGCGGGATATTTATCCGATCAAGGTCCTTGGGTCAGCGTGCGATAAGGGGGGTTCGTGTGCAAACATCCCATTCGCTGCGGCGCTGCTGTGACTCAAAACGTTTGGTCACTTCCCAAACGTGACGGGCACTGCAGCGGAGATGGAAGGAACACGTTGTCCTTGGTCTCTGATTTGGTGGGTTAAATGCTCAGCGCTTCAAAGCATCCCAACAGTAAACTCCACTTGACCGAGGATCCCAGATCCTTCAGATCAGTGGTTCTCAACCGGTCTGGCTCCGGGACCCACCATCACCCCTTAATGACAAGCCCAAACCCAAACCCTAAACCCAAACCCGAATCGAGGAACATTCTCAACTTCTCAAATTTATTTCATGAAAATATGGTGCAGTTTGAACCTGAGAGAGTATGGAGACAGAATACGTCTGCCAACACAAAAACAAGTTTAATGAAAAAACCAAACACAGCTGTTAATTCTAATTAATTCGCGGACCCACCAGTTGAGAATCACTGCTTTAGATGGACTAAATAAGTATTTTATCAAAATGGCAACGATAAAAGAAAGCTGAGCCGTCACACTTTTCCGGTTGCACTAATGCGGTTGTGTCATTTACGTACAAAATGTCATCATATCCAAACGTCCCTGTGAAACATTAACTCAGCCGGTTTGATGGATCAGCTCGCAGGCGGGCGAAAACACACGGGGGTCCGTTTCTGCCAGGACAATAAAAACAAATCAATCGGCCTCTGACGCAGCTCAAAGGGAAGTGTCGTTTGTAAATGGATGTGAGGATTTTAATTTGACCTCTGTCAGAACTCTGAGTTAAAGTGCTTATGATCTAAGCATCCTTTTGTTATTTTTTCACGTGTTAAGCGCTAGAGGTCGGGGGGGATGATGCCGACCTTTCACTAGAAGCCGAAGACACATTTTCTGTGAGATGAAGCTAAATACGACTAAAAACTGAAACATTCGCTGGTGCGCTGCTCTGAACATGTGTGTGTGGGTGTGTGTGTGTTTGTGTCTTTGTTTACTTGTGACACACAAGGGAGACAAATGAATCACAGAATTAACAGATGTTGCGAAATCAACCTTCAGGAGAATGAAATGTAAACTACGACAGAACCAGACACACTTAATTGCTTCACTGATTTCACTCTGAGGAAACAAAGGAGATTTCACACGTTTTAGGAAGTGAATGCCGCTGAGATGAAATGTTTGCTACTCTCTGAACTCTCTTTGATAGGTTCTGTCTATCAATTGATGTCTTTGTTGTCATTTCTGGCAGTTTGGAGAGACACTGAAACAACATGTTGGAAAACGTAATTTACAAAAGATTATATGATCGGTTACAGAATAAATGAAATGCAAAAACAACCAAACAACGTCTGTTCAAACTCAATGCACGTCGGAGTCTCTTTGTTGAAGATTTCTTTTATTTCCTTTGAATCTCTTGCTGTTGCTTTGCCTCTTTTTGTCGTTGTTTAGTGTCTCTTTGTGGTCATCGCGGATCTCTCTATTGGTTTGTGTGCGCTTGTGTTCCCTTTGTGTCTCCCTATATTGATTTTCTGTTTTTTCTTTGTGGTCATTTTGTGCCTCTTTGTGGTCAATTGTCTCTCTATAGTTGCCTTTTCATAAATAGAATGCATTCTTTACCACTGCAGGAAGAAGAAGAGGCTGATAGCAGGTTCAATGTTTTAACTGAGGAATGTTTGCAGTTCCATACTGTCCAAGGCCACCGAGTATCAATATGTCGTGCCGCACGGTGAAAACTACAACCACAAATATGTAATAATAGCAACCCAGTCTCACAGGAAGACGTGTAAAAGCTACGTTGTGGACCAACGTGGTATTGTCACGCTTTTGGGGGGAAAGCGTGACAATACAACGTTTCATTTGCAACGAGGTCACGTAACTGTCAACTTCCCCTCAGCTAAAAACAGAAAATGGCGGCCTGTCGGTCTATTATCTGTGAAAAACACAGTATTTTAAGAAAGCACCAGCATTTGTAAGCGTTTCGATGGCATTTCTAGCGAGAAGTATGCGTTATATTTTAATAATCTTCTACCAGAGAATATAGAAGACCTTCCGTTTATTAGTTTCTAGTGATGTACTTGCAAGGCGATGTAAATGAATGTGCCGAAATAAAACGTAGTATTGTCACGATGTTGGGGAGAAAGCGTGAGAATACCACGTTGGTCCAACGTAGCTATGACACGTTTTGCTGTGAGACTGGGTTGAATAATATGTATCTGTTCATAATACTACAGGCAATCGCTTCAGACAAAATCTTTTTATTCCATTAAACAAAACGTCCGTCAGCAACCAGCAGGTCACAGGTGGTCCGACCAGGAATTAAATTGAGAGAGGGTCCTCCAATTGGTCACAACAATAAGTGTTGCCCCATGACGGAGGCCAAAGGTGTGACGTAATGCCCCATCGGGGTTCAACCTGTGGTCACAGACTGTAAATCCACTCAGCTGAAGGAGGGAGAAACACACAGCGACAATTTGTGGTCCGTCGGATGCCTCCGGCTTCAAGGACCTGAATATTCAGCCTGATCTGCAAAAACCTGTTCGTAGTGATACATACTAAATAAATACCGACTGAAACTGATGACGTCACCCTATTCAAAGTGAATGGGGACCTGCACCCCGTAAACACACTTCGTGAAGTCTAACGATGCAAAATAAAAGTGTTATGATTGCATTTTTGACGAGAAATCAATGTTAAATTGTGAGAATACAATACAAACCCTAACCCCCTCAAAAAATCCAACATGGCGGAGAGACGTTCACTCAAGAATCCAACATGTTGTTCACTCAAGGGGCGTTGTTAACCACCGCCAGTTCGTATGTATTGTCACGAATTTGTATGTTCAAGATTTTCGTATACATTTTTACGAACAGGTTTTGGAGATCACGTTGGAATATTTAACGTGAGCGCTGCCGCGTGAATCCTCTGTTCGCTGCTCTGATGTTTGCTCGCTGGCATGATGTTACCATTATATTCATCTGACCTCGCTTTGAAAAAGTAGAATTAAAAAAAAGGACCTTTCTTGAATACTTGCATTTTATTTTGACTTTGTTCTTTTGTTCAACTTTGAAAACTTTTTACTTGACTTATCTGATAGCTGTTAGATGATTCAATCTGCTAAATAAACAGCTATTTCATCATTTAAAACCTTAAATTCAGCTCCTTGACCCTCATCCTATTAATGCATCGATAATAATCTGCATAAACGGCCATCAGACATTTTAAAGGGGTCATTTTATTTGGATATATTTGTATAATTACTGGAAATACTTATTGCATGCATGAATGAATATGAATGCATTGTGAATTATTACTTGAGTATTTCTAAATGAAAGTTAAAGTGCTGTGAACTCATTAATCCCAAGCAACACGTGCGTAGACTTTGCTTTGTGGGACAAACTATTTGTCTAATATTAGAGAAAGCTTTAATACGTTGGTAAGCACAAATAACACAAACACACAAGAATAGAAAAGCTTTCTCACAGCGTTCTCCGGTTCAAATAATGAGTTTGAAACTGAAGCCAACAGGATTAAAGTAATCTGATGAAAAGGAATGTTTCATCTCATACAAGCAGGAACCATCCGGATGAAGACGGACAGCAGTCTACTTGAGATGGCTTGCGCCTCCCTGCTGACATTAGATTAACCAACCAGACGCCAGCGAGAGCGATAACCTCTTCGCTTCGTCTCTTTCTGTCGGTACAGATGTTTTTTTTTCTCCTTCTAGATGTCCTGAATAATGATGGAAGCAATAATAAAAAATGGCACCAGAACAATCTAGTCGCGGACAAACAAAGGCTGCTTATTTGGGTGCAATGGCTCAATTTGAGTGACCTTCTGTATGCGGATTAAACTTGTCGCCGTCTTAGTGAGGATGGCGGAGCTTATTACAGCGAGGCCAGAGTTTCTCAAAAACAACCTCGCAGCAAAGTGATTAGAAAAAGCTCCTTTTGTTTCTTTCAAAATATCACGGAAACGTTGAGCAACGCGTAATCCAGCAGACCGCACCTCCCGAAACCAAGTGGAATAAAGAGTGGCCGTCCGGCAACTTGGCAGCACACTGCCGTCATGTTTCTGTACCAGCTGCTCAGCCTTTTCTACGTGGCCTCCGAAAAGGAGGAGGACTCCAAGTATGACCTGTCCCTTTACAAGCGTGGCGATTTACTGGAAGTCCCCAGGACCTTATTCACACATTTTGGCATCTACCTGGGGGACAACCGCGTGGCTCACCTCATCCCGGACATCTTGCCCGTGCTTTCTAAGGATACGTCTGCCATCGCCAAGGTGGTAACCAACAACCGCCTGCTGCTGGGGGCCATCGCCAAGGTGGCCAGCGTCCGAGTGGACTCGGTAGAGGACTTTGCGTACGGCTCGGTGATCCTGGTCAACCACATGGACAAAGTGTGCAGCCAGCCCCCGTTGGACGGGGACGAGGTGGCCAGGAGGGCGCAGAAGTTCCTGGGCTCGGTGACGTACAGCCTGCTGTGGTACAACTGCGAACACTACGTCATGTACTGCAGATACGGCATGGCCATCAGCTACCAGACGTACCAGGTGAGAGTCTCCGCCCTCCGGCCGAAAATATTCGTTTGCGGTTGTCTTTGCGTGGTGTCCCCCGAAGAAATGCATTGCAATGTCTGATCACAGCCGACGCGAGGCGGCGACAGCCTACGGCACCTTCCCGAAGTCGCTTCTTTACAATAAATGACAAAAAAAATCAATTTTTGTGTGTGATTTGAAAGAGTTTTCCTGCTGAGCTTCAAAGGGAATGTAAAGTGGAACCAGGGCTGTCAGAATGTAAATGCATTTGGGAGGAATCTCTCTTCAAGGCCGACCTCCAATTACTCACATTGAAAGGAGTCAGAACTGTTTTTAAATAGTTTAAATAAAAAAAGGAATGTACCTACGCATCAACATAAACTGAATTAAAGTGACTTCAATCAGTTAAGCTTTTGAATGATCCACGATTGATTTGTTGAATCTTTAATTGTGTGTCGGGTCGAGTCGTGTCGAGTGCGTGACTCTTTAATGAGCGAGGTCACATGCAGGTTTTAGGTTCACTGCAAGCTTTGGATTTGCAATGCCTTCAGTTTTTCCCACCTTGGTGTATTTAGTGTTTACATTCAGTTAATCCACAGTTCAACGGCGCTTTAGTGTGCGACTGTGTCTACTGACATTCTGTCAAAAGCGGGTTAATCGCACTGCAAAGTTGTTTTTTCTTCGGTCCACCGGGAGTGAAAATCCTCTCAGCTTACACACGAGGTGAGCGGCTCCATCTGGTGTCCGTCTTGTTACCTCGGGCCCAGCGGACGATGACCTTTCCCCCCCCCCCCCCCCCACGACGGCAGACCTCGACCGGCTGACCGGTTTGTTTACTAACGGAGACTCAAGCACGACCATAACTCTCGCCGTCTTTCTCGCAGTTCTGCAGAGCGGTGCGGAAGATTGTGTGCAGCCGGACGAGTGCCTCTCTGACTGCGCTGTGTGGCGTGGGGGTCACGCTGTGCGCCGGCTGCTTGACCCCTCTGACGCTCGTACCGACCCTGTTGGTCTCCTTCACCATCTGGATGGCGGCCTGACGGCCTCGGGTGGAACATTACCGGGAAAATAAAAGGTTTTCACTGCAATAATAACGTCGGTATTTTAGCTTTTTACCTTTTGGGGATTGTGGTATTTTTTATATCTTAATGGATGTTTTATTCTTCTTTGCCTTGATAGCTTTCTCCAAGTAACATCTAGTCTCTATTTAACAGTGATCTCATTAAACTGTAACGGATAGAATGTAAATAGAAAAAGAGAAGAGAGGGAGAGGAAAACATGATGGACGTTCCCTTTTCAGTGTTATATTCTTGGACAAAGTGCAATAAGTTTCTTATTGGAATACACTCAAATTTGTATATATCGTAAACCACAAATCAGATGTGTTTGTCGGCCCATTAAAAATATATTTCTACGAGCCTCCTGTTGTATTTATTGTACAATATATATTTTTTCCCGCCGAAGTTAATCAAGTTCCATTTTGCTTCTTCATTATTTTCCGTGACTGATTTGAGTCCTGGATTGTTTGATTGCTGGTTGAACCACGTGAGGCACCTTAAAGCTTTATTTTATAAAGCGCCGTATGAATAAAGTGTATCTGTGAGGACTACGGATACTAAAACCCAAAAGCACAGCTCGGAAACAGCAGCGCAAGTAAAGTTCTTTACTAGTGGAAACCGCGAGGGTCAGTCCAACACGCAAACAAATGCAAAACAGAGAACACGCGGGTAGATCTGGAACAATAACCGGATGTGAGTGAGGAGACCTGAAGGGTGAAGCACTAATGAGGGAACGTGCTGCAGGTGAGAAGGTGCGTGAGGGAATCAGAGAGTTAATTTAACAGGCCGGCGGGATGAAAACTAATAAGGTAGAGAATTTGGGACACTATCAGTATTATTAGTATTACCACAATATTACTTGGATTAAAAAAAAAAAACGTTTCAAATTCAGGAAATAGTCATAAGGGAACTATTTCCTAACCGCTATCCCTTGACCTCTGCAGAAAACGTCACGAGGTTTCAAGGAAGGACGCTTAGGAGAACTCACGAGGAGTTAGGAAAGGACACGCGCGGTGTTTCGGGAATCCGGCCCCCACTTTCACTGAGATGCGTAGTTCTGATGCGACGGAAGACGCGTGTTAGTGACGGCGTTTCTCCAAAGATGGACTACAAAGAAGCTTCTTAGATGCCTTCATGTGTTGTCACAGTGCTGAGTCATGCAGACGACACAAAACAACCAGGTCCAAAGTATCACTTTATTAACAGCGTTTATCATGTACATTTAAATCCATCACCATTAAGATACAGTAGCAAATAGATCCGAGTTACAGTAAATTGGAAATGGTTATTTCCATGATGGAGTATGAACCATTTGCTCCACATATGAAATAAATGTGGAATCATGAGAATCTTTTTTGGCCTTTGCTCAGATAATACAAAACTGATATAAATGTAAAAAGAGACTGAGGTGACACACACAAGGTGTCTTAAGCCGTGACAGACAGCAAGGACACACCGCGGTGAACGCGTGGTCACGTAGTGTAGTCGCGGGGCGGGAGCAGGGCTTTCGTGCCCTCCCTTTTCCCGGACCAGGTGCCCCGCATCAAGTAATCTGCTCCCTAAGGGACAAAGGGACAAAGGCATACCTGCGAGACAGGCGTGTCACCGGGGGTCAAACTGTCTAAATCTGTCTCTGACTGCAGACAGATGCAACACGGCTAAAAGATCACTGCCAATTAAGGATAATTGCCTCGCCGTTAGACTGTGGCACACGTCCCGCAGGGGAAGACTAAGTATCGATTGAACCAAGGTTGATGTAATGGGCTCAAGCCCCCAAGTTCTATTAAGTGGACTCCAGGTGCACGGTCCTGCTGAGATAGGAGAGACACTGAGCTTTGTCCCCTTTGAAATAGACACCTCAGCGTCCCTTTGGTGGGAACCGGGGGTTCTCTATTAATATTCCCTCACGGTGTTTTCTTCATTCAGATGCATCTATTATATGGGACAGAGGATGCTGTCTAGTGTTTTTATATATCTATATATAGATATATATATACACACACACACATAATGCCCCTGGCGTGTTTACAGAAAGGCTCACGCTTTATTGTTATTTGATATTTGATTCTCAGCAGATGTGCCTGAGGGCCTCACAATCATCTGATTTAGATTCATAAAAAAACTCTGCTGTGTCTGGAATAAGGATGACGTTTCAAGTAAACAAACATAAAAAGGCTCCCCTGAGGAAACCTGCACATCCATATGAATAGAAAACACCTTTTAATCTTTCATCGCATATGAAAAATACATTTCCTAAAGGCATTTTATTTGTGCTGGATGTATTCGGCGCCTCTTGCTGTTTGATTTATCTGCCGGCAATCAAGCTATTTCTCAAAAGAAATTCAGAAAAATCACGTCATGAAATTTATAATTACTACTTGCGACTGCCATGAAGAAGTTTACTCCTTAATTTCTAACCTTTTTCATTTTAAATCAGCTGAAAGACGTCATCAAACCACTCTGATTGATTCAATGACGCTTGGACCCCTGTTTGGAACATCTCTAAATTATACTGGAAACTAAGCGAGACCTCCTCATCGAGCATGCCGGTTGGCATTCCAGCACGAGCAGATGTGTCCTGTTCATCCATTGTGAGGCGGAGAGTAATCATCTCTCGGGTGGAGGACCTGCTTCCTCTCTCCTGCTTCTCCCGCAGTGCGCAGTGGCACATTGTGCGCGCTTTGCTGCGGGCGCAGCGCACGTTCTTCCTTCTTTCTGGAAAGGATCGATGTGTCGATCGCATCAGTGGCTCGTGTTGGTTTTTTTTTTTTTTTTTTTTTGGTGGACAGAACAGGAACAAAACGAAGGACGTCCAAAGCTGTGGCTAAAACTTTACGGCAGGAAGACACAACGGGAGGAATCTCAAACATCTCTGCGCATGGAGGTGAGTGAAAAGTGTGTCAATCTGGCATCTGATCTTCTGATCGGGACCATAACGCCGCTCCATGTTGAATTATCTCATATGTAATGTGTTAAGTTGCGTGAACGTGTCTGTACCTGCAGTGTGATAAATGCCTTTTAGAAAGAACAACATGCATCAGGCTTTTTGATGCTGATAGTGGAGTTCAGAGTGATTGACAGAATTAAGTAATAGAGGTTTTGTTTGACTTTTATTTTACAAAAAAGGATCAATGTCCTGTACATCTGCATCGTGTTAAGTTCATGTGAAACCTAAAATTAACAACAAATCAACAATGTGCTGTCCATTGTTACAGCTTTTGAATGAATACATATATTGTGGTTGATCTTTTAGCACTAAACATACTTTTTCTTATCGTGATTATTTGGTTTTAAATAATTAATCATAATCAATCTTTCACCGTAACGCCACGATATTTAGAATCTATTGAAATCGTCTTCTCCTTCCCGTGTCCTCTCTTTCTCTGTCCAATCACCTGCATGTCCACCGTCCCCTCATCCACAGTGCAAACCTCCATCTTCAGGATCCTTCTCCACATGTACCCAACATCTCGCATATTCACAAGAACCAACCTGATATAAAAAAAAAGAACGACAACAGTGTTTTGTACGTTTTGGAATACGTTTGAATAACCTTCCCTGTTCTGCGTCCATCGCTGACCGTGATGTCCAACCTTTCCCAGAGTGACCTACGGCGACTGTTTGCCATGGACGCAGCAGATCAAGTCAACGCCTCTCTGGCAGAAGATTCACCACCTGGAGTGAATTCCTCCAACTGCTGCCCGAACGCGAGCGCCGCAAAGGACCGCATCTCCCAGCGGCTGGACGACAGCACGAAGCTGCTTGGAGTCCAGGTTATTCTCATCCTCGCTTACAGCGCCATCATATTGTTCGGAGTCATCGGAAACTCCCTGGTGATTTATGTGGTCTACAAGTTCAAGACCCTGAGGACCGTCACCAACTTCTTCATCGTGAACCTGGCCGTGGCCGACCTGCTGGTGAACACGCTGTGTCTGCCCTTCACCCTCGTCTACACGCTGGACGGCGAGTGGAAGCTCGGCCGGGAGCTGTGCTTCGCGCTGCCCTTCGCCCAAGGCCTGGCGGTGCACGTGTCCACCGTCACCTTGAACGTCATCGCCCTCGACCGCCACCGCACCATCGTCCACCACACCAAGACCCAGATGTCCAGAGAGACGTGCGCCGGCGTCGTCGTCGTCACGTGGGCCGTCAGCGGCCTGTTGGCCAGCCCGCTCGCCATCTTCAGGGAGTACAAGACGGTGGACCTTTCGGCCGAGGAGTCGCTCCAGGTGTGCATGGAGAAGTGGCCGAGCGGCGGCGTGAACGGAAGCGCCTACAGCATATCCGCGCTGGTCGTGCAGTACGGCCTGCCTCTGGCCATCAACTGCTTCGTCTACACCCGCATCTGGAACAAGCTGAAGAGTCACATGACCTTCGGCGGTCGAGGGGACCGCCACCAGCGCAGGAGGAACACCACCAAGATGCTGTGGACCATGGTGGTGGTGTTTGCCGTCAGCTGGCTGCCCTTCCACGCCTTCCAGTTGGCGGTGGACATCGACAGCGCCGTGTTGTACAGGAAGGACTTCAAGCTGCTGTTCACCGCGTTCCACGTGGTGGCGATGTGCTCGACGTTCGTCAACCCCATCCTGTACGGGTGGCTGAACAAGAACTTCAGGGCGGCCTTCCTCTCCGTGTGCAGCTGCGGCCGGCGGTTCAAGTCCAGGTCGGGAGACTCCAGGTGCAGAGAGACACGGAGAAAGGTGGACGGGTGTTACACGGAGAGCAGGTCGACCAACGTGTAGCGTCAGTCAACACGGTACTAATAAAATGAAATGGGACTGAAATATTTAACACAATTTTTTTTTAAATGTATAAACTGGAAAATCCACCACAGTACTTTCACTTTGTTGAATAAAAAATCCCATTTAAATGATTTCCCTTTTGAAGCCAGAGGGAGGGCCAATAACCTGCTACCATATCACAGCAATGTCAAAACCTCATTTTCATTGACCTCAATGTCATTTTCTAAGGTATGTTGCACATGTTTGCGGTATACATGTGTACATCAGGTCCTTCTTCGCTATTCACGTGTACCTCAGCTGACCTGACAATCCTGGTGACACCAGTAGTGTCATTTAAAGTCAAAACAGGTAGCTAACGTGAACTCTCCATAACTAGGACATTGAGTAATAACTGGAGTTTTTGTAGATATGTGTAAATATCAACACGTATGCCTTCATCGCCGACGGAAATGTTTCCCAAATAAAATCACAGAGCTGTTACAGGAGTCCAGATTGGGGGCTCTTAACAGGGCTTTACACCAGCCAAGGTTCAGTCAGAGCGACCCGCCGCGTTTACCTGGGCGCCAATCAGAGGTTGTGCGCTATATTAGTTGCCGTGTTCTATGCGACAACGGCGCTTTTTCGAGCTCCCTGCAGAGCGGCGCCCATAAACTAGAAGAAAAATCACAGACGCATCAGAATTCACCATTCCGAGGTGCGTCAGGGTTCACGCTGTGTATTCTGCTGCATGCAAAATCCTGTAAAGAAAAAAAAAAAGAGTCTGGGCCGCAGAGGGACGCAGATGATTGTATTAAGGGTGCAGCAGGAAGCCGGTGGAGGGTTTTTTACTATTCACTTGAGGAGTTCCTCCCCCTCCCTACCTGTCTTTGTTTGCAGCCAGCAGCCTAATTGTTCAGGCTTTGAAGAGCCCTTCCTACTGACGAGGCCCCCGCTGATTCACTCCGTGCCTACGTGAGGACCCGAGGCCCTCGTGCGTTAGCTTCACGTGTCCATTTATAGTCGGAAACCCGCGTCTCATTCAGCAGTTAATCTAATCGATTTAACTGACCGATGTCATCGATCGGCTGACTCCTCAGGAAGAGGATACTTGCTAACGAGAGCGTTGAAAACTATGAAAAGAATCCGCAGATGTTCCCGTCGAACGCGCCTGTCCTCACTGCTCAGGTCTGTCTCATTCCGTCCACGTTCTCTCTGTGACCAGCGGCCCCATTTTCATTTCCATTGGGAGATTATTGCAATTGGAGAGGATGGTGAAGCTGCGCGATGAGGATTCACTGATTGATGTGCTTCACGGCTTCAGTAGGGATGTTGTCACCGTGCTTTGAGCTCAGCAGGAACACTTAAATATCAGCAGTATTCATTCATTATCCAGGAAGCCTGAAAAGTTTTGTGTGCTCGTCATAGGAAGTTAGTTTGGGAGTTTTTCACTGATGGACCAATAAAAAAAAGAAAAAGGCGATTATAAAGCTGCATTCATTTTTAAAGCCTTCCGTTCTGTACTTTCCCCAGCAGACATGGAACGAGGTTACAACTTATCAACATTAACTTTTTAGAATCATCAAGGTAAATATTCATTGGCGTCAAGCTGTGGTTGAGCCAGCAGGTGTAAGCACCAGGGGCTTTTCAGCACTTGCTTAATGGAAGCTGTAAGAGCCATGCATAAACGCTTTTATATTATTTTATTTGCCCTTTCATTTTTTTATTCCATAGAATAAAATTAAAGTAATAGCCTTTGGGCAAAATGAGCTTTGATCTTTGCTTTTTTTTTAAGATGAAAGCTCCTGTAGTTCTTCTCGTTTGTATTTTTTAGTGCCTTCTGTTGAATAACTAGGTAGAAAATCTGACCCAGTTGACAGAAAGAAGCTTACGCAGGAAATAGAACCGAGCATTTAGCACAGGCTGTTTGTGGGAGTGATTTGAAAACTTCTTATTATTTGTAATTTGCATCATTTTGTATCGTTGGCCTTTTCGTGTCAAATCTGAAATTGTATGTAACAGGTAAAAAAAAAAAAAGACGTCAAGAACAGACGTGTTTTCTGTCATGCGACGCTCAAAGAGCTAAATATTAAACTGTGTACATTATTGATGTAAGGCCATTGATGTGTTGAGTCTTAAAGTTATTCTCAAAGTACCACAGTTTAGTTTATCGATCAGAAGTATTTGTATTCTGCTTCAGGCTTTCTTTTCTTTCTTTTTATGGACATATTCTTCTTTCATTTTTGGGCTGATAATTAACCTCAGTGTCGGACATACATACTGGGAACTAGCAGCTTAGTAAAAAGTCTGCTTGGTTCAGATACATACAGTATAATCAACTACATGTTCATCCTCTCCGTCTTCTTCTAAACATAAATGATGAAATGAGGAACAATACGGCCCAGAACGCATCCACACGGGAACAGAACATTGTCATATTCATTCTTATTGGAGTTATATAATACTGAATACAATGAAGAACCTCCATCTTTACCAAATGAACTGTGAATAAGCTGATTTTGCGAGTAGCTTGAGGATCAATACTGGCGTCTCAAGGTGTCACCAGATGTGCCGCCTCTCACTGACGTTACGTAATAAGGAAACACCAAGACCTGCCATGATGCAAATAAACCTCATGGACAAAAATCAAAATGTCAGAGGCTAAAATCTTCTTGGATTATTTGGGGATTTATTTATTTTTTTGGAACAATTAAAACAAAGAGCCTTTCACACTTTTGTGCACGGGCGTAATCAATGACGCGTGGAACAGGCTGCTTCGGCATAACCATAAATTGGAGCGTCGATTAGTCGATTTTCCTCAAAGAGATGTGCAACGAGAAGCCACTTAGTAACCGCAGAGCGGCAGCTGTGAGCGTGCATCTGTTAGCCGATAGCCGGACACAATGTCTAAAAGGGTCCCTGGCCTCCGGCCCAGTGTGTCTCCAGCGGAGAAAAAGCGGCCTGGGATATTCTGCACGAGCTATTTACAGGTCATTTAGCAGACGCTTTTATCCAAAGCGACTTACATTACACTTTACACTTTAAACCCAAGGCTTTTTCACATTTTGCCTGGGGAGCAATTAGGGGTTAGGTGTCTTGCTCAGGGACACTTCGACATGGAACATGGGGCAGCTTGGAATCAAACCACCAACCTTGTGCTTCCCAGCACACCTTCTCTAACCCCTGCGCCACGACGACCCCTTTTTAACTTTAACTTTCTTTTTAAGTAGGTTAAAAGCTGCTGTGTGTATTTCTACACGTGGCGCTTTTCTTCTCACACACATCCATGAGTCATTATGAGCAAAGGTCTTTATTGCAAACAAATGAAAGGGGCGAGTCTCGGTGTGCTTCGTCGTCACAAAAGTTCCTCGGCGTAGAAAAAACATCTGGCTGAAAAGGATCAGAGAGTAAAGTGTATTCTCATGGACGTATATTGTTATTGCACAGGGAACACGTGGCGGTGAATCTACGCAGAGGGGAACGTGGACACGAGGTCGTGTCCCTCCGGTGGTCTCATTCTGACCCGAGCGTGAGCCTCGCAGTACAGCTGCCCCCCCACGAAGAAGTAGCCCTTCTGTTTGAGGTTGACGTCACAGTCGGAGCACACAAAGCAGCCGGGGTGACGGTATTTGTCTCGTGCTTTGACCACTGTCCCGCTGTGGCATAAAAGACAAAGAGGGAGATGTCAAAAGAAGAGAATGGGGTACTTATGTTTATCAATGTCCTTAGTCGACAATATGCATCATTACAAACGATACATTTTGATCAATTATGTGTGATGATGCATATTTTTTGCACAATGCTTTTGCATAAGGATGAACAATGCTTAGATTTGCTGTGCAACAGTCCAACAATACAACGTATTTTATGAAGACAAAAGGGGTTTTCATTAATTCCCATGCAACTTGCAGTTTGTATTGTTGCCCCCCGCCCCCCCTTTATTCATGGAGGCTCTCGATGTGAATCACACAACTTGCACTTACACAATCCCATTCCCACACTTGTCGCAGACGGGCAGTTTCTGCAGGTTTCCTGTGGGCGGAGTCGCTCTGGTCGCCGGTGCTTTGACGGCCCTGGTCACAATGGGACGAGTGCCTGCCCACACGGGAACAACCGCCGTCCTTATTCAGGAGCCCATAAATAAAAACAAAACACTCACAGCCTCTTCAACCCCTAATGAATACTTCACATGCGATCAGTATGGATGTTTACATGGAGAGCGTGCCTTAATTGTAGAATGCAAGAATGCACATTATATATATATATATATATATTTTTTTATTTGTTTGCCGGAGTTAGAAGGCCATAAAATTAGCAAAATGATTCAGTAAATTCATCTTTAAAATGGTCCTGGCGTGTTTATGGGAGGCAATATGACATGAATGAATGAATAAATAGGCAATATTTATAATAAAAACTCATAACCCATAGCTATAATTTACTAAATTCGTCTGTGTGGCCTTTAAAATATTTGAGTGTTTCTACCGTGAGGCATTAAGTTTCAGTGAAAATACAGATATTTGTCCGTACCTGTAATCATTCCGACCCTGCGGATGTTTTTTGCGTCGTGGGAGAAACCGCGTGAGAGAAAACAAAGAGCTCACCGTCGCTGTCGATGAAGTCCTGCAGGGCCCGGAAGGAGCCCGACTGCCGGGGCTCCTGCGGCTCCTCCTGGTCCCTCTGCAACATCTGGTACACGTCGGAATCCTCGATGCTGGCCAGAGTCCTGGGGCTGAGCGGCAGGTTGAAAACAGTCAGGATGCACACAGATGCTCGCTCAACCAGCCGGCTTTCATGATTAATGATGGCGATGATAGGTCCGTTGCACTAATGTGGAATCGAGATGGATGTGTTTGATCAACCTCAACGACGCTCGTGTTCAATGAGCAGATCCAAGGCGCTTTTCTTCATTTATTCAGTCTTTTATTCATTCTTAACTGGATCGATTTATAAAGCTATAAACAGTGAGTCCAACTTTAAAAGAGAAACTAGTCTGGATGCTGAATGTGTGATGAGTAAGAGAATTCAAGAGCTGGACCACCGAGAGGAAAACGAGAAGATTTTTTATATAATTGCATCTGGTTGGCTGGTTTATGGTGGTCGTAGATACACTGGAATGACATCGGGGTGACGCACACTGCGTCTGCATCTGTATCGGCTGACATGACTTGCGTGCGTTGAAGGGGCGACGGGGGAAGAATCACCTGTCGGGCTTGGGTAGAGCCAGGCCCCGGATCTGGCCCTCCATGGCGTCCTGTATGTTGCCCGAGGAGTAAAGGCCTATCGGGGTGTTGTAGGCGGAGCTGACCACCTGATGCGAGTCGTCGATGTTCGCCGCGGCAACAAACGGCTGAGCTTTCCGGTTGTGCGCGGCGCCGATTGGTTTATACTCCTGGAAGGAGCAGAAGGGAGGAAGGAAGGAAGGAAGGTCATTACTGAAACAACTATGCAAAACCATCATCTTTGACAAACGTGAGGTTGTTTCTCAAACAGTCTTGCAAACCTGCTTTTCTGCTTCTAGGTTCACTTTATACGGGTGATTTTTACCGTCCTCCACAACGCGGGGGGACCACAGACTCGATTCATTCCTGCAAATGATCAAAAACAGATTCTGGTCAGAAGGTCACCACAACTTTACCAACCTATAGAGAATCAGGCTTAACCACCTGCTCACTTGTTGGCCTTTTCCCGTCATACCTTTTGGGAAACTATTTTAACTTTGGGAAGTGGGGGTTTGAGTGCAAAGTGACAAAATTACGGCAATTCACCATTTTTTTCCTCACGGAACAACGGCGCATGCTGCTCACACCTCGAGAACATTCAAACTAAAACGCAGAGGTTCACAAACTGGAGGTCGGAGGGACGGAAAGATGAGCCCGGGGGGTCGTGAGATGATTAAAGTCGGCAAAAGCGTAATTGACCAATCAGGAAGTGCTTAGACAAACAAAAAAAACAACTTTAAATACAAGGCCGAAAAAAGTGGGCGAACCACTACTGCACGGTACAATGAAACCTGGAAATGGACTCAGAGCACTTCTTTGCAGAATCTCATGCAATCTCACAGAATCTTTACCAATGGAGCAACTATCGATGCATCGCATTCCGTTCGCTGCGTCTCACCTTTCAACGGTCAGGCTGAGGCGGCGGGCGGACTCTTTGATCCGGTTCTGGGCTTCGCAGTGCAGCATGTTTGTGGTTGGGACGCCCTCGATGGCCACGATGATGTCACCGGCACACAGGTTGGCCACCGCGGCCTTGCTGCCGGGGGTGATCTGCAGGCGGGGTCGAAGAAAAAAAACATTCCTTTGCTTATTAATTAATTCTTCTTTATTACATCAATGGATATTAGTTTAAAAGCCTTGAAAAAAGCAAAGTCTTAATGCTGTAATGCTTTTGGAGTCCCAGCCAGTAACACAAATATTCCTCGCTCGAGTTCAACTGACATTCGTGATGGATGGCGGTCGTGAGACGTTTGGGACCTAAAAACCTTTTAAAAAATAAACGTTGTTTCGTTTTTTCGTTCGTTATTTTGGTTCTGCTAGTTGGTCTTGTATCAGGCCATATTGAATCTTCCGTGATTCCATTTCATTTAAGCCTTTTTGGCGAAAAAGGTTTCTGGTGTTTTGTTTGTTGTAACCATGCAGCATTTAATCTGTCTTTCAAAAACCTCTGTAAAAACTATGATACATATAATAACCTAACCTAAGACACGGTCCTGTATTCACAGGAAGGCCTGCTCTTCATCACTGGCACTTCCTTAATGCAGACCTCACCCGCACGGCCCCTCGTTCTTCCCCCCCCCCCGACGGGATCAAAGAGCTTGGCCTAAATTCGAAACACAGACTCCACCGACGAGAACTCGAACTCACCACTGAGCAGTTGCTCTCCGCCGTGCAGACGCTGCCGGTTGGTATCGGCGTGCGTGTAAACCGCGGCGTAAAGTAAACACGCTTAAGTGACAGCATCCAGACGGAAGAGAACTCCTGGAAGAGCCACCGGGGGGAGGGGGGGGGGGGGTCACGGAAAATACTTCAGGAGGCAGAAGCGCGACCTGCGGCGTGACCCTGGGATTCTGCATTGAGACTTGAATCAGGTCTATAAATAAGTGAGGATGAACGTGAGGGGACGTCTCACGCTGCCGAAGAGGGAGCGGGGAGTTACGGGGGGGGGGGAGACGTCTCACTGTATGTTTTACTGCTCCGCCGTCTGCTGACTGGATCCGTGCACAACTATTGCTTTTTATTGGATTCCTTTGCTCCGCTGTCACGTGCAACATTTGTCTTTGTTTGAATCTCAGACATCTTTTCCTTTTTTTCCCCCTCCCCTCTCTCTCTGTCGGTTTGCTTTTTCTTCTTAAGTTGACTCTGCCCCCCCTTTCCTTCATTCCTCAACTGATCTGGTTGCGTGATACTTGAGTAAGATGTAGAAATAAAAGTCTATGTAGTTTTGGTAATAAAAATTAATATTTCAACAATGGATCGAATGTCTATTTGAAAAGGAAAAAGGCGGTAAAATCCCCGGTAACTGCCGGGTCAATCCAGGCCCAAGGTTTTTACCGCAGGCGTAAGGCCGTCATCAAAGGGATTTGTGCAATTAATCGTTACCTCAATATAGATCTACAGTTGCTTTTGTCACAAGTACTTAAACGACCACAATGTGGCAAAAAGGCGGAATAATTCGCGGTCACAAATAATGATTTTGCGTCACAAATAATCATGGCATCCGACAAAACGGATCCCGGCGTGTGAATTTGGCGCCGTGGCCCTTTAAGGCCGCCCCATCCGCCGAAAAGGGAAAAGATGATTATCGCTCGTGTTTACTTTCCTCTTCCAGCTGGGAACAAGCGGCCGCTCATCAAGAGGAGGATGTTCCTGACCAAAGATGGCAGTGCAGGGAGACATCTGTGTTTAAATGGAGCCCGGCGGTTGAGCGGCTGCTTCGGTGCTACTTGGCAGACGAGCATGTCACGTCTTTTCACTTTTTTTTTTGGTCCCTTCATATTCCTCACAAGGAGGCCACATTTAAACACGCTGCTTGTTGTTCTACTTGTCACATATCGTCTCCCCTTCCAGATTCCCTTCCCCGTCCATCCCTCTCATCGCCGTGTCCGCTGACACAACAGCTGTGGGGTCATCGGAGGGAGCCAGCGGTTCAGAGACCTAGCCGGGCTTTTTCCTTGGGTGGTTCCTGACGTCTCCCCTTAAAAATAGACGCGCATGACCCCAACGGAGAAGGGATCACTGGGGCTCTGTGGCTGTATAACTCTCTGTTGTCTTTGGACTGAACCGTGCACGTTGTTCTCCCTTTGCTTGCAGGCTTTGTGCTACGCTGCTAGGCTAACCAGACACACGATGTCCCCGCCAACATTAAGGTTACGTTGATCGTCGCGCCGAAGCAAAAAACAACAACTAAACTACTCCTTTCAATGGGACGAGAGCGTTTTACTTTCTGTTTTTTTTTCTTCATGTGATTCAGCAACTGGTTTAAACAGGAAATACCACATTAGATTCAGGAAATCATCATTTCATCAGCAAATGACATGACATTCCATCTAAATCAACAGCGAGGACGCCTCTGTGCGTCTGATGATTTAACTTAAAGTGTCTCTAGCTGAGTTTTCTCTGCTGAAAGCTCAGTTTTACACTCAGTCAGTCTTCAGTAATCCAGCTACTTGATGCCCTGCGTTAACCTCAAGCAGACGCTGACAAGCTTTCGAACAGCTGCAGCGCGTCCTACTTTACATGTCATAATGATGCAAATGTGACACGGCGCTCGCCTTATCCAGAGGATTCAGACCAATCTTTATTTTTACACATCTTTCTTTTGCTGTTGGAATAGATAAGCAGACTGTGCTCCTTTTATACTCCGGTCATAAATCCACCCAATGAGTCATTTGAGTGTGTGTGTGTGTGTGTGTGTGTGTGTGTGTGTGCATGTCTGAGTACAATGCAAGCTGCTATTTGTATCTGAGCCTTTTGCATTAACTGTGGCACAGGTGCAAGCCCCAAAGCAGCCCGGACGGACGACCCTCCCGCACACACAACGTACCGCTGCACCACCGAAGGATTAAAGCACAGTCCCATCTCATGCACTTGAGGCCGAAGTTTTGTGTTTTCTTTTTTTTTTTCGGCAGAAGATTGGTCAAATCCTCGATGATGAAATGATGAACAGCCCGTAAGGACCCACTCACCCTGGAGATGGTCAGCGGCTGGTTGAAGTCCTTTCCCCCCGTCAGGCGGAACCCCCAGGGGGCCGGACCGTCCAGCACCACGCTGAGTGGCATCGGCCCCTTTGACCTTTGTCTCCTTTTCGAACGTGGGACGGCAGCAGCGCGGACAGTGGCAGCAGCGGCGAGTCAGAGAGTCAGAGAGCAAGACGCCGTCAAAGTGATGGAGACTTTGAACCCGTGTGGGTGGGAGCAGAGGGGGAGGAGGGGGGGGGGAGGAGAGTGGACAGACCCCACCCCAGCGGTGAAGTAATTGGTCCGGTTTTGGAAACTGACTCCCTGGACTGTTCGACCAGCTCTCGCCAGCCGCTCTCCCCATTTCTCTTCTGTGCACTTTTTCACATTCATCTTTCTTTCTTTTTTTTTTACCACAGCAACGTTTTGCCTGATGAACAAGGTGCTGCGTCTGCTTCACTCGTTTCTAAAGCAGCCCGGGACGACGTCTGTACCTACATGGACACTAGCAGACAGGCCGAGGATGCAAAGCTGCTCAGCCTTCTCTCTCTCTCTCTCTCGCTCGCTCGCTCTGGTTGACGGGACTAGCTGCTCCTGTCCTTATTTGGTGTGCAGGCGCAGCTCCGCTCGGAAGCCCTGGAGGTCCAACGGGCACATTCCAGCCGCTATTGATCTGGATGGGACCCAAGAATCTCACCCCCGAGCTTCAGCACATCGTGTCTCTCTCTCGCCCCGTGTCAGAAACTACATCTGTGTTGACTGTTGAGTTATTTTTCAGCTCTCAAAGGATTTAAAACCTCATTTACCGTGCTCGTTGTTTTACACTAGTGTTCTCTTGCTGCCAGCTGAGGATATCAAGTCTTTTTTCCTTGTTTTTTTCCATCATGTAACTGCATAAAAGTGCCAGTTAAAACACCACTAAATCAATACATGTATTCTTAAGTGGACCAGACTCGATGGTTTGCTTCTGCAGTTACCATGACGATGTAACTCTTGGACAAATGAGGGAATGTGGTGGTGCATTCATACTCAACGTTTCCCTCCTCCTATCTCTCTCTTTGCATACATGTAACCGTTTCCCTTTTCACTCGCTCATCCTCTGTGCAAATGATTCACACCTGCAACCAAAGCAGGTGAACTTCTGTAGAAGACAAAGTTACGTGTCTGTTCTTTAACTTATTATGACATAATTTATCCCATTAAGTATATAAAGCCTGATATAGATTGTAATCAGAGATCCTTATTGAAAGCCACTGCGGCCAACAGTCCACGTGTGGAGAACGTCAGCGCTCAAAGTGACCTCCGTGCTCACAACGGCAGCATGAATGAATTGTACCTTTTTAAACATCACAAATCAGATTCCTTCTTTTCAGTCATCAACAGTTAAACGTTGTCTTTATTTCATCTACCAGCTGGATTTTATTACCAATACAGCCCCATAAAATGATCCAACAAGATGTTGTAGAAATACTTAGGTCCAAGAGTGTGCATTGAATTGGATATTAACACCAACAACATAGAAGATTAACATGTTCATTACATGTAGAAACATAGCAGGAGTCAGATCCATGTCTGTATCAAAGGCCGACCGGAGGGACGCTGCAGTCGCTGGTCACCCTGTGCACACGCTCCCGGGCGTTTTCTACACTATGTTTGCCTAAATTAGTTTTTTGCATCACAGAAGAGGTTAACAGATACATGGCTAGTATATTAGTGAGTTGGACATAAGGCAGCAATCACCAACTCTACTTACTTACTACAGTAACTTCAGTTTAAATATGCCACTGGCTTTTAAAACGACACGGAGGGAAAACAGGCCTACGGCTACGGGAATAACTGTAAAATGTGGAAATTAGCACCACGGATGAAGAATGTGAAGAAAGAAAGCGAGGAAACCAAATATGATGCTGGGTGAGAAAATGCTGACTTTATAAAGCAAGTGGATGTTGGCCATTATACAGCTCTCATACAAAAGGCTTACAAAAACACCACAGACACACACACGCACACACACACACACACACACACAAAGTGTCCTCACACCTACTGGAGTCGTGGATGACGTGAAGGACGGTGAATGATAAAACAAAATACATCTTAAGGTGCTTTAACAACAGTGTTTTTGTTTTCAGTGTCCATCCGATGTGAAGCACATGATGATGAAAAACATGAAAACACAAATCATGTTCACTGAGCATGACGGGTTAAGAGGACGGATACTCGTAGCGTGTAACATGAAGCAGTGAAGCACGCTGACAGCACGGCTCAAAGACACCACCAAAGTCTAGTACGGAGACTGCAGTCACATGACGCACGTGTTTGATAAAGTCTCATCCCATCCTGCATTGACTTAAATAACGCAACATAAAACACTGTGACACCCGGAGAGAAGTGTTGTGTTGTTAGTGGAACTTTCTGCACGATGACAACAAAATAACACGCCTCCAAATGTGTCCGTGCTTCCTACAATCGTCTTGTAACACACTTCGACCAGCACTTGTCTAATAAATATAATACCTAACAGGTCGGTCACCTCACTCGCTGTGGAATCTGGAGGGAAATTTGGGAAAATAAACTCTAAAAATTGTGTTAAAAGTTTGGTTAAAGTGCATCAATCCTAGTGTGAAGATGAAGAACCAACATTTTTGTTTCCTGATCCTGGAAGCTGTCACATCGGGTTTCGACAGCAGGGCCAAGAGTCAAAGATACTTTTCACACTCGTTCGCAATATTTGAAATGATTGCTGGACGATGAATCATGATCGTTTTTCATTTACCACATTCTCATGAGCCAATCAGTACATTGGGCGACACGCAGCCTCATACATGATACATGTGCCGTCTTTTCCTCATGGACGTCTGGGACTTTAACACCCTTTAACCTAAAATATCGGCTGCATGGCTTCGGCCCTCCAACACAGTTGCTACGCAACAGACCTGCTGACAGAATACGGTATCTACGACCCTCTCTGCACCGAAGGCCTTTGGGGATATTTGTAACCGAACACTGAAATGAAATGTAACAAGTGTTTTTAAGAATAAACTGAATATAAAAATAAAAGGTGATCGTGGTGATGACTATTTAATTACTGCCCTTTAGTAGAAATAAAAGCGTGTTTTCTATCATCGACTGCTTGCAAAGTTCCTTGGATCTGCTTCCATCACAGGCCGAAGATAACGGTCGCTGACTCCGGCACAAAGTTTGGGTTCTCCATGATAGAAACCCCCCCAAAAAAACAACAACATTATTTGAAAGAAGTCTTCCGTTAAAGATGGCTAGTTAGAGCTCAAGGTTGTGTCTGCGTGAAGCTGACGATCCACACACACACACACATAGACGTGCGGCAGGTCTCTGGTGCGGTGGCGTCCTGCTGCTGCTGTGCTGAGGGCGAACAAGTTGTCACAGAAAGGGGCGGAGCCGGGGGGAAGGAGGGCGGAGCCGGGGCTGGAATCATCATTATAGCTGTTTCACGTAGTTTCCTGGGAAGGTTCCAAACAACTTGCTGTGTCGAGACGTCCCTTCAAAACACAAAAAGCAATAGAATGAGATCGTCGGCGCTGAAACTCGCTGCCGTCACGTTTCAGACTCTCAGGGCTGCCGCACCGTCTCAGCTGGGAAGCATAAGGCTGCCTCCATCCTATGGGGCGCCGTTTGGAATATGTCGCACGTTCTAAAATCCTGTGCAGTTTTGGTACATTTAGCATTATCATATGAACAAAAAAGCACGACAATATTCATATGGCACTTTTTCAAACATTTAGAGAGAAATTCATGTAAAATGCAAAAACTTTTCCAAGGATAATGTTTGGCAGTAACAAAGTTGTTAAATAATATAAATGTTAAATGTAAATCTAAATGTTAAATACAAATGTAAATGTAAATGTTGAATATAAATTTAAATGTTAAATGTAAACGCTTTGCTGCCCCATGAACTACCGTAAATATTGTAATGTTCAGTCGTCAAATCTGACATGTAGAGTGAAAATTTAACAGTTACAATTATATTTTACATTTATATTTACATTTAACATTTTTATTTATATTAAACATTTATATTTACATTTATATTATTTAACAACTTGAATGAATTTATATACATTTCTCTCTAAATGTTTGAAAAGGTGACATATGAATATTGTCGTGCTTTTTTGTTCATATGATGCTAAATGTAGCAAAACTGCACAGGATTTTAGAACGTGCAACATTTTACAAACGGTGCCCCCATACCGTCCACGCTGATGGATGGGCTCACAGTGCCACCTAGTGGTCGTACTACCTCAACGCCACAATCAAAAAGCTTTTCACAGTGTGCATATACATAAGTATGTATCGAGTATCATGACTAATACACAATAATCTGTATCCCCTCCTCTTACCAACGAACCAGCCATCGTCACACTTCTCCATCACATCTACAACGTCGCCCTCCTTCAGCTCCAGCTCGTCCTCGTTGCGAGGCAGGTAGTTGTACACGGCCTGGTACCTGTAGGGGGGAAACAGCAGTTGAGCTCAGGAATCTCTGCAGTATTGATACTGAACAGTAATGTTAATTTTTCTGTTGGGTGTACTACGATGACCTTTTAATGTTCATGTTCAAACCACTAAACCGAGTGTATAAATGTAAAGTTCTTGAATACAATTAATGCACACAATTTTTTATTGATATAATTCAGCACAGGATAGCAATTCTTTTTCGTGCACAACAGCAAATCGGGGAAATACAAGAAGAAGAACTCACGGATCTCCTCCACCCTGGAGAGCATCCTGCACCAATCGCTGTGGGAGAGACAAAAACAGAATAAAAGTAAAGATCTTGCATTTTAACAGGGTTTTCCTGTCGGCTGTGAAGATGTCAAACGCAGAGACTTGTCTCAGGTTGTCTCTTATGAGGAATAAGGTGTAATTTCATACCCAGAGGAGTGAAAACAAAAAAAGGAAAATTACAGTTTAAAAAACAGCATCAGTCCTGAATGATTCGGTTATTTCTAAAGCTGTCCTTCCCACACAGAGACTGAATGAAGGCATGCCCCCCTACCCGGCGACCTCTAACCGAGGACAGATAGGACCTCCGGGACAAGATGGGGCTACGAGGGGGTTTACCACCGACAACTGGATCCTGCTTCACGGGCAGAAAGACCAGAAGCACCGATAATGTTCAACAGTCAACGAGTCAGCGGCACAAGCAAAAAGGCCGACGACATGCTGCCAAACACCAACCGTCGACATGCGAAGGCAGAAGAACACCTGGACACACCGCCTGGTCCTTCCTACCAAAGACACTCAGTAGCAAGTCAAGCCCCCGAAAAGCAAATGGGTTGATTATAAAAGGGCCGTGAATGGGCCCATAGAAGGTAGGAGGCCGGGGCCTCTAACTGCCTCAGTTTGCATTTCACCTGATTTAAATTATTTAAATAAGTGTTTGTCCTGTGATATTGATTTACTTAAAAGAAACATTAGCCGCTGAGTTAAAGATGTCTGTATCCAATTTAATTTTGGATAAACTTCACAAAATCCATCTCTCCAAAAAGGGCCTTTCAGACTATGAGATTACGAATTCAGAAAGTCAGAAAAATAATTATATGATAATAATAATTCCGAAATTCAATAATAATTCATTGGGAGGATCTATCAGTATATCAGATACATGATGCACGACGTACGTTAGTGTACATGACTGAGCCACGGCCGCAACAAACAACTATTGCTCATACCTGTTAATCTGCTGATTTTTTATTTAGGTTACAAAAGTCCACAAATAGCCAAAACCACAATCTGGCAAATTGTGATTTGTGACAGAGATCAAACAGAAAATGCAGCGAATAAAAGCATTTTCTTAAATAAATAAACGATTAATTCGTCCTGCAAGACGTTATCCATTAACTTTCTGTCAATTGATTAGTTGACTGATCGCTTCAACCCGAGTCTCAGCTTTAGCAACGTCAAGCCATGAATCGTTAGAGAAAAGCATCACGTGAGTTCGTCCCGTAATCATTGGCACCACAAACACGATCCAAATCAACGGCATCATCTCCACATTCCAGCTTTACCTTCACCTTGGGGGACCTACATCCTGGACGGGGGACAGTGGGAGGAGAGCGCGGAGTGGCGAGGGGAGGAGAGGCGGGCTTAGGGGGGGTCGGGGCCGGGATGGATTCAACCAGATGTGAGAAGCAGAGTAAGCTCGGGGGGTGAGTGACAGGGAGCTGTGGAGGAGGGGGAGGGGAGCGCAGGGGGGGAGGCGAGGACGGCGCCGAGGCCGAAGAACGCTCCGACGTCATGAGGTGAGGACGGGACGGGGGACGAGGGGAGACGGGGGGCGTGGGAGGGATGGCGCTACGAGGCTGCTGCTCTGACTGTGAGCAAGAAGACGAGGAGGGAACAAAAGAAGACGAAGGAGTAAAAGTAGATGAAGATAAAGAAGGAATAAAAGATGAACTAAAAGAAGACATAGAAAGAGGAGTTAAAGAAGAAGTTAAAGATGAAGTAGGAGTAAAAGAAGATGTAGAAAAAGAAGAAGGAGTAAAAGAGGATGGAGATGGCGGAGGTAAAGAGAATTGGGGTGCCGGTGCTGAGGGGGAGGAGAGGTCGGAGGGGGGGAGCCGTGTCAAAGTGGAGGGAGAGACATCAGCCTACGGAGGTAATGACACACACGTCAATCCTGAAGATGGAACATAGAAGCTAAAAGAGAATTCTTATTGAGCCCCAGAAAGAACATGGAGGGAAAAATGCAGGATTTAAAAATATTCTTGTGTGTACAGTAAGTTTTAGAGTCAATGCTCATTTGCCTTCAATCATAAATGTATCCTTCATATGAAATCTTTATATCCTGCTCACTCAAGCTTTGGAGTGTCTATAATATGTCAATGAGGGACTTATTTAAATTCCCTTCTGTTGAGGATGTACAACAACAACAACAACAACAGCAGTCTCCATCACTATCAGTGAACATCTGTCCGCCTGGACAACGTTTGATGGTTTAGTTTTTAAACATAATGCTTCTTTGTAAATGCATTCAGGTGGCCCGAGTGGCTACTGGACGCATTCTCTTCACCTTTGGGTCAAAGAGAAGGCAGGTGTAGGTGTCTTTTTCCCTAAGATTTATAGCATTTCCCTCCATCTGACTTCCGGGGGCCGTGCAGCTCACACCATGCTGACACACCTGTGGGCCGAGTCCCCCATTTAAACCGTCAACATCCTCCCCTCTGTCCTCTCTAGCGTCATCGTCTTCCTCAATGAACAACTCGGTATATCCCCTTCCTTTCATCGACGGGGGCCTCTGAGGCTCGTTCACAGTTTTTGACTGCGCCCCCCAAGCGATGGGGTCCATTGCGACAGGCCGGTGGAACTGCACCGCTAAGCGGTCGCCAGCCGAGTCACTGGCTGGCGTTACTGCTGCAGGCTTCACATCCGGCTGAGAACCCTCAGCTTTTGGCTTAAACCTGCTCTGGGATTCACCGGTTGGCTTGGCTGCAGGGGAATCTACCGGAGACAATCTTGGAAAGTCTAAGCCGGTGGAACCATCCAGAATCATGGACAACAGCTCGTCATAGGGGTCCTTTACCTGCAGCTTGACATCGGGGACTTTGCTGCTTTTGTCCACTTCCAAATACGACTTGTCCTGCAGAGGAGCTCGTGCGGGGGAGGTTAGTGGCTCTGGCATTGTGAGGGACAAAATCTCAGGCTGCAAAATGTGTAATGGTTGAGCTTTGCCACTGTTGTATTGCAATAAAGAGTCAGGCAGTGGAGAGGAAAAGGGGGGATGTGGAACCGGAGGGGGGGGAGGAAGAGGAGAGAAAGGGGTGTGGCCTAAAGCAAGTCTCCCTGCAGGAGTTATGGAAAATCTCTGGTGCGTCAGGGCAGACTCTCTCTTTGATTGTGCAGGTGAGGGGGCATTGGGTTCCTCTGCCTTCAGGAAAGAGGCGAGGCCAGCGGGGAGGGGGGGCGGTGTGGGCGGTGCAGGCGTGGTCGCGGGGGGGTAAGCTGGAGCGGACGCTGAAGGTTCCAAAGTGAGTGACAGCCACTCGCTGGTGATAGCTTGCAGGTCAAGCCTTCTCAACGGGGGGCGACCGGAGGGGAGGTCACGAGTGGCGGAGGGTGGAGGGAGGTGGTAGGGAGGCTCCATGAAGGTGAAAAGAAGGAACAGTGTAAACAGAATGGAACAGAGAGTAGAGAGGGTGTTTTCTGTGAGCCACTGGGGGGCTGAACAGAGGTTAAGGGCACGTGTTCACTGTCTTACGCTGATCATGTGTTTACTTGTGTGTCTAAATGTTTGAACATGAACTATCTTACTGAACTGAAGACTTTTTTGAGGTCATAACATTTTGATATCATAAAATGTTTTGGGCCATTTGTAACTTTTGTTATTAACCAACATTCCGGTTCTGAAACATAAATAAATTCCCAAAATTATATGAATGTATGAAATCATGAGTGCTTTATTCCAATTTGTTAGAAGATGCAGGTGGGACATTTACAACTCTATTCCACTGGATTGTTGTTTTCCGTAGTCCCCTACCTTGGTGGGTGTAGAGCTTGGTGTCCTGTTGCCAGGGTAACCGTGTGGGTCTATGTGGTGGCTGGAACTCTTGGACGTGGAGCGCTTGATGATGTCAATATATGAGACGGGAAAAATGCCTTGTTTGCTTGTGTCCGGGATCCTCCCCTCGTACCAGTTCTGGTCCACCTGCCTTATCACAACCACTCTCTCGCCCTGCACAAACACACACACACACGGGGTTGTTAACCGTAACTAAGCACAACTCCACCGTGCTGCCTTAATCTGATCATAGCAACGTCAACATCATCAAATAAGTCCAATGGCTTCCGCTTTGATTTCAGAAATCTGAGACGATCGCAGTGAAAACTAATGAAACCTTTGTTTATTTTCAGTCTTTATTTACATCTGCATGATGACTTCTTTCATTGTCTTTCATCTGACAACTTTTGATAATAATTGTAAAACATTACACTGTTTTTTAGTGACGCACAAAAGTTTTTTAGTGACGCACAAACAATCGGCTACCTTTCTCAGCGACAGCTCCACATTAGTGTCAGCATTGAAGTTGTAGCGAGCCACTCCCTCTCCAATCTCTCTGACGTGTGCGGGCGGAGGAGGACGAATCGGCTGCTGCTTCTCTGACGACGGCATCCTCTGTTCACGAGTGGGTTGAAGAGGAAAAATAAATAAGGGGCCCAATTTCATTCGGGACGGCGAATGGTGCCGATGGGGTGCTTGCTTACAGCCGCACACTCACCTCCACGTAGGAAATGGGTAAGATCCCAACCTGCCCGCGGTGCTCTCCTTCATACCAGTTGTTGTCTATCTGCCGGATGATGTTCACCGCATCACCCTTCTTAAAAGTCAGCTCCCTGCAACATCAAAGCGTCATCAAAGTGCCGGCACACAAATGTAAAAGTAGGCACGAGTACTCCCGCCTCCCCAGCACAGCTCATTCCATATGAACAGCATCAGCAACAGAACAACAGCCACTGCAGCATAAACAAACAAGCTTTACTCATGCGTGCCTTTAAACACAAATTCATCTCATTAAAGACTGCATAAAATGATTGTGGTGGTAGGATGTGACAGCAAAAGACACTTTACGCAAAAAATGCACCTAAATCAGAAAACGTAACGTAAATGATATGAGACGTGATGATATGCCGTTATTCAAAGCTAGCTGCCCCGTGCGTGCTCTGCGCAGTTACTGTACTCACTTAGCCGTTTGTGCCTTAAAATCATAAATGGCTCTCGCAGGCTGTTTCTGATGGAGGAGAGAGAACAGAATAAGTTGTGTCATCTGTTTATGGGAGACCTAGGAGATGAGAGTGGGGGGAAAGAAAGCCGGCAAGCATTACCACGCTAAACATAAAATAAAACCTTTTTAATATTTTTGAGACAATGTAGCTGTGCTGTGGCATTTTGATGCTAGAGACAAATAACTAATAATAACATGACAGCGGTTGACGTATAATGCGCAATATTTGTATCGTGCAAACGTCAATAGTTTCATATTAATTTGGAGAAAACCTAAAAATCCCTTTCCTAATGACGTGTGTGTCGACGAGTTCAGTGTCGTACCTCTCGGTCAGTCGCGGGCCTTCTGCTCTGGGGTGTGTGGCGTCCGTCCATGGTGGAATAACACCTGGAGACATCCTGGTCTGTGATTAGCAGAGACACGCGAGAAAGGCAACAGGAGTTACCATGGTAACCACGATCATATCACACAATGTATGCTGACAACACAGACATGTGCTCTGGCAGAGTACTGAATGGTTCAGTGGTGAGATGACGTCATTCCAACATGTAAATGAATGCGCTGGGGTCTAAAACGTCTGGAAAAACAAAGTGATTGTAATTCCCACAATACGAGACATGCGATTGAATATTTCTGAAACAAAAAGATAACACAGGGGGAAAACGGCTAAACGAAATTACTAAATATACAAACATGAACATACAATCGCATGACTTGAAGTAAACCATGACTGTGGGATAAAAAGATGACCATGAATAAATCTGCAACAGAACAGAAAATCATACATCAAAAGCAATAATTAAATTATAGATACAGTGGAATATTCTGTAAGTAAGAAACTGTGAATTCTCAAATAGTTGGGATCAATTCCAGTAAAACTCAGGAGAGCATTAGAGAAGAATATATTTCATTATATTTTAGTACTGTAAGAAATCGAATCAAAGCCAGGATTTTGTTTGACATCTCAAATTAGGTTTCTAGCAGCTCAAATGCCTCAATCATCCCATCTCAGAAGCAGAGCTTGAGTGTTAAACACCAGCAGGACGTGTTCAGTTTCACTGACATTTAGCTTATCACCGAATGAAAGAAGGGCAAAGATTTTAACATCAGGCTTTTCTTGAGAATTTACAGTAAATTACAAGTACAGTCTCATTGAATTTATTGTACAGAGAATCCAAGCCACGGATGTATCAGCTGACCCTTTAGGGGGAAAGGACAACAAGCCCATGCAATACTGAAAGGGACTGAGGCAAATGTAAGATAAAGCACTATGTGCTGGCATGACAAAGTGTACACATGCATAATGGAGGTGTAATATGTGCATTATCTCCACCTGAATAACAGAGACCATTTCCATTGCCCTGCTCCTCTGCATATTCGTTATTGTTTGAGCTGTCCGAGTGGCGTCCGTAGCCGAGCGGTGACTGTAGCCGCGGCGTGGAGGGGTCCCCTCTGTGCGAAGCGTATTCTGTGGGGCTCCCATCAGGGTACAAAGATGTGGAGGACTGACCCCCTTGCCAACACCCCCTCCTCCCACGCAGCGAGGAGCTTCGCTCAGGCACGTTTGGCAGCAGTTCGGCGAGTATTCTCCTCAGGATGCTGTCGTCGGGAGCCCTGCTTCCTCTGTGGCCTCGCTCCGCTTGAATGTGCTCGTAAATGTCTCTGAGGGCCGCGTCTAGCGCTTCGTAAATGGCCTGTTTGGACTTGGGTCTGCCTCCTCGCTCTGCGCCGCCACTGCTTCTTCTGGAGGTGGGCGGGGAGCCCTTTTTCCTGCGGAAAGGCACTGGGCTGACCAGGAAGGCCAGCTTGGACATCGACTGCTGGGACTGGGAGCTCTGGATTTGGGAGCGGCTGCCGGCGCTCTGCTGCGAGGGTCTCTGGAGCTGCTGGCGCGCTCGCTCTCTCTCGTGGCGAAGCATGGTGGTGAAGCGGGTGTAAGAGGCCGGGCAGCGGCCTTTGCACGAGCTGATGAGGTGGCGGTGTTGGTAGCCCTGGCTCTGGCCTAAACTTTGGTGAGCAGGGTGGTGGTGGTGGAGGTGATGGTGGTGCTGCTGATGACGGAGGTGGTGGTGGTGAAGGTTGGAGGAGCCGTACAGGCTCTCGGACGAGGTCAGCGAGCAGTGGTCGAAGTCACTCTCGCTGCAGAAGGAGGAGCCCTCCACCTGGATGAAGTCGCTGAGGTCGGACGCGACGGCGTCTTGCTCGCTGTCAGAGTAGTCGTGGTTGGCTCGCGGGCCTTGAGGGACGGGAGGAGCGGGGAAGGAACGCACGCGGCTGGGCTCCGGCCCGACTCGAGGCTGACCCTCGGGCGGGCTGCGGGGTCGGTGCCGGTGGTCCATGGCGTGAGGTACTGCTCCGCCGTTGCCGTCCTCCTCCAATAGAGACTCGATGGAAAAACGGCGCTTCGGAAAACTGGGCGTGGCGACGCCCCCGCTGCTGGCTCGAGACGACGATCCACCTGGGGTGGTGGCGCCTGAAGGCACCTCGGTATCGCCCAAGTTGGGCATGGATTTGGACTTTGAAATGAGACTCTCGTATGTAGAAATGCGGCTCGGCACCATGTCGCGCGGCACCTCCATGCCCCAGGACGGCGTCCAGGGTGAGAGGCGATGGCGATGCAGGTGGGGCTGGCGCTCCAGCTCCAGGATGCGAGCGCGGACCGAGCGGATGACTTCCGACGGGATGAGGTGAGCTCGGTCGATCTGGTGCATCTTGCGATAGAGCTGGAGGAAGCCCGGTGAGTCGTGCGCGCGTCGGCGGTGGAGGCGAGGCAGCGAGCTGGTGGAGATGGACCCGGCAGAGCTCGGGGGATTCCCGTCGCAGACGAGGGACCCGGCACTTTCTGAGCGGGTGGCGTTGCGCCCGCCTGAGCCGGAATGCCCATCGTTGAGTAAGTCATCGCAGCTGCGTGACTTGAGCTTGCCGGGGACCGGCGGTACCTCATCTGCGCTGCTCCACGTCTCGGCGTCCTGGCATTTCGTCTGCCAGCTGTTCTTACCGCAGACGGACTGATTAGAGGCGGAGCCGCTTTCTAGGCTGGCCTCCTCGTGGCAATGGACGGGGTCAGAGGGTAAAGGGGGGAGATCGGGGCGTTGCTGAGGCACTGGGGAGGTCAAGCTGTTTGAATACATGTTACATGCGGCCCCACCTTTTAGATGTCCGATAAAAAGCAGCGTGGTGAAAGAGAAGAAGGAGGAAAGCATGTTTAGAGATAATACCCAGAATAAGGGTGGAGGAGCTGGGGAGAGGGAGCAGGAGGAGAGAAACGAGTAGAAAAAGGTAGAAAAAATAGGATTTGGTGTATTTTCGTCAGACTTCCACCAATACGGATCAAGGAGAGTTATGACGTCACCAGACAGACATTGTATCAGGAAAAACATCACAAACAGAAATGACCAGAAATCTTCTTTTATTTTCTGCCGACATTGTAAGTAAGTACACGCATATCAGTCTGAGGGAAGAGAAGGGGCAAAAATAAATATTTAAACAAATCAAGCAAAAGGAGACGTTTTTGTGCTTTACCTTTGGCTCTGGAGGGCGAGGATGGTGAGGAATGAACCACTGGTTTCTTTAGGCTGCTGCTGGGTCTGTAGGCATCCACTGGTTTAGGGGAGGTTGCAGCTCTGCTCTGAGACTGAGCATTGACTTGGGAACTTGTGGGCTCGGACTTCCTCCTCTTCCTGTAGTCGCTCGCAGCACTGCAACACAGTCAGACATCAAGGACGACACTATACACCGGCATTGGCACAAGGCCAATAGAACCATTCACTCTCACATTCACACACCTACGGGCAATTGGTAAGAGTCACCAAATTAGCCGTCCTAAGCCGGGGAGGGCTGTGGGAGGGGGGCATGCAGGTACGGCGAGAACATGCAAACTCCACACAGAAATGTCTTAGGGGTCCATACCATGTTTCCCATATCATCAATATGTACCATGTGCCAAAACACCATAAATAATTATAATAATGAAGGAGAACACTATTTCCACTTCCACCCTAATCCAATGATACAAATTAAACATATGTACATCGGTACAAACATTTGAGGTATTTTAATGTTCAACGTTTTTGCGGTTGTTTCGTGTTAATGTTTTAGTATATCAAAGCTTATACTTCTAAAGAATTAGGCTGTTCTCCCCGTTTCCAGAAAGAAACCACAACGTCTCGTATTCCAAAAGGACGAAAAACCTTTCTGTTTAGAACAAACACACTCAACGTCGCTAACATGAATTACACGGCCTATTCATCCCATTTCTGCCCTTTCTTTTCACCGAGGAAACTGCGACTGAATAAGCAGGCCACTGGTGAAAGGGAGTAGGACAAGGGGAGGAAGAGGGGGGTTGAGAGAAGGATAGGAGGTGAAGGGCAGAATCAATAGGTTTGCAGGGTTAATTTATTCTGGCTCACTGAGTGAAAGGGTAACGCAAAAGTCCCCCCCTGCTTTAGTGGAAAAAGAAAATAAAACCCAACACTAATCCTTGCATTATTAATGAAAGAGACAGAGGCTCTTTGCACTAGAGTCAAGGCAAGGAAGAGCAGTTCTGACTCCCTGCTGAATCACAACAAGGACCAGTGCTGCTGCGAGGATGGAGGATGGGGGATGGGGGACGGGGGGGAGAGGCGATGCAGAGGGAAATAAAAGAAACAGAGGTTACCTCGCCGGCCTCTCGGGAGCCTTGTCAGCAGGAGCGATGTGCAGGGATGTCTGAAATAGGGCAGACGACAAGAGGGAGAAGTGAGGTCCGCGGGAACAAAGACTGGAGGCAGAGCAGCTCACAATGCACAGCCTGCATGCGGTTGTTGTTGCTGTGCCACACTCAAACCGCTCCTCCAGCGGAAGGTGCGACGGATGCTGGTTCCACATGGCGCACCTGGGCGGGAAAGAGGCCTGTCGGTGTAAGCGGTGAGGAAAACGTCTGCTCTCTCTGGAGGATGACGGCAAGGGTGACATAGAAAAGGATGTAATGAGCTGAGCTCGGGAGGTGAGGGGTGGGGGGGGCAAACCATTGCCCCTGAAAAATGTGGCATGGATCAGCCGGAATGGGTTTTCGTGGTTGATGCACGAATAACGGCAACGTTCTCTCTGAGGAGGCTAACCGCAAAATCAAAAACACACAAGGAGGCTGGAAATATAAAAGACGGATTTTCAGTGATTCATTGAAAAAAAAAAAAAGGCCAAAAAAGATCTTTGTAAAACGTCCAAAGAGACTGTTCATACAACCCCATGCAAAACAATGAATGACATTTCAAAGCTACAGATTCCATAGTGTTCACTAAGCAGCATCATGCTCATCTTGTGGGGGACGGCTCACATCCTGACGTGATTGATGCTGCACTAAATTACACTCATTTTAAGGAATCACACCTTACTACGACCTGTTAGAAGCGGTGAGATTACCAACACTACTGGAACACTCAGGAAGGTGAGATTACCTCAATACGTTGACGAGCGGAGATGTCTGGATTATAATCCAGCCGTTTTTTAGGAGGCTTGAGCAGCAGTGAGCAGGAGGAGGAGGAGCGATAAGAAGAAGGTGAAAATGAGGTGAAGGAGAAGGAGCGGCGGTGACATCATGGGGGAAACCAAAAAAAGAAACATGTGGAGAAAGCGACACTCGTTAGAGAATCAGAGTAACCAGAGATGGACCAGTTCACAAAGCAAAGTGCTTTGCATGTACAATACACACACACACACACACAAAGTATACATGTTAATTCATATGCACGTTCTTATTTCATCTATTGCTCATTTCTTCAATGTTGAAATAAACTAGGCCTTCTAAATCATCCTGTGTACCTCACACTCACCTACACACAGACAAAATGTGCACACACACACACACACACACACACATGCAGAGTGTGAAAGCAAGCTGTAAAGCATAAGCTGCAGTGTTTGTTTCATGGAGCGGTGAATGGCACCATCCAATGCTGTGATGCTGTGATGGTGCAGATTAATTGTTGAATATGTCCGTCATAACCTCTTGTGACTCGTCGCTTCAATAAAAGCCACAAACACTGATCATACTGTGCGGTTCTGTCCCAGCTGGACCAGTCAGCGCGTCTAGGAGAACCGTCTACGCTCTAAGGGCTTATTTGGTGGTGTGAAAATATTGCAGGTGGAAATCTCAACACGGAGCAAACGTGACTCTGGGAAGTCCCGCCTGCACCCGACGGGACATTTTCACCAGAACATTCTAAATAAGCCCGACAAAGAGTCCCCCGATGTCACGGCACGGACACAGGCCCCACCCTTTGTAAGTCAGTCAGGTTGGTGGGGATCTGTGGCTAGAGGCAATCGCTGCCCCGAGCCACGAGATCTACCTCCAGCAGGGGGCGCTAGAGCATCTGGCTTGTAGACACGCAGAGCATCGCTCCACCAATATTGAAAACTAACAAAAGTCCAAGCTATGAATACGTCTATATGATTGATTATGACGTGTGTATGATCGTGATGGATAGATGGATAGATTGATTGATCGATTGATTGACTGCTCTGTGCAGCTCTTCCTGTTAAAAGTCAGCGTATCTAAATGATCTGAAGCAAGCAGTCTTTTTTATCTTTTTGCCTCTATTGTTTAGCCAATAGCACCACAGAGACATTAAAACATCCAGGTTTGTGCGTGAACATTTCAGCGCCTGCTGCCACCAGACCGAAAACCCCGGCAACGCAGAGACATAACACAGCCTGTCACAAGGGCCCAACAAATAACACATGCCGAAACAACTAGCCCCACTCAGTCTATTGGTAGATAAAATAAACAAAAAACACACACACAGAAAGAAGTGGAGACAGTGGTTGTCTGCCTACGGGGGTTGTGATAGAGGGGTGGGATCGGGGGGGGGAGCTATGGCCCTCACTTACCGGCCGCCCAAACTCCAACTCGGAAAAGAACTTATACCAAGGCTCGTTCTCTAAATCTATGTCATCATAGGTCTGGGAAGGCATGATAGAGACAGAGAAGAGGTAGAGGAAAGACAGTGTGGAAAAGAAGTCACACACAGAGAGAGAGAGACATGGACCTCATGGTTAGGAGTGGACGGAGGTGGCACGGGGAGATGTGCACAGGAGGAAGACCACTGCTTTAACTGGTTTGACATTTATTCCAAAACAACGGCGCGTCCGAGCCATTCGTCAGCCGGCAGTGTACAAGTGTACCGAGGACAAGAGGCAGGCATTTCCACGCCCAGGGCCTTCTCCGTTATTCCATGTGCATATAAATGCGCAGTGAATGCCGAGACAGAATCCCATTACCACGGCCTTATTCTAAGCCAGAGCGAAGCCGACGGATCACGAACGGTCAGGATGTTGCTTTGCACATTACATATTTAACGCCCAACCTCATTATCCACACCTTGCAGCCGGCTGAGTGGATGGAATGTTAAAAAGTGTGTAGTCGATAAGAAGAAGAGCACCGGCCACAAATTAAAAACCCTGTTTAATAAAGACTCCTGCATTGGTGGGAGTCAATTAAATACCCGACAACATACTGACCTGTGAGATTTGATCTCTTAACAGGTCAAACACTATAAGAGGGCAGTGCTATTTGACCCTTTTAAACTTTATTTCTGGGTGTTCCCCTGTATGCATATGAGAAGAAATGCACATCTAAATAACATTGGGATTATACTGCACGTGTGTGAGATCTTCAATTATCTTGCAGGATTATCCAAGTTTTCTTCAGGGATTCCAGATCGCAGGGGATGATTAGTGTTTTGCCTACAAATTGCCATTTTTATGGATGAAATATTACTTTGGCGTCATTTTAATGTATTAGAAAGCACTGTGAATTGCCTCGTTGAAAAGTGCTACACTAATAAACTTGAGATCATGCCATCCATAAAGTTGGCCACTCTCCCCCGTGGAAGATATCAGCACACATAAACCCTCCATGTCTGATAATTGAGACTCGTTAAAAGATGGATTTACATGATTAAGATGTATATATCAAACTAAGGCTTGTCAGCTATTCAATGTAGCCCGTCATGTGCTAAAAGCTCTCCTGTATGTCCTCCCCTATTTTGCATGGCGGGTTAATGATGGTTTCATTTCCTTAAGGGTCAGAAGTTGATCTTTCCTGATGACTAGATGGATTGAAATAACGTGTTGTATCACAGACAGATACATTTTCATAATGAATCAACCTGCAATAAACTGTGAGATAGGATGTAAGTATTTACATGTGACGAAGAGGAAAGCAAAGTTAATCATCTACTCTTATTCAGTTGGATGTTTGAGGTCTTCTAACCGCAGAGATGATGCGTTGGTCCACTACTCGGTCTGCTCTGGCACGCAGAAAATCAAACACTGCCAGGAGATGTTTGGTAGGTGTTACGTCCACGAAAAAAAGAGAATCCAGCTCCGAGACACACAAGTGACCCTGTGAGGCAAGTGAGAGCCGAGAGCAAAAACTGCCACAAAAAACACATATTGGCAGAAAAACACTTCCCCACCGAACGGTGTTTTGGGGGAGCGATTTATTAACATGGACGGTGGAGAATAAAGCTTCTAGTCTCAGACAGCAGATTAGCCTGCGTGGGTTCACTTTCTCCTTTTAATGCCTTATCTGGATCTGACTCATGCATTATTGCTCACTGCAGTCATCGCATGTCTGAAAAACCTTTGCAAATACTTTTTTTCTGTTTGATCTTCTCCCACATAACCGAGCCCTCATCTGCAACGCCGTCTCCATTATCCCGTCCTCCATCTCAGGTACATTATGTCTATTATTTGTTCCCTCCTTCTACGCAGCAATTATCCCTGCGGTCTGCTTCGTCCTTCACCCCAGTAGTGACTAAAAGGATGGAGCACTGGAAGCCTTCGCTTTTCGACGCCCACGCCGTGCCGGATGGAAAGAAGTCTATGCGAAAGGCTCTAAAAAAATTTGAGTCTTTTAAGCAGGGAAAGGTAAGTGTTCTTGAGACCCTTTTTTTTGCCCATCCACTTAATTTATTTGTCGCAGTTTTACGTCTGCAGTGTTAACCGAACAATAGGATCAAAGTCACAGGAATCACCTCGGTGGGTTTAAAAAGAAAAATGTTCATACGATAATGATAATAATGATGAAAAAACATTTTCTTATGTACTCACTGGTCTTTCATGCTCCAAAATGGAAGACCTTCCGGGCTCATACTCAAAAATACTCTTGGGCTCGGCGCGGTACTTCCGCGTGTCCACCTTCCTGTTGGGAGGACCCCATTCGTTCCTGAGGTGAGAAAAAAACAAACAAAGACACTTCTTAGAAAACAGCTGCAGGAAAAGTTCATTAATCATCACTGAATCATGAAGGAGATGAGACGAAGCTCCTCGTACGCGTCAGGCGAGTCTCTCTCGCGATCGCTGTCTCTGGCCCTCAGCTGGAGGAGGGATGGCATGGGCGGAGGTGGGGGGGGCACAGGGGACGGCGGAGGCTCACGGGGGCCCAGACGCCCTCCGTTGTCCGAGGGGCCTTTGGCCAGCGGCCTGTACGTGTGTGTCCGGGGAGCGGGGTGGGCCATGGTGGGGTTGGATGAGAGGCTGTAGTCATCTGTCAAGATAGAAGAGGAAAGCGATGAGGGAGAGCAAGCCGGACTGGGCGAGACAGATGGGAAGAATGGCTTTAAAGCAACTTTTGTTGCGCGTAGGACATCTCTCACCGCTGTTTATGACCGCATACGTTGCGTTGTATGTGTCAGAATAGTCATCATCTGTAGAGGAAGGGAATAGACTGGTCGGTATGCATGCACAAACAAACTTTATGGCGTGTGGAGGGAACAAGGCTGCAGTTTGCTCTTCTGAGGGAACAGCACTTTTAGTTTGTTTGAGTGCAGCGATACTAGGTTTCAATTGTGACCATTATCCCAGCGGAATATAATAAAACCACCCAAGCAGCATGAAGCACTTCCCCCTCCGTCCATCCACAAGTTCAGCTTGTTATTTCCACTGAGCTTTTTATAAAGAACAAGGAGGTCCATAGAAACTCATAGCAGCATATTGTGGAGTATTTTATCTTTGGACAAATCAAAAAACTGCTGTTTTCTCCACATTACTATTATTTACGTAGAATATACAGATATATACAGCGTCATGGAAACTCCCATAATCATGAAACAGGGAGTGTTTTTATTTGTTCGCTGCAGTGGAAGAAGCCCGAACAAAGAAGCTGAGAACGGACCGTGTGTGATAATGTCAGGCCCATAAAATTAGAACAGATTTCCCAGGAGAGCGCAGTGGCTATTAGGAGGCTTCTCTCAATTCCTCCTCCTCTCCAGACTCTCCTGCTCTCATCTGAGGAGGTCTGGCTCAGAGGTTCTCTGGTCTTTTGGCTTAATAGGAACCGACATGCACACACAAACAAACAAAGATACACACACATACACACACAGAGCATGCATGCTTTCCCTATATCTAATGTTCGGTGATCAAATCACATCACACAGCAGGACGTTTGTGCCTTTCAGTGTGACGCAGCACAGACTTACCGGCTTTGTGAACCTTGTGGATCTGCTTGAACATAGTTTTGTACCAATCCTTCGGCCTATCCACCGTCTGTGGAGGGAGAAACAGTCATGAAGATTTACGCAACATAAACTCGGTGCCTGAAGTCAGACGGTCGGAAGCATTCCCACTGTTTTGCGGGGCTGAGTACTTACTGAGAAACGGAAAAACACACTCTCAGCCTTTTATAGAGATCCATATTCCACTCACCGAGAATTTAACACATGCCGAGACATTAATCAATTATTTATAGAGATTTATTTTATGAGACATTAACCAAACGACTTGAGGAGGACTAAATCTCCTGTTTTCTTGTTCTCAAAAAATAGTCTTGTCAAAAATAATTGGCATCAGACTATTTGACTTAATTTGATGTACATGCTCTGAATTTCAAATGTTTGAGTATTTTATACACACAGAAAAGCTCCTCAGTATTTTTGATCACATATTGAACTCTGGGATGTAGAAACAAATCTCGATTAGACGTGACAAACTTACCCATCACATGAAACCACACTCGACTGTTAGCTTGTAGCTAGACGAATGACATCATGCTAAGCTGCTGATGTTTGCATATCGGCTGGCAAAGAACAACCTGATAAACGGCCATTGTGGTTTGTTTTGTTATATAATTGTGCTCGCTTTCATAAATCAGTGTCATCGGGTTCCGTTTTCGCAGCGTAGAGGATACAGAAGCCATGTGGCTACAAAACCAAAGTGGGACCTCCTGGTATGCGCGTCTTTGTGTATACAGTATAGATCTAACAGCCACTTTGAAAAAAGGAGCTATCAAATAACAGACTTAATCCCCACGCTAAACAGCGTGCCTGGACTCAGGCCGCTTGGCTCCACGGTGAAGGAGTGAATGTGACAGACTATTGTGGCGTTGGCACGGCCGGGAGACGGACCAATTACCACTTCACTCTCCATGGTTACCAAACAAAGTGCCCACAAAAATGTTTGTGTGCTCGACAACAAGGGGCATCTGTTTTTCGTCTCCTCCAGCTTTTCTTTTTCTTTTTCTATCCACCTTTTCTCTTCACTTTTATTGCCCATCTCTCATTCTTCTCGTTTGTGTCTCTCGCCCTGCTCGTCCTCCTGTTTGAACAAGCGCGCTATTAAATACCACTCTTCAAGAAACGGATAACCGAGTACAGTGTTAATACACACACGGCCGCCTGGAAGTCACAACGGTAACGCCAAGAGCTCGTCGGAGCGAATTTGTAAAACCAGCACACGGAGGGAAGAGTAAGAGAGATACTGAGAGATGGTGGGGGAGAGAGAAAGAGAAAGGGGCTTTTAATGTGGGATCCAAAGCTGCTGACAGCCGAAAGTAATCCACTCTCATGAACCGGGGGCTGCATACCGACACGTGGAGCCCTTTGAGGGCGTGACCTCACCGTGCGGATGGCGATGGGGATGCCGGAGTCGTCCACAGGGCCGATGCCTTCGTAGTGCGGGGCTTTGATGACCGACACCCTCTTCTCCTCCTCGGAGAAGCGAGCGATGGGCACCATGCCGCTGACGCTGGTGTGGCCCAGAACCACGGACTCTCTGGCAAGGGACTCGCTGCCCTCTGGACACGAGGAGGGAGGGGAGAGAAAAGGAGAAGAGAGAGACACTCGCTGTCAGCTGCACCCACCAATAACCACGCAGGAACGCAACGGGGAACGTTGTGAGATGAAATAATCTTTTGTACACCTTAAGATGTGAGCGGTCCAAGAAGATCTCCATTTTTATCCCAAACTCATTTTATACTGTGTAATCCTCTAATAATAAGTATGGACATATCATATGCTGGACTTTTTAATGTACCATTAACTATTTATATGGGCAATAATGAAAAGACTAATTCACAAATATCCATACATAGTATTCGTGAAATTTCAGCACTTAAACAATTTCACATTACGCTATGATGATATAATATATAACCGATGACTGGACCTGGGGAAAGTGGTGAAACTGGAAAAATATGAATGAATACTAATTAAAAAAATAGATCAAAACAATAGATGAATCAGAAAACGTCTTTTTTTCAAACAACCATGACGCTAATTCCCTGTCAGAAGCAGAACAGAAATAAATCCTGTGATCTCCCATTTTAAAAATAACTAAGAAATCACTGTTTCCTATTTCATCCTTTGAGGAGTATATCAACAATTTTAGTAAACTCAAAAATGTTACCTTCTTACTTCACTAAAATATCTCAGAACACAGCCGTGGAACGCGGGGCCTTTTATTACCTCTCCTCGGCTACTAATAACACATGTGTCCTCGGAGCAAAGGATCTGGACTCACCTGAACCTCGGCTGTGTCTCTGGAGCGTCGGGTGGAGGGAGGTGGGGGGCGGAGGATAGGAGAGAGGAGAGAGGGGCCTCTGAGGAGCACTTCCATTCATAGCGTGAGAGAGGACCTGGCCCTGAGAGTCACCCACAAGCCAAAAACAAAACAAAACAGAAAAGCAGTCAGTACCATCAAAAACGGGCACATGTCCTTTTACAGTGAGGAATGTTGCTGCTCCGCCCTCCAACATTCCATTATGAGTGCAGAGAAAAACACGTAGCAAAACAACAGCCTAGTTTTATCAATCCATTATTAGCCATCACGTTGCTAAATATTGAAATTTTACTATGAGTGCACATGTAGACCGATGTCGGAGGTATTTGCTGAATCTCAAGTGACTGTATAATGTAAAAAAAGTTCATGAGGCGAAGCGGCACTTATTGAATCACTTCAATTCAAAGACAGACACAAGGGATTAAAACAGTGGCAGTAAGCAAAGAAACCTTTCAGATCGACATTCATTTCATCATAAATTAGTTGCGACAAACAAGACGTTAGACACAATGGGAGGCCCTTTCTGAAAAATGCGCTCCCATTCAGCTTAGGAACGTACCATTGGACAAAAAGAATCAAAACACAGCGCTTGAATTTGAAGGCGAGTGTGTTTTGACCAAAGATTCATGAGAGCTCTAAAACCAATGGCTATCAAAAGATGCTGCCGTGAGACGGACACATTAGAACAGAATCTCTCCACAGGGCGTTTCCTCTATGAGCTATAACTCTATAATAGATACACTGGGGTGGGATGCTGTTTTGAAGACTGGAGATCCGCGTTTAGGCCGTCGCTATCTTTGCCCGTCTAAAGTGGAGGAGGCCACTTGGGATGTCCAGAGGAGCTGCTAATCCCCCAACATGCTGTTCATACTATGTACCCTGTATAGACAGTGTTAGACTTACTTCTAACTGCCTAACTTGTTTAGTATCTGCGAGTATTACTCTCTGCCCCTTACATCTATGACCTCGGCACAAATAATGAGCCGACAGGAAACGCGAGTACAGTCCTCGTGGATTCCATATCGTGAAAGCCTCTTCTTTCTTCACCCGGCTACAGTTTTAGGAAAAATGGTTTTGTCTCATCATGAATTTTTGATCTGAGGAGGCCTTTAGAGACCATAGCATATGATTGCAAAAAGGGCACAACAGAGAAACACAGACAAGCACAGAGACATAGTGATATAATGAGTGGAGAAACATTGATAAAACAGATTGTGGTTGAAGGTTAGTAAAAGGGGAAAACACAGCAGCAAAAACACATTTTGGTGAAGTTTGGTTCAGCCATCCAAAGGAGTGTCGTGAGGGAGGGCACCATTTGTGTGTTACAGTATAGCAATGACTTGTCGGGATAATTACGTTAGTGACAGTGGCTGCTGCAGCGGTGGAGGCCACAAAGGCTGTTAGCGCATCATCAGGGCCAGCGGTGGATGTGTAGGCGGAGACGAGGCTGAGGGTGGGCGATGGCGTGGCCGAGGCGCCGGGTGAGTCCAGGCTACAGATCTGCAGCTCGTCCAGCAGACCCGCCGTGGACGTTGAGTAGTGGCTCAGAGCCGACACCGTCACGCGGGAGTCCGAGGACGGCGCGCGGCCCCCGAAGCTCGTACCGCCGGCCGCGGGGAGGTCCGGCCTGCTGGCTGCGCCACCTCCGCTAGGAACGTACGGGCTGGGCGATAGAGCCTTGGGCATTAGGCCCGACATGCAGTCGAGTGACTCTGAGCTGCGGCAGCGATAGGGGGAGTGCCGTGCTGTTGGGTCAGGGGAAGGGGGGCACTAGGTGTTGGGGGAAGGGGAGAGGGAGGAGAAGAGGGAGTCGATTTGGAAAAGGGAGGAAAGGAGTAGAGCGCTTAGTGATGAACACTCATTTGTCACGACGTCACGCGAGATGTGTGGAAGCGAACGCGTGAGCCCGACAGACGGAGGCGGTGCTGCTGTGAAACCACGTCAAAGTGTCACTGGGCTGCTGCTGTGAAGCGAAGAGGGAGTTCAAATACAGTGTGCAGGCAGGAACAGCGGTTTGGAGGAAATGAAATAGTTTGTTATCACGCAGACAGTATGGGTTCATACATAGAACCAGAATTAGTGCGTCCAATGGCAGCACCAAGCCTAGCCAACTAAAGGGCAACACACACACACACACACACACGGCCACGAGCAGCATATTGTATGCTGTGCATCAAAGCACCCGCACTTCTTGCATCAAGACAAACACCAACCGAAGCACAATAGTCTCTGGATTTCCCGGCTACTCTCTCCTCGTCAAAACGCGTGACGCTCCCTTTTCTGCCTCTTCATATCAACTGACAAAAAAAAAATCCCAGCAATCTTGTATTGTAAGTGGCCTCAAAGGGGATACAACCAGTGCTTTTGTTACAGTATGGAGGAAGTCATGTACCAACAGCACTGCCGGAGAAGGTCTCGGTGGAAGTGCAGGAGGAGCCTTGGTTATCTCCACCTGGGCTGGCGCCGGGCTCTTGGCTTCACCGGGGGCTCGATCCGGGCCCTCGAGCGCCGCTGTGTCGCCTGAAGGTTCGAGGCTCTCCGGGCCCGAGCGCCCCGCGGGCGACGCCGGCTGTGTCAGGGGTTGGGACGCGGTGGGACCCCCTCGCGGAGGTGGGTGAGTAAGCGGAGGGGAACCCGGGGTCCGGGTCTTGGGTCGTTGTGTGTGAGCCGGGGGGTCCGGGATGGTGACAGGGGTTAGTTTGAGGGCCGACACCTTTCTCTCCTGGGCCTGTGAATTAGTGGGGGCGGGTGCAGTACAGCTGCTAATGGCATCCAGGAGAGGGGACTGGTGTGAATGTTGGACTGAGTTTGTGCTCTCTGAGTAAGAGTAGGAGGACGTGCTGCGGACAGTGAGGGACTCGCCCTTCTCATTCTGCGTGAACGTTAGCGTCCGTGGGATAAAATCATTCGCCCGCGCGACAAGGGAGCCGTAGCCTGGCGGATTAGTGCCCGTGGGAGAGAAGTGGAAACTCTCTCTTCTGGGGGGCGGCAATGGCACATGATTGATTTCCTTATTGGCCAATTAGAAAAGCAACAACCGATTGTAAGTTCAAACGACAAAGAAAGAATCATCAGTGCAAAGCTCGACACAAATTCCAGATTCCTGACTGTATCAACATGTGCCGGAGGGACGCGTGAGACGTTTTACCTGCGTTGGTGACTTTTTGTCCTGCAGGTTGGGTCTGACACTGCGGAAACCTTTGGCAGCAAGAGATGAGCTGCTGGCGTCTCCATTCTTAAGGCCATCTGTTGCACTGCGCGACCGCCAAGAATCTGCAAGTGGAGTTTATATTATCAACCTGGCATGCTGCGGGGTTTGGAATACGTTTTCTGGTCTACAGCTTTTCATTTAATTTTAGTCTCCACTCCAATTGAACACAAAGAACAGAGACTTACCCAAGTCTGATGAGTGAGAATCACTCCCTGGACAACAGAGAAGACACAGCAGTGATAAGTGAGGTGGGTTAACGCACGGTCTCAAGGTTTAAGGTATTGTGGCCAAAACTCCTAAAGCTTTACCAATATCAATTCATTAGATATCACTAGATTCTTTGTACCAGTGAGGGCTCAGAAGGCTGCTCTTTATGCGCAGAGGGTCAAAATGTCCTTTCCGATTGTGGCTCTATTATAGAAATGATTACAGACTGTGTACAATAAAAAAACAAAAAGGCGTGGAGGAGAAGAGCTTAAGGCACATCATGCACATCGGGGCTCGAAGGACCACTTCACTCCCATGTCTGATAAAGGAAGAAATCTTCCAGAGTACACAGCATGAACACTATTATTGATCATATATTAAGATTTAAAACAGCAGAAAGGCCACTATGCATTGAGCCACGCTTAACATTGATTCCACATGGCTGTTTATTTTAGCGTTACAGCCACATACACAGCTAGTTTTACCCTATCAGATGGCTCCAGCTGGGGCGGCTGCACTCCACAGCAAACGCAACTGAACTGGCTCCTTAACCTCTTAACTCCTAGTCTGGAGTTGGAACCATCCCACAGGGTACTTTCTGCTTTTCCAGGGACTCCGAGTGTAACAGTACGCTAAGCAGCAACGGTGCGTGTACTGCACACCGCTGCCAAGGCCGAGGCTCCCTCAGCGGCCGACGCCTGCACAATAACGTCCTAAGTCCCTTGGAGTGGTGTTCTACTACGCTGCTAAACATTCTCGAACAACTGCTCCTCTTCTTTATTAAAAGAAGGCCAGCGGAGGTAGAGTGCTGACTTTGGTGCAGCCATTAACCGATATGCTGACAAAGTCCAGAGACAAACACTGCTCCCTCAGCACAGCTGAGAATCTACTGCAGCTCCTCCGCCGTCAGTTATGCTGTGAGTTCAAATAATGTTCATCATTTTAGGATGAAGGGGCTGACAGCTGATCTACGGTGAGTTCATTAACGCTGATTACACTGGTAAATACGCAGGATGGTGCCGTTTTAGTGGACACCCAACAAGCCCGTCCAAGAACATATTCAAGTTCTCCAAGAGCCCCGAATCAACCGAGCTGTGGCGTCAGGTCCAGCCAGTCCAAATACAAGCAGCAAAACAACAGGAAGAGAAGAATGAACCAGCAGATGCAGCCCGTGGGACAAGAGCATGGCACATGGGAGCTTTTAAAAGAAAGGATTTAAAAAATGGATTATACAACAAACGGAAAAAAAAAGAAGAATAAAGCACCTTGCAATCCAAACATTGCTTAAGCACAGAGGCAGCCGTCAGGGAGGTGAAGACGTACCTCATGTTTTGAGAGTTTCAGCCATTCCTGGCCGGCCCCATAGCTACTTCTACATGAGCCTTCTCATTCAAACGGGTGCATTTGTAGTGTGTTTGCGTGAGTGTTAGTACCTGAGCCCAGATTTGGCGAGCTCTGGACCCTCTTCATGGGAGAGAGCGTGAGCGACAAGGCCGAGCTTTTGCGAGAGCATCCTCCGCTATCTGAGGGATCACAGCCGGGCAGGTGATCACCGAGGCACAAGCAGCAGCACACATGCACATGCACACACAACGAAGACACGGGTACACACACACAAACGCGGCCAGGCAGAAACACCACAAGTGGAGATAAAGCACATGCATTTAAGTGTGGAACTTTTGTGTTGCATTCAACTAACAAAACCCTTTCTGATGACAACAGGAATTAGACACTGCTAAAGGCTTTTTGTAGCATGTGTATGTGATACATTTAATTAACATGGGGGAATTTGTTGATAGTGGAGAACTCACGTTGTCACTATGGCTAAAAGTCAAACATTTATCTTCCTGCTGAAACACTTCAGAAACACCTCCATCAAGTACACACAGATACTGCGGGCGTTCCTCGCGAGTTTCCACAAACATCTAACACATCGAAGTACAAACGTTGTGGTCAGTGAACAACCGAACGCTTCAAGCCACTGGCTAATGCAGGTGGTTTCAAATCTGCACGTCAAATCTGCGCGTCAAACTCTGGCGGCTTTACCGGTAGTCTTTTCCCACATGACAAAGCTTCTTTTCTGCTTTTATCTTCTCTAGAGTAAATACAGGCAAACAGCCAAGATGAGTCAAGCTGCCACTGGCAGCCACAGAGAGGTGGTGTGTGTGGTGAGGACACTTCAGCGCGGGATGTTGAGGACAAAGCTTTGGGAATGCATTGAGGGAGGAATCACCCTGCTTATTGATGCTCTCAGTCACAATAAACACAGCCCCAATATCACCATCAAAGCAGTGCAACTCGGTCAGGGTTAGAATTACACTCCTGCCTGTGGTGGAGGGGACATTGGGGCTTAGGGCAGCTTTTAGCGTCGCTGCGAGGTCTGCAATGTGGAGACACGTCGGTGTTTTTGTATCAAATTAAATCACTTATTTTGAGGAGAAGAGGATTATTATCACAATGACGGACGACAATCTTACACAGTGTGTGGTTTGTGTGTGTGTTCAGGTGCGCAGACTTAAATACCTGTATTCATATTGGAGAGCACTTCTTACTGTTCTACTGCAGGGACACACACTTTCCTGTAAAACAAAGGACAAAGTATTTCAGAAACACAGTAAATGTCTTTTTAACCCACCAATTGAAGAAAAAAAGTGATTTGTATTTATTCTTCCCGGGACCGCTATAATAAATAATTCAGTGGCTGCAATTGCAGCAGGCGATCTCATTTTATTCTGCATGAACTTTTTTTTTAAATCAAATCTCAAATATAAGCATTTATCTTGGAAATGCGCCAGGTCCCCACTGCCCATTAGTTCACTTTGATTCAAATCTCACTACTTAAGGAGCCCAAATCTCTCCCACACACACACATCTCAAGTCCTGAGATTATTGATGTTTACATAACATGTAAGTTATTTTCAATGTTGTTCAACCGTCTGAGATTCTGTGCCGCTAAAAAGGATCACTTTCACCCCCATTTGCCTTGATTTAGAACACAGCACTGTGTGACATACATGCATGTTATGTTCACAAAGATGTTTAAGCCAAAGCCTAAAGCTACAAAATCCAACATGACTTCCAGCTGGCTTAGTGACCCCAGAAAAGGTTCCACAGCACAAAGATCAAACATACATAATGGCATTTACTCCACTATAAGATAATAGCCTCTTGTTATACGGGGACTTTGTTCTCGGAACTGTTACGGTGCACGATTGATGTGAAACAGGCGCACACCGAGAGCCAAAAAGGCTCCTAACAGACGGTCGCATCGCCGCTTGATGTGTGTCATCACGGGGCTTAGTGTGCGTGAGGGATACGGCGAGCGACAGCAGACAGTGGCTACGGCCGGGATCATACGTGTCTGGTATGTGAGTAAATGTGACATGCAGGTTCTGGGAATATGACGTACAGTAGCTGTTTAAACAATAGTAGACGACTCGTGGTCATCTGTGATTTCAAGTGGTTTGAATCCTGGGAAGAGAATGTCTGCGTTGGCAATATAAATGGTCACACGACTTTTCTTTTTCTTTCAGTACAACAGAGCTTATATCTAATATAATGCCTGGACTGTTCATCTGATTAAGACAATGTACATTTAAACTACAGCTAGAAGTACGAGCAAAGTTTGCACAGCCAAATCAATAAGGATGCTCCTTTTTCAGGATGCTGACTCCTTCGATGCACAAAGTGAGTAAATCTGTGCGGATGGTGTGACTCTACAGAACATAACGTCTGGATGTGTAAACAGACATTGTGCTCTTCCCAGGAGACGAAGGCCTCGGATGATGAAAGCACATACAGTTTGAGCTTGAAGTCATGTTGAATCCTGTCACAGCTTTGGGTATAAAAAAAAATGAAATGCATTAATGAATTGTACTTTGTGCTTCAACACTTTGACAACTCTGGGCTTCACATTGACAGTTGAGGTCCTGATAATTGTGGCTATTTTGGAAAAGGTATGCAAGTGTATTCTGACATGAATGTGTAAAGTGCCTCGGCAGTTGGCTCTGGTTAGGACTGGCGCTCGATGCATTGCATAACATCGACACGTATTTCACCGTGCCGGACATTTTATTAGGCAGATATACTGTTATCTGATTACTAACTTTTTAATCTTTATCGGCGTCCTCAAAATTCCGGCATGAGTCTATAATTAGAACATTAAAGGAACTGTAATCTACGTCAAGGTTGTTTGGTCACCTTATTATTCTTTTCTCTACAGTGTGTCTCCACGCTTGCACATTACCTTCAGCAGTGGCTGGTTCACATTTAGAATGGCGGGTTTTTTTTGTAAAAATGTATGTGAATTATCTAAAAACTCAACCCTCCTACCTATAGACTGTAAGAACCCTGAGAAGACAACAAGTTAAGTGCATGCATTATTTCTGTGGCCATAAAAAAAACCCTATATATTTATATCCACCTGATAGAATTTATTTTAATTTGCATAAAAAACAATAATCAAATCAATAATCTCGCCCCATTTAGCCACGAGTTGTCGCCGCCTGTGGGTTTCCAAACACAGTTAGCGCCGGTTGGGGAGGAAATGTCATTGCTTGTGCTACTACATGGAGACATGCAGCGTGGGATACTTTCAGCATGAGACCTAACCCTCAGCGTCATCCGGAGCGCACTCATAAATCTATCTCTGAAACACACACACACACACACACACACACACACACACACACGCGCACGCACGCAGTGGGGTAAATCATGGGTCTGGCGTCGCAGGCAGTCTCCTTCCGAGTGATGGTCAGATTATAAACAGGATCATGTTGCTTGGGGACAGATCCGCGGCGACACAGCAGCTGTGGCCATGGTGTAATGTTATGGCTGCACACTCGAAGGAAACCCGGCCGGCTCCACACCTCCGAGCGACTCTCAACGCCCCCGCTCAGGCCTTTTGAGCTTTTAATCACGAAACGGGCAGCGCTCTCTGAAGCCGGAGGAAGATCATTAGCGGCTCGCTCATTTTTCAACGTGTACAATTTAATAGAGGGGCAGCAAACGTTGGCGTTTGTAAACTCAGGCAGAACTTCTCTGCTTGATGGAATGATGATTGTCGATACAAGTGAACAGTTGTCTTTACTTTCTGACTTGGCCGTGGTTTATTCACCAACTGTAATTTAGGCATCGGTGGGCCACTGCGGAGACTGCCGTGTCTATAATTACAGTGTAATAGCTGTGGGACTGCAAATACCCAAGTCGGAGCTATGAGCCACAGAACCCGACGATGTCCATCACGTCTCATCGGCCCGTTGAGTGACCTCCTGGGACCCATTGGGTTCATATCAGTGGACTTAAAGGGTTTGAGCTCTGAATCCTGGTGAAACACGAGTACAGTACGTTAGTAGGCTCGTCCTCTTTAGAAGAGCCTTACTATTGATTAGCAGAAACTATCACCATTTTCACCATGGGAGGTTTCCACAACAGAAGAGTCTATGATTACAATGAGTAATCTATATCTGTGCACTTAAATGATCTTATAAAATATGTGCGTGGACGGCACAAAGAGGACAAAGCTAAATTGAATCAATGCCCCTCGAGAAGGAGGTTAAAGCGTATCATGGGATTTTGTGTCCTTGTTGACAAAAGTACAAAAAGTAATTTGACCTGACAACGATAAAATGCGAACCGGACAGTGTAAAAGAAAAACAGAAGGAGAGAAAAACACAAACAATGTCCTCAGAGAGCACAGGCTGTGATGCCATTAGTCACTGGCAGTCTGCCATGGCATCCAAACAAGTGCTCAAAAACAATGATGTCATCATCGTCCTTTGAGAAAGGACAACAATGACATTTTTTTTAGATAACAATAATAATAGTGGAACTGTTGAAGCAATATTTAGGAATTTTGTAACACTTTCTTTCTTTAATTCATTTCAGAATGTCTTTTAAAAGCCCTTTGTGTGTGTCTGTGTGTCTGTGTACGAGATACACACAATGTGTACGAGATAGAACAGCAGGAGAGAGTGAACAATCGTTGGAGATAAGCCGCCTATGGCTCCAAGGGTCGTGACCCTGGAGTGGTCACTCAGACTGAGACACACTCACAGGATGTTAACAGATTAAAGCTCCTTAGAAAATCTATTTAAAGACCGTACCAAAAAGTCATCAGATAGACATTTAATCTACCGCTGGTCTCTGTGCCGATGATTATCAGCTGCTGAAGGCTTGATAAGATTCTTTTTCATTAAAATACCAACTGGAAGAAAATTCATATATCAGAACTATTTGGCACAGTGAACCTATTCACATCAATATTCATTCTTAAATAATGAGGCTCTACTGAGTTTTTCCTGAGGCTGTGCTAACTTCAAATAGGTTGATACTTCATAGAGCATTTCATACGGCCTTGTGGGACCATATGCATTTGGATTTGGGGAATTTTTATTTCCATACAAGCAATAAAAGAAGAAAACATTGTTATCACCACACAGTTGCATGCGCCCAAATCCTTGCTGAGGATACTTCCTGACTGCAGTGTTGGACGGATTATCCCGTGGTCACTTCTCAACAATGTGATTTTTGTGTTAGACAAAAAAAAAGGTCATTAAGGCTTTCCTTGTTTTGTGAAACTGTGTGGCCTGCATTTTAATTCCTAACAGTGAATTAAACCACAGCATCAATCGTTTCATGCCACTCACATATGTGTGATATTCCAGCAGTCCAGGGTTTATACATCAAAATCAATTCAATAAGTGCTTCAACGCAATTCTAAAAGTGAAAGAAACGCTTCTTCTCTCACGCCATAACCAATAGTTTGAATCAAATGAGTCTTCATTTAAAGATCTAAAGCCTTTCTCTGACAGAAATAAATGCTATAAACTAGTTGTAACACGCAGGCCTTTTCATCAGCTCCACGTTTCCGCCACTAGCTGAACAACAACAAGTCTCCGTTATCAGCCTTGTTTGTTCAACCTTGCCACTCATTAGCAGAGCCCCCCTCTGCCCCTCCCGCTGGCTGCATGAATGGATATGGGAGGTCAATACGCTGACCCTGCGTGCCCACTCACTGCCCATGCTGCTAACAACAGAGGGCCGTGTGTCCCGCGGATTGCATCACAGCCGTTGTAGAAGACACAATGCGCAGAGACAATTAATATTTTTATCACACACCCCCCCCAAATTTCTCTCGCCCCCCCCTGGGTGTGTGGGTGCGGTGTGCGGGGGTAAAGAACGAATGCGCTGTGACAATTTGTCGGTTTGTTATCTTACCACAACTAAGGATGAATTCACTTTAACGCTGCTCTGACATCCGCGGAGACGAAGACAGAGGGGAGTAAAAGCAGCAGAGAGTAAAAAGCTGGATGAATACCGAGAACAGGACATGAATCACAGGGAGGATGAGAGGTCCCCAAAAGCAATATGTTCAAGGGAACAAACAGGGAGCAAAAAACTGAGAGCAGCCAGTATCAGCATGTAGCATTACGTAAGCTGTCTGGACACAGCGTCGCGAGTAAACAACACCTCCATGGCTGCCACGGTCTCCTCTCCTTCCCCTGAGAGATGTGTACGCCACGCGTGGAGCTCGGAAATAAAGGCGGCAAAGCGCCATCGAACTCTGGGACGAGCACAACGAGCTCACGGAGGCCGAGAGATAACGAAACAAACGGATGAGCAGACAGAGGGACACAGTTAGGAAGACAAAGAGACATTTTGACTGAGCTTCTTTCTTGTTTGCGGTTGAGTGAAAACTCAACGTTTAAACTGAGCACACAGTAAACCACTGAATGTTGCACTTTTTGAAATAACACAGGCGTGGGGATCTTTATGACCACCCCCAGCAGGAATATACATTAGGTAAATGCCACGCCGTTAACATAGGATCCCAAGCAGAAGGAGTAACATAGCTTTGACAGGTCATAGGATACAGCAGAGCACATGTCTCCTTTTAAAGAGGACTTTTCCAGCACAGGTTCAGGTTTTTCATTTAACTGTCCTAAAGGTTCAGACTGAATACTTTAAATTGAACGGCGGTCTATAGATCAGTATGAATGTGTCACACTTTGAATCCAATCTGGTGCACGAGGCCTAAGATCACAACTTAATGTGGCACAAAAGTCAAGAGGCCTGTGCTGCGGAGCCTTAATGGGGGGGGGGATTCAGGAATGCAGAAAGTATCTTCTGACTCTGACTCCAGACTTTCCTGTCCTTTGCAATTCTTTTATAACATTTTGAAAATAGTCACTTGACGTAACGGGTTAAAGCAGGATGGCTATCAGCTGTGGCTAAGATTACATTCCCCCATGCATAGTCTGGATTCCCCAGGCAAGGTACCAGCGTTAAGTGTCGAGCACAAAGATAAGAGGAACTTGATTAGCGGGGGCGCTATATTTACTGCCAATAGGCAGGACCCTTTACCCTCTAAGGTGAACCGGATCATCGGGAAAGTCACGAAAGGCAGCAGCAAACATCCTCGTTTCACATTTTCCCAGTCCTTCCATTTCAGCAGGCAGAGAGGAATGGAAAACTACATCATCGCAGCAGGAAGTCTTTCAGAGAGCCGAATATGTTCGGATCAAGTCACGGGCTTGAGAGTGGGGAATAGCATCTACGCATCAGGATAATCGAGAACGAGAGATGCGGTCTACTAGAAGAACCACACAATTCAAGAGCCTTGTGTTTGCCGTTATTCTACACGTTTTACATGGCGTTTATCCTTCCTGCGCCTACAGCATTCAAGCAGCTAACAGAGAATCGATGGTTATTTCGTCCAGCCCTCAAAGCGTCTTTGTTTCATCCAAAATAAAATAAAAGTGTGTTCAAACCGGAGTTATTTTGGTCGTTAATCCCATTTCCCAGGTTGTACAAATCCAGCCGAGCAATCACGCCATCTCTGTCCCAAACAGTGGGGCTTATTTTACAGGAGCCCCGTCGGGGTCAGCAAACAAATGACGTCTTCACAGGACGGAAATGAATCATCTCTGGTATTAATAATGTGACGTTTTTACCATGGAGAAACAGGCTGTCCTGTGACACGGGGGACACACAAAGTGCCCCACTGTATGTCGGGTCCCGGCAGAAAGGGATCCAAGGGAGCCCGATCTACGAACCGAGGCTGGGAACCACCCTCTAGTGTGTACCCAAGGGGTCAAGGTGACATTCCTCTACACCTCTGAGACCGGCTTAATGGAGGGATTGCTGCGTGGCTTTTGTTGAGTGGGAAAGAAGAGGCTGTGAAAAAAGTGTGTAACAAGAGATGGAGGTATGCTAGAAAAAGGGACAGAAAAAAAAAACAGGATTGTGGGGCCAAATTATGGAAAGGGAAAAAACAACAACAGGTTTTTGGAGGTTGACTTAGTCAAATAAAAAAAGTTACATTTCTCGTTCTTCAAGCCTGAATTCATCTTTAATGGTTGACATATAAAATCTTTCAATCCACATAAGTGGAATTTGCTGATGCTATTTCTGAGGTGGCCGCGGGAGCAGCCGTTGTTTTATTTGACACCATTTCCCCTGCTGACTGTCACAAAAGACCAAACTTCTGTGCTCGGCCTATAATTGTGGGTTTTGGCAGAGCAGATAGATACAATTCCCTTTTGGTGTTATTGGGTTGTAAAATCTATTCACATCTTAAATCCAGTCAGCCCGTTTAAAGCCTCGAAAAGACACAAATGAGTGCACAGCAATATATGATCCCTGCGTGGCTCGAATGGTTTCATTAGAAGGCCATTTTTTGAATCTCGATCGATCATAAATCAAACATAAATATGGTGTATGAATTTTATTTCATGGCTTAGAAAGAGTAAATGAAACCAGTATTTGTCGATCCATAATCTAAATCTCGGCAGATCCCCGAGTATCTTTTGTGACGTTCAACCCCAGAGGGCCGACCTGTGCAACGGTCCATCAAGAAGAATCAACTCTTACCGTCATAAAACCAAAAGGCCGGAGACTTGCTAAGAAGAGTCCAGTTGTGCAGGTGAGCTGCGAGCCCACGCGCCTTCTCCTCCCTCCCTTCTCTTCTACCCTCCGCTCAGGACGAGTCTCTCCGCCGGCTCAAGCTTTATTCCCAGATCTTACCCCGTTTAATGCCTGGGGAGCACAGAGACAACACAACGAGGAGAAAGTTAGAGAGCCAAAGAGTGGGAGTGACGGGGAATGAGACTCCCCCGTTTGGGTGAAGCAGTGATCAGATACGGCTATTTTCAGACTCAGGCATGCACGTCTATGGGACTGGAAAGTTACCCCCCCCCCCCCTCCTGTGTAGAGGGGTGGGGGCTAAGCGACAGGGTTGATCTCTATTTTACCACACACACCTTTACATGCAAGCATACCAGTGCATTCCGTACGCAAGTGTGCACGCACAAATGCACACGAAGACAGACACAGTCCCAGATTCTACGGTGCAAAAAGCATCAGGTGTACCATCATGTTACACAGAGTTAACTGGACCAGGATGGCGGTCCCTCATCCGGGCCTTCAATGTCCACTGTACCCCTTCACGGCAAAAGAAAAAAAATGACCAGAGTGTCAAATTGTTGTGTCGTGAGGTTCCCTTTCACTTTCTGATGCCCCCGCGTTTGATGGCGGCTCGCTTGCACTCTCTCTCTCTTTTTTTATCACTGGTGGGACCAACCGGTCTCATATCGGGCTGTAAATATATACGGACTAATTAAGCGTCCACTCACCTGTGTCATTAATAATCGTACTGCTGTGTAATCTATATGGGAATGTATATTTGGATATGACCACACACACGCAGGCTGAGTATATGCAGAAGGGAGGTCAGCTAGAGGCACCTCGAGACCCCAGACTCCCTGCTATTCCCAGAATGATGATGTAACAACTGCTATTAGCCTGGATACCTAAAACCCAGCAGGCTGCTACTGTGCAACATGCTATTTAGATCACTTCAACCTCTTCCCATCACACCCATACCTGACAATAAACAGGCACAAAAATCAACGTCTAACAAATGACTGAGTGGTGGAGTTCAGGGAGAGATCAGCAGCCTCTACAAAGGGAATCCATAATGTATAGTAACGTGGCACCTAATTCTCAAGTGGACTAATCATTGCAAGTGTATCACAAACAATGGACCGACTGCAGGAACATTTTGCAGTCCTCGCATCAATAGCCAGATTATTTTAATGGGGTTGTAGGCCGTAATTAATACCCTTCAATTCGAGTCAAAGAGGATAATGTCAATCACGTTTTAAGTGGATTTTGTACAGAGTTTCAAACTCATGATGAAGATAGGCTAGTATGACAAAAGGATAACTTGTAAATTGCATAAAACAGCAAAGTTGGTGAATGCAGGAAGTTCTCCAAAACCACTAATAAGAACCACTTGATCACTATTCATACAACGGGTTCTTGCCTGTGTTGAGCTGGGTCAAGTGTTTCAAGCATGAAGCATATAAATCAGGTAAAAAAAAAAGGTAAACTCATAATCCCGCTCTGGGAAGTGTGGACACGTGGCCAACCTTTAAATCAAAACGTGGACGGCTTTCGCTGACATGCTCCGCTTCAACACTATCTGCCGGTGACGGAGCGGTAACGTAACAATCTGTGCTGCACGTTCACAAGCTGCACTCCCGCAGCCGTCCCCCGCCGACCCGATCCGATCGGGCGGGCTTCGGACTTTCCACAGCACGCCGCAGTGATCGGTGGGCCTGCGAACATGGTGAAAAAAGCAGCTGGCCCCCCCCAGAAATGTCTGACCACAAGCCGAGGATCACGGAGCTATGGCGAAGAGCTGACAACTGACAGGTGCTAATGATGTAACTTTGGACACCCATAAAGTATTGCAGGGGCCAAAAGGACCCGAGTTTGGTTCACTACAGCAGTTGTTTTCTATTTGCCTCGGACATTATCCTTTTTATCCCAGGTGGCAAAATCTCTGTTAACGGTTTAATTGATGCGGCCTCCCGGTTCTGGATCGCATCCCTCGTGTATTAAAAGTGAACTGTGACTTTGACAAGCAGCTTCTATCGGGTCTATCGGTGTGAAAACGAGTGATTTATAAAAGCAATTAAACCGACATGACACATCAGCTTAGGAACGATCTCATTTGAGTACCAGAGCAAACTATTTTTATAGCCACCGACACGCACTCACACTCAAACGCACTGACCCTTTGACCCGTGAGCAGCTCCGGACTACAGTGGGCCGCGTCGACATGGTCTCGCCAGTACAGTTTCAACACCTAATTCATTATCAGCTTCTGCAAGGTCCCGCCATTCCCAGTTAAGTAAGTGGCAGGTTATAAAAAGCAGGAGAGCTGTGCTTGTACACATTTATATGTGTCACTTACTTGGAAAACATTTAAACCTGGGAGCACAGAGAGAAAAAAAAGGAAATAAATTGCTCAACAGAGAAAATCACAACGGGTGCGTCGCCGAGTATGAGCTGCTTTTTTCTTGATTCAGTAAATAATCCGAAGGTAACGTAAAACAGAGCAGTGGATATAAACAATTCATAACTATTGGTTAAGAAAAGCTCACTAAAACTGTCTCTTACCGCCCTGCAGAGCAGCACAGACACACACATTAAATGATTCAAACGGTACCACGATATTGTTTGTGGTCAACTTCTAGAATAATTAAAACAGCGCACAGCTTTGCATCTCGGAGTTGCTTTGACGGGCTGAATACTAGAGCACTGAAGGTGTGTTCTATTACGACAAAGAGAAACTGTAAGAACTATGGTGTGCTATGATCTGCAAGCAAACACTTGTCACACATCCTCTGAAGTCTCAGCAGGATGGATTCCTTAATACCTCTACGTTGAGTCTCCAATTAGTTTAAAGCTTTTTTTTCATGCTGCTGCCATAAACGTACGTTATTCTTACTATTGCTGAAAGAGATACATTTTAATTCTCTGGACAAAAATAGCATTTAGGATGGTGAGAAAGGACTATCATCCTGGCAGGTCTAAGTAAAGATGAACCTGGGTATGATTTTCGTCATATTAACACATTATTATTTACGTCTTTTTATATTAAATGTTCATATTTTAGATCCTCCTCCACGTGTGATCTTTGTAAGTGTGCACGTGCAGAACGGCGTCCAGGTGTGCAGTGTTTGGAACGTCAGCTGCTTCCCCTCCTGTTCATACTTACTTATTGCAATCATAACACTTTACAACAGCGAGATCTGATGATAGATGGTGATTGAGGACGCTCGGGGAGAGCGCTTTTCCTGCAGGGCGGCAATTACAATCAGCGAGACTAAGAATTGCCCACGCTTTAAAAAAAACAACAACACTTCAGCTATAAAATGCAAAAAAAATGCAAAACACGTGTGTGTGTGTGTGTGTGTGTGTAAGATATAGGTTGAAATGAAGAGAGAAATCAAACTAGTGAGTATTACATTCTGTACTTTCACAAGAAACTCTATCACTCTTTCTCCCTCTTCCTCTCTCACTCAAACATGCACACACACACACACACACTCCCTCTCTGTAACTCTAAACTGGCAGGTGCAACTGCGTTGACGCTAACAGAGACATGCTTTCTGGCTCATTGGCAATCCATCAAGTCAAACTGCAGTGATCCCCCCATTCGGTGTGTATATTCAAGCCTCTGTGACGGCGCCGCAGCCCCTCGTCAGACGGGTTGCGGCCAACTGTTGCTTGTCGTCATGCTGCGTCGCTTACTCTCCCCCAGACGTGAGCCTTTGGTCAAGGAAATGCAAGGAAAGACACACACACACACACACACACACACACACACACATAGAGCAGGTAGGCCACACTGGGAGTGGTGTGAGGTACGCAGGGTGATAGTGTTACACTTTGTGCATCCTGGACACCTCCCCTATACTCGCCGTTCACCCAGCATTCAAATGAGCCGCTGGCCCTTTTCTTCTTAGTCTCATTACATCATCCCTTCATATCAGTTAGCAGGAAGCTCAAAGAAACACAGAAGCAGTCACTATTCTTTTCTCCTCTCTGTCAGATCTAAAACATGAGGGGGGGCACAGAAACAGATTTGTCTTCCAACATGACATGAAACACACCACTGCAGTACCATTCATGAGTAGATGCACTGCACTGTTGAGGTCCGAGCAAACAATGGAGCTTATCCTAAGCATCGAGGATGTAGGTTAAACATGGATACGCCATGTTTACTGCCAAGCAGCCTGTCTGTTAATGAATAAATCTCTCGCCAGGACTCACTTTGGGCCACTGCTAATGTTTAAGCACCATTGATCGGCCAAACCCGACCTCATCTCCCGGTGATGCCCTGGAATGCACTTCAGGGGAGAAAACAGAAGCGGCGCGCCGCATCCCGGACAGGCCGATTACAACTAATGTTACACGTTAACTGTTGCTTGTGTCACGCATGTTTAAAGAAAGAAAGAAATAAAAGAGGGGGGAGGGGGGGGGGACCTCCGTTTGCCTCGTCTTAAAACAGCCCGGTGTTCATCTCTGGCTAAAAGCATATCAGCGGCTTCGACACGGTGGAAAGCGTCACCTTACCGCACAGCAACCGCCGCCTCACTCGAGCGACACATCGCCCGGTAACCGGCCTCCTCCACGGGTGGAAGACGGGACGTCCTCGACCGTAGGACACCACCCGCGGGAGCTGTCCGCGTGATGGGGCCGTACACCTGTTCCGTTCGCCCCGCTGTTTTTTTGTTGTCCGGTCGTCCGCTAGCTGTTAAGACAAGTCCCTCCGTCCCGGGTGGGGTGAGGGTGGGGTGGTGGGGGGTGTTGCTGAGGGCTGGTAGAGCAATGCGGGGGAAAGAAGACGCGGCGCGCGGAAACGAGTTAGTCACAACGTGTCTCGTTTTTTTTTGTTGTTTTTTTTAATCCGTTTACTACAAGCGAACGTCGCAGCGCGGTCCCCCCGGAACCTGCCGCCCCCTCCCGTCCCCCCGGTTTCCGCTTTAATTAATATTAAACGACGCCGTAGCTCCGCGTGCAAGATGGCCTCTGTTATTTCCATTCACCAACAGTCCGGCGCGAGCTTCCCATTGGGCCCTCGCGTCGCCATGGCAACGGCCGCCGTTCAATCCGTGCGCGCACGGCGGCGCGCCGCTGCCGAGAGGAAAGCGCCGCTTCGCCTTCTATCCGCAGCGGAGAGTGAACGGAGGCCTCATGCTGTGCGTTAACGGCTAAAACACGACGATTATACCGCCAAGGAGTATTAAGTGATCCGCGGACCCACGCGGGGAATACAGCCGGAGCGCTGTGTGTTTCCCCCGGCAGCATGCCGTGTTGTCATCAAACCGCTTCAAGGCCAATGTTGAGCTATTAATAAATGTCAAGTCATTTGTAGCCCGACGTTTGAGGTGGGCTTGGGTTATGAGGATGGGGTTACAGAGGAAGTGTATATGCAGAACTGGAAAAGATAAACATCCAGTTAACCTGCATTATGGGCCGAACTAATTATTCACTTGTATTATTATAACACTATTATTATAAGCGCCAGCTCACACTTAGTGGAGATGATCAGATGCATTTGTGCAGTAGACAAGTTATTGCTTGAAGAGTAAAAAGCTATTATTTTGTTATTTGAATACGACTGGGGAGAACTCATTCTGGTATCATATCTGCGGTGCTGTGAGCTGCTTTGGATTTATTTGTTTCTGTTGTTACCCTCCTCCATCCATTAAACATTGCGGTGCCTCCTAACAGGAAATGTTCCAGTGTGAACCCTGCAAGTAGTGAGAGCTGACGTCACTGCGTGTTAAACGTGTTAAACTCTGACAGGTGTTGATTTATATCAGCTCCAGGGTGACAACATTTTAGAATAAAAACTTTTGCTTTGAGGTCTTTAACGACAATTTTTGATTTTCCCTCCTTGTCCGGTATATAAATATGTATTTGATCTTCTTCATTGAGCAAAGCAGCTGCACTGTCTTTATTTTTAGTGGCTTAACTTTGGGGTTCGCCCTTTCTGAGTCAGTTTTTCTCCCCCTCTCTCTCTCTCTCTCTCTCTCTCTCTCTCTCTCGCACACCCACCGAGCTGTTCAATTATTTACAGAGTGGATTGGAGACCTTTACAGCCATGTGCCGGTTATTGTGACCATGGCAGAAAACACTTATTGCATTGTTCCACTTGTTTCAAATGAAATAGAATCAATCATTTGTGTCTAATATGGTCTGCTTGAAATCTCAGCGCCAGAGACGCAGGAGAAGGTGAAAGCAGGAGCTATTTTGCTCATGAATTCTTTAGACGGCTTTCACAGATGTTCAATTCAGCTCATAGTGAGTCAATTACAATGCAAAAAATTATACTTAAGCCTCTCCATCAAAATGTGATACATTCATTTGAATGTAAATATGCCGTATATTTTTTCTTTATGTCAACTACAAAACCGTTCAGTTGCATTGACGACAAACAAATAATCAAAGATACTAATTAAAGCCGACGTGTCCTTTTGTTGTCAACAGATGCACAAAGGTGCACAAATTTAGATGGATATTGATAGCTGACCTTTCTGAAGTGTCAACGAAACCACATCTGTGAGTGTGTGTTGACGCTCGCATGTGTGCGTTTGCTCTTTTATCACCAGCACTTATCCCTCACTGACCTCAGTGTTGCCATGTAGATGCCTTTTTATAGGGGGGGGGGGGTGTTATCCACAGATTCTTAGCAATCCCTTCTGACCGGGCAGAGAGGATGAAGACGATGCATCGTGTACGGCATGCTGTGTCCACTGGTGGTTCAGGTGCAGAAGCACTAAAAGGTGGAGCTTAGGTAGTTAAAGCACATTACAGCACCTACACGGGAGGTGTGTCAGCAGCGTTTTAATGCCATCTGTCCCACACCTGTAGCAATGCCATCCTATTGAATCGAAGCAGCTGTCTTCATACACTAAAGCATGCACTCCACTGGGTTATATATGCACACAACCACAAGCCAGGAGCATATTTCTACACCTCTCTTCCACGATGGACTGTGATTGTGTTTTGGGTGGAGCTGGTGGGCTACATGCTAATGTTGACACTATGACATCCTCATGGTTAATTAGGGTTAATTCTGTGAGTTGACACATTCTCACAAGCTGGCTGAGCTTAAACTACAGCTGCAGCTGGCATTTCATTTCGGGGCAGTAAGTTGTGTGCATGAATGAATATACTCAACCCGAGGTTTAGTGAAATTGTTACCGTCATGGTGGTGTGAGAACAAAAGCCGGTTGACGTGACAGGGGCCGCGAATGTCTTTGCAAAATGTAACAGCAAACTAATGGCTCGATATTTCCGTCCTGCTCAAAGCGGTGGATCGGACCACTGAGCGGCGTACATGATCCCTACGCCTGTACCGTGTCATTAATTAAAGTTAGAGGCATCTTTACCAATCCTCCTCTGGGGTTGGCTTTATGCACAGGTAGCAGTGGCACCGCCAGTGAACAACACTCATCAGGTGTTGATGCCCATGCGAGCTGGAAGTTGTCCATGCTCACAAGATGCACGCCTCCTGAAGCTGAGCCCTACATTGCAATCTTGATCCGTGCCAGACCATCCAAATGCAAAGGTCTAATAATGCTTCGCTTAATAGTATTTCCATTTTAGGATGGCAACATGAATCTTATCTTAGAGGGTCTGACATCATGGAGCAAGGGTCATGCTTTCATGGCTTCCACTACCTATCATAATCCATAGTAAGTCTGCAATTACCTACATCCAATACTACCAGCCTACCTCTCATGGCCCCGCTTAGAATAGCCGACAATAAAGGAGAGCGGGCTGGCGCACGGATCTTGTGAGAAAAATAGCTCTTTTATCTGAGCTGTGGCACTCGCTCACATCTTTCCACTGATGCTTTCCAAAGAGATCCACATTTGGAACAGCTGATACTGAGGCTCGCTCGTCTGGCCAATGTTAAAGTGCCCCGGTGGTGCTGAACGAGGGGTTGGCATATGAGCGCACAAGGACATTGTCTGGCCATGACTTAATACCACTTTCCCTTGTGTTCCAGTCTGGCTTTAATGTCTGAGTGCTGACCAGGTGAAATGCCTGAGCGAGCCCTTGAGACAACAACGCTGCTGATCGTCTCGCTATTTTCTGAAGTGCAAGTCGGCTACTTGACGTCCGTTAATGTTTGCAGGCTTATATTTCTATGTTTTGCATTTTCCTAATATACACATTTTCAATGAATTAATTGCGTCTTATCCTGATTGAGAATCATTGGCTGCCACAACTTTGACAGGGTCAATGTCTGCCTCTCCATCACGGAGTGAAGGGGATGGAATGCTGAATTGTGTCCCCGACCGTCATTCAAACACCAGAAAAAAACTAAACGCTTTGCACTTCCATCCAACCCCAAGACCGACCCTGCCCTCTGCCTTCCTTCTGCACATCATCAATCAAAGAGAGTCAACATTCCCCAGTGAAAATGCCAGTGTCACTCATGGACCTTCCTCTTGGACCCTGAAGCTGGCTCTGCGTGGTCAAGAAGGATGTCGTGGAGAGACGTAACAGAACGGAGCAAAGCGGTGGAAAGGAGAAGCTGAAGGATGACAGAATAACAAATGACACGGCAAAGGAGATGCAAGACTCGTGGAAGGCATATTATGACTTCAATTAATCTTTAGAAATGAGTATAGACAGGTCTTAACACTGATGAAGAGAGAGGATAAACTGAAGCTGCATAACAGCAGCGTAATATAAATTAGAGATATACTGAGATGAAATACTGGGCGTGAATCCTACTACGGCTGTTTCTAGTAAATGTAAAAAACGTTTTTTAACACCGTGGACTGGAAGAAAAAAAAGTGATGGATGACTTATACAGCAGTTAATGTCATTTAACACATAATGTTTAACTTTCTGTTGATTTAATACTATTCCATTACTAATCCACGTCCAGCACATCTGGATGGGAGATGCCGGGCTGTTTTTCTCCCTTCACATGAGGAGTCGGAAGACTTTAGGACGGTTTCCAGAGGACGACGTGACTTTGGTGATCCCATCTATTTTACTTTATTGTCTCTGTGAGGTTTTCAGTCAAATGGCCCAACATTTATTGATTAGATTGCCATGATATTTGGTTGAGACATTCACAAAATTTCCCCGCAGGATGAAATACAATAACTGTGATGAATAATACTGACCAAGGCCCTAATGATCAAACCTGGGATTACTGTGATACCTCTATATAGAGTCTGATCCACGATGGTAGCCCTGATATTAAAGCATCTAATCCTCCCTGTTGGAGCTCATTACCTGGTAAACCTCACCGCGCTTCCTTATCGGGGCACGAAGTGATGACAGAGCGGCTTACGCTCCTTATGCAACGCACGCCTTGCTTGCTTTCCACGTGGGTCTTCCAAACACAATTACTGACAGTTTCTGTCTCTGAAACACATTTCTAATATTACTCCGCACTTCATCCACCTCAATACCCTCGACCGATGTTGCTGAGCCAGGCTTATCCTGTGTGGCCGCTGAGAGGATTGATAAGTTCTGTTATGGCTGATGAAATGTTGCGTAGAAGTATGAAACATGCGCCAGAAGGCTCACTGGAAGAGCAGGAGATGCAGCAAATATAACAGAGGAGTAGGAAAACAATGGAGTCTGAGTAGGTGAAATGAGAGTGAGGACACAGGTAGAAAGAAGACGTGATGCCAGTCAACTGGTGGACATGCCAGCTGGCTCAGACAGCATCACGAGATCCATTGTCACTGTCAGCTTGGGGAGATTCGTTTAGGAGCGTCTCTGATTTTGTAAATAGGGGTTATTCAGAGAGTTTAGATGTGATCACGTGGCAGATCTTCTTACAATTATTCTTTGTTTCCTTTTCAATGAATAACTTAATTTATTATCTTTTCAGTATCTACCTTTTAACATGTACATTAATACAATTAATAAATATAAACACTTAAAGTGTGTTGTTGTGTTTTAGGGAGGTGTGTACCTGAGAGCATCTACTATAAAGCAATCCACGAATGAAATGTAACTCAGCCAATAAAAGGTTAGATGTCATCAGGTTAACATATCTTATGTTTCCATGATTCATTACAGGACTTTAATACACCAAGAGTCATGGCAGCTAAATCGTCACTGATTTCTTGAAGTCCTGAAAAAGTATCTCCGTAAAAAAGAGGAAACCCTGATTTGACATTTACTACATTTCAACTAAAGGTTTGTGAGGAACAGTTGCTCATGTCTGCACACAGCCTTTTTTTTAAATACTGAGTAATATTTGTGATGTTCCGCATGAGTTCCACAAATACAACAGTTGTACGCAGTTGCTTGGTGCAAATGAGTTCATTTGATTGGATTTAAAGAAAACATGGATGCCGATTAGTTTAAAATGCGATAGAACAAATGGGCTAAAAAAAAACACTGATGTTTTTGTTTGACGTGATCAAGGCCCGTCCACTTCTAAGGTCCAGTACGTCGTGTAACAGCCAGGAAATGAGAAAGTTGGAAATGTACAAGGAGACAAATTGTGTCATGCAGCGGGGCAAAGCAATCTCGGGTGGAGAGTTTTTTAGGATGAGGAATGTGACCCGTGGATCTGCCTTTTCCTTCTTTGGTAACAGTGCTGCTCTGCTACATCAAAAGGGGCCTAAATCGCTAAATCAGTTTTGACCACATGACCCAGAGAAATATTTGTGTGTTCAGCCAAAGGGGGATGAACTTATTAGTGGAAGGAGGAAAAATTGTGTGAAAAAAAGTGTTTATTTATGCATCATCTAAACTCTAAAATCAACCAAATACGATTATAAATAAATATCCTATGGTTTCATTTTCTCCGGTCATATCTACTTTTATTGTGTTTATTTTGCTGAGCTTTCTGAGAAAAAAACGCTAAAGCCAGTCAAGTTCTTCTAATTATGACACGTCTATGTTCAAAGGAACCATTGCACCTCGAACACTCCTTGAAACCATATGGCTTTTTAAACCAAGAAGGCATTATGTCCCATCTGCTGACGGTTGTCGGTGCTGCCAGATTGTTGAAGCCAAAGCTTAAGGTGCTGGCACAAAGCTCTCTCTGCCGCCTTCCACGCAATCAGTTTGGTGTGTTAGAAGGGGGTAATCTCCCTCTGAATAGGCCGCTTGTTTCACAGCCTTCGGCGCATGGTCTCACAGTGGCAACTCGTCACGCAAGATGCCCCTGCTAAACAAGGAGGGGGGGGATTCAGATTGAAACACACTGCACAGGCGTGGTACAAAGAGCATTTATCAAAGGTGCAATATGCCAAAATCAGAGCATCAATAGCAACGTAACAGTGCCTACTTGTGCATAAGAGTAGGTTTATACGCACCCACCAAAAATATACACGTCATGCGGTCCATCTTGGGAAAAAGGTTTAGTGCTGAAACAGTTGATTTGTCTGATGTGGTGGTCACAGCTTCATGGGAAGGTTTCCTTTCTCTTACTTTGTTTTTCATGTGATTGGAAAAACCGAATGCAGTCTTCATTTTAAGTTGCTTAAAGAGGAAGATGATTCATAGTGTCTCTGTGGTCTACACTGATTCATATAATTGAACAACTGCATTGAGTTATAGCGCCAATTAGGTTTTTTACTGTGTCTGCCATATTTCCAAGCCGCGCTCGCCACTCGCTGATTTGTCTCTCCTTGCATTTTCCGGAGCTGCACTGCAGACAGTTAACAGCATAGTAGTAGGTCCATGCTGCTGATTTCACTTCAGTATTGATATCCTGTCACCCCCAGTTATAGGGAGAATAAGCCTGAGTCAGCACGCAGTAAGCCAGGGATGAGAAGCACACACACATCAGCCAATGCTCAAATAAAACACAATGATCTGTCGATGAATGCACAACAGTAGCAGTTGTATGAGGGAAGACATTCAATCATTTACGATGGTGTAGTAAATACTCAATGCGGGTTTCATTGATCGCAATCAGGGATAAAGACTCCCTCAATTCCTTAGAACGCCACATTTGCTCCCAGGGAAATGTCATTCTGCTGACTTACAAAAGTGTCATTTTGTGAGCTCTGTGACGCGTAGTGGAGTCGTCTACTTAAATGAATGTGTGCGTTCGCGTCCTCGATTAAGGACCACATCTGATAAGAACCACCAAGAGTATTGAGCTGTGCTGCGTTCATTCAAGCATTTGACTGAAATTAAAAAGCACAATTGGCCCCTCCCTTTCCTCAGAGGTGTAATAATCACACAGGTTGTGTGTCAGCAGCTGACCCAGTAGCAGAGCTGGCCGTCTGATCTCCAAACATCGCCGGTCAGCAAACTGGGGAGGGGGAGATATACTGCAGTGTCTTTTGTTCTGCAGAGGGCAGAGAGAACATACTACGACAGCGATGCTGCTCCCTGCACCGCTCCTTGTATGCACGTTACCTGTTTCCCTCTTCAGCATCTAACAAATCCTCCTCACACTCGTGATGGAAATGAATCGGGGCATTTATCCCCCTTCTTACTCAAATATCAGAGCACAGTCAAGCTTATTCTAAGGACTCCTCCTTTTCATTTGTATCCTTTTTTTCCCCCCACTTGAGCTGCTCACATACAGCAGATGCCCATTATGTCAGACAATTACAATGCACTGCACATCAACCCACAGGCGCACAATACGAGAGAGTTCATTAGCATGTAGGGAGGATTTGAGTTGAGAAAGACATTACCTTGCAGGGTTGTGCGCAGGGCGACATAATATCCGTGAACATCCACCGTGTGTACGACAGCCAAGAGCCGACGGGGCAAACTCACCTTTGGTTTCGAGGCATTCCGACACTCCAGAGATTCAGTCTGCAAATGAGCGAGAGGAGGTTTACCCGAGCCGGTAAGATGAAGAATGTAGCACACACACACACACACACACTCCCATGGATCCAGCCGCCGCCGCCTCCCCCAGTTATCCCTCTTGCATGAGTGCATTCAATCACACGTACCCCAGTACCCACGCAATAGCCACTCTCGGGCTGAAGTGAAACACGTACTGCAACGTCTGTCACTCAGCCCACGGTACAGTAGGGCTGTTTCACTTTACTTTGAATACCTCATTGCGGTGCAAAGTTGTGTTTCTCCTGAGAGAATCTGATGTGTTTTCTAATTCCTGATTTCCTCCCTCACTTGAATCCTATGTGCCTTCATCATCTATTACCTTACTAACTTGACCACCACCAATAGCATGGTACTCGCTCTTTTCACTTCAGCAGTCCAGCCATTGGCACAAAGCGCTTCAAACGCCGGGCTAAACCAATCAGGTGGCCCGAGGGGAAAACCAGGATGCACTTTTCCCATTAATCTGAGGAGTGGATGAAGAGGAAAAGAAAAGGGATAGAAAAGTATATATATATATATATATATATATATTAGTGCTGTCAAACGATTAAAACATTTAATCATGATTAATCGCATTCATGTCAAAATCAATCACAATTAATCGCAAATTTGTATCTATTCTAAATGTCCCTTGATACCTTTTTTTCATTGTAATGCTCCTATCAACATGGAAAAGTGGATTGCTTGCTTTATGCAAATGTTTTATTGTTTTGGCCGTTAATCACACAAGTATGTGTGTGTATATATAAGACAATTGTGTTCATCCACAGTATTAATTGTGTGACCTGAGAGACAAAATGTTGCTGAAATGAAAAGGCCACAGGGTCAGCTTCCTCCCTCCATAAATCACCACATTATCAATAGTGTATTGGCAAATAGATTATTGATTACTGTGCAGGTGTAAACAGAGAAATATGCTGGCATGCTACACAGGTTGTTACCACTGTTATTTTCCATGAAATTCTATGACACGTACAATCCAGAAAACCACCAAGCTTTATTATTTACTGTAATATCCAGCATGATTTTATGTGATTGTGATGAATAAAAATATGTAAAAAATAGCATTTTGAGTTGCTACAGGTTTTGTTGAGTCATTATGCTTGATTAAAAAAAGGCTTTTAAAAAACACACACACAGCCCAAATGATCCTATGTACAATGTAAACAATAAGTCTTACACATTTCAAATCAAAGTTCATCAAAGATATTGGTTAAACAGACGAGTGGTCTGAGCAGCACTTCGACACGCTGTGCCTCTGAGCGGTGCCGGGGCGGCTTTGGATTAGTGGCATTCTGGGAACTGATGGGACTTGTGCTCTGTTGCGCGACAGCTGATGTCGAACTAATTAACACACTGCGGTTCAAAGTGGCTGATGGTATGACGTGCTGAGTGAATAAACTTTTAAGAGGATACGAAAGCAATTATGAAAAAAATTCCCGTCAACCGAATGGACCTGGAGGATGAATGACACGTCAATTACCAATCAATCACAACAAGTAAATTGCTTTTGCTTTCAGGAATGCAGTTTGTTGATCAACTGTGGTTCCAGTTTGCAATTAATTTGGCATGAGCAGAAGGTCATTTCGGCTTTCAAATTGCTGCTGACCTTCTCAAACGGGTATGGCCATTCGTTAATTCAGATTTATTGGTGTTTGGACCATCTCAATAATGCACCACTTGCTGCTTAAAGCTGTTGTGAAATATTCTGCTCAATGACTTTGTTTTGTTTACATTTACTTGCAATTTATTTCTTCTGGGAAATACTGTATGTATGATATGTGATATTAACAGCATATTGGCTTTGAATAATCATCCTGGCCAGATCCTAAAATATTTAATTATGAAGTAATTATTTTATTATAAATATAATAATGTATTAGCCACCTTGCAACATATAACCGATAACTTGTTCAAAGTGAGCAGCAACATATCAGATCATATGCTACTGTATCTTTTTGTTACAAAACATGAAATCTTTTACTAGCAGGATGTTACGCAGCTGTCATTTACTGCCCTCTACTGGAAGCTTTACACTCACCCTTTTCTTGCTTTTTCCAACACCCGTCACCTGAGTAAGTGAGGTAAGAGTAACCACAATTAACTAAACCTGATGTAATCTATCCGGTTTTGAACAATACATGAATAACTTGTTCATACACGTATAGAGACAAACAGACAAACGGCCACAGGAATAAACCAAAGACGCATGGCTGAGTCTTCCCATTGATGTCTGCCTGCAGGAAAATGAATGAGTTCTATTGGGAGGGGAACACGTCTCGGGTGTCCGCCAACAGACGAGAGGTCCGTTTACAGAAGAAATGCCACTTGCATGTACTCTAATGACGAGGGTGAGTCGCCTCGGCGGATCTTAACTGCAAAGATACCACAGGCTTGAGCGCTGTTAAATAATCCTATTTAATAACTTTATTAAACACGACACGCCGATTTCTTCCGTCTTGCGCGTCTACTCTTACATTTACGGTATGTTTCCAGTTCGTCGAGTCGTGACTACGGAAACCGCGAATTTCGCCTCGCAGCGAGAAAGCTTTTCAAAAATAGATGCTGTGTTATTAGTCGTAACACACATTTAAGAGATTTGGGATTTTATAGGCAACTGAAAACAACTTGCGCTTATTCAACACACAAACACTTGTGTACATTACGGTACAGAACTTGTGTTTACACGAGGCCTTACCAAAGTTTGGAGCAATATTAAGCCAATATGTCATGTTCCACAACCTCAAATATGCTGAATCTCGCCCTGTTTGAAGGAAGTGCGTACGACTTCCCCTAAACTTCTCACTACGGCTTATCCTCTTGCCTGAAACAGTTAAATTATACTGAGTCAATAAGTGAAACCGGAGTTTCCAGTTCCTCGTATCCGTATCTGCGCTGTGCATGTAGACTGCTGTGCTCACGGGCGGAAGAGACTGTGGGGCTGGACTGAAGAGCCTTTGTGAATCGTAATTTGTTAAAAGCTACCTCTGGTAAGACATATTAATTACATTAATGTTCTTGCTGTTGTGCTGGAAATGCAAAACATGTATGTGGGTCCAAGGCTCGTGCAGATTTGAATCTCTCTCTTGTCTTTAAAAGGTTTTTGAAACAATGCATGCCACACGCTCCCTCCTCTCCCTTGTGGTGATCATAACATGCGATTTGATGACGGAAAAGCACAATTGCCTGGCCTCCCAGAAGAAGACCTCTTGCAGCGTGCAAGATGGCAGAGCTGACTGCAGCCACCTCAGCCTCACCGCGGTGCCTCGTGACCTTCCCAAAGGCATCACCAGCCTGGATGTGTCTCACAACAGACTGAAGACCATCCCCCCCGCGTCACTCGCCCTGTACCCAGGCCTCCGCCACCTCAACGTCAGCTACAACAGTATCACCAGGCTGGAGCGGGGTCTGTGCCAGACGCTGCCTCTGCTGCAGACACTGAACATGGAGCACAATGTGGTGCACGTGCTGGAGATGGAGGACGTGAGCCACTGCACCAATTTAACACAATTGGTTATGGCTAGTAATAAGCTACAGCTTCATGGGGCGCCCTTCTCTGCGCTACAGGTATTGATAGACCGATGAGCGGGATCAGTAATTGCTACAGCTCATTCTCCTCACAGCGGTTTGATATGTTGCATTGAATTAAATGTCACCTCATTTTTGTCGTCATTCCGCTTGCATCATTCACAGAGCCTCAGAGTCCTTGATGTGTCCAAAAACAAACTGCAGTCAGCCAGCCTCGGCTCTCAGCCTCAGCTGCCCGGCCTTGTGAGCCTCAACCTGGCATTCAGTTACTTCACTACACTGAAGAAAGACGACTTCTCGTATCTTAGTCATTCGTCCTTCCTGCGGGTCCTCAACATATCATCCGTGCCGCTGAAAACGGTATGAAACTTACCCAGAAATGGGAAATGAAATGGTTTTGTTGGAAATGGAGCCAATTGGCTTTCAGTTATTGGTTTCGTTTCCCCTTTTTCTCACCGCAGGACCTCTGTGTTTTGTGTTTTTGTTGCAGTTGGAGCCTGGCTGCTTTAAGCCCATTTCTGGCCTACGTACTTTGATCATGGATGGAAGTCAAATGGGCACGAATGTTATTTCTAAACTCTGTTCGGAGTTGGCGGTGACGGCCATCGATGCCTTGTCTCTTCAGAAGACGAAGCTGATCACACTCCCGAAGGCAGCCTTTGCAGGGCTACAGAAGACAAACATAACCTTTCTGGATCTGTCCCGTAACACAATGGGCAAAATTGAAGGCGGTGCATTCAGCTCGCTGTCTAGACTTCAGACTCTAATCTTGTCGGACAACAACATCACACGCCTGAGCAATGACACATTTCAGGGGCTCAATAGTTTGAAAACACTCCAATTGACAAAAGCCCTGGTGAAAAGTCACCGCATCCCGATTATCGAGGATTTCTCCTTCCAACCACTGGGTGCCCTTGAGAGTTTGATACTGCAGAGAACTGTCGTTCATGAAATTACCGAGCACACATTTTCAGGCTTGACAAGTCTTCGGGAACTGGATTTGAGCTTCAGTAATTATACATCGCTCAAAATCATCACCAACAAGACGTTCGTCTCACTCGCGGGATCGCCTCTCACAAAGCTGAATCTGACATGGACGGCCATCGCAAAGATTGATCCTGGAAGCTTCTCCGTTTTGAGAAACCTCACCACCCTCGTTCTGGATTTCAACTTTATCAAGCAAGTTCTCACCGGCAGAGAGTTTGAAGGCCTGGACCAGGTCGAAGAGATTCACATGTCAGTTAACCACCAGACGGTCGGTCTGAGCTCCACGTCTTTCGTGAACGTGCCCAACCTGAGGATCCTGACTTTGGGGAGAAGTCTCACAGCCGAAGCGGTGAACGTGGATCCCTCTCCATTCAGTCCGCTGGCCAAACTCACGGTCCTGGATCTCAGCAACAACAACATCGCAAACATCCGTGTGAATATGCTGGAAGGGCTCGTGAACCTCAAAGTGCTGATGCTCCAACATAATAACTTAGCCCGTGTGTGGAAGAGCGGAAACCTAGGCGGTCCGGTGCTGTTTCTCAAAAGCGCAGAGAGGTTGACGACCTTACATATGGACAGTAACGGGCTGGATGAGATCCCGGCAGAGGCTCTCAGTGGGTTGGGCAACCTGCGTGAAATCAGCCTGGCCAACAACCTCCTTAACAATCTGCAGAACTCCATTTTTGACCATCTGAGCTCACTGCGGGTTTTAAATCTACAAAAGAACCTGCTCACAGCTGTGAGGCCACAGGTGTTCCAAGCTCCTTTGCGCAACCTTAGCCTGCTTCTCATGGACAGAAATCCATTTGACTGCACGTGTGAGAGCATGGTGTGGTTCGTGAAATGGTTGAACAGTACAAATGGGACAAGAGTGCCCGGTCTCAGGGACCAGTATCTGTGCAACACCCCGCTGGCTTACTTTAACCGCTCTGTCATGGTCTTCGACACCCTCTCCTGTAAAGATATGACCCCATTTCAGGCTCTTTACATACTGAGCAGCACTGTCGTCATCACCCTGATGGTATCTGCGCTTCTGGTGCGGTTCCAAGGCTGGAGGATCCAGTTCTACTGGAACATATTGATCAACCGCGCATTAGGATTCAGCGACGCCGAGGTTGAAGAGGGCAGGGAGTTTGAGTACGATGCTTACGTCATCCACGCGGAGAAAGACGCCAGCTGGGTGGAGAGGAGGATAGCCCCCCTAGAGAATGACATGTGCAGATTTTGTTTGGAGGATCGAGATTCGGTCCCCGGCATGTCAAAGCTCGAATCCATCGTGGACAACATGAGAAAGTCCAGAAAGATCTTGTTCGTCGTCACTGAGACTCTTCTCAGAGATCCCTGGTGTAGGAGGTAAATCTAACTTTGCTTAATTCGTGAAGAATTCTAGATTGTACATAAGTATAATTGAAATTTAGTCATTTAGAATTTAATGACGCGCAGTATTTTATTTGGTCTGGGTTGCAGATTGACTTCTCACAGTTGGCTCTCTGCTCTGCTTCCCTTGTCTCTCTCTCCTTCTCCAGATTTAAAGCCCATCATGCACTTCACCAGGTCATTGAAGCCAGCAGGGACTCTGTAGTTCTGGTCTTCCTGCAGGACGTCCACGACTTCAAGTTGTCTCGCTCCCTCTTCCTCCGTCGGGGCATGCTGCGTTCATGCTGCGTCCTGGACTGGCCCGTCCATAAGGAGAGGGTGCCGGCCTTTCACCAGAAGCTCCTCATAGCACTGGGCATGACAAATCGATTGCAAGAGTGATTGTGCTTCATTTGTAAGAATTAGAAATGAATTGTGTAATAATATTTATCTGTTTGATTAATTGCGACCGCTTGCAGCTTGTTTTGCCCTCTGAATATTGCACTCACCGTAGATATGCCCTCAGTTTTATGCATATAAATTGCACCTTAGAATCAACAAGAATGTAAGTGGTAATGAACGAAAGGAGGGGTTTGCCTGCAGACACAGCACAATTACTTATTTGCTTTCTGTGTTTATTTTTCTATATTTATTGTTATACTGTTCAAGTATTGTGAGTTATAAAAATCATCATATTGTCCAATTTTTCAAACAAATCTCAGTTGAACAGTTACATTTTGAAAATCCCTAATCAGCAATTTACAATATACACTTCTTAACATACTGCATCTAAAATAAAAACTTTCAAATTGTTATGTCTGTTTTTCGAACTCATCGAGTCTCAGGGTCGACACACGCAAGGACGCAAGGAGGTGTGAAAAGGCACGCAAGGGACACGCAAGGGGGTCTTAGGTCTGCGCCGCTCTGAAAACGCAGAAGCATAAACTAGGCTTCAGTGTTGTATTGAAGGGCACACACACACACACACACACAGTTCAGAATGGATTAAAGCAGTGATTCTCAACTGGTGGGTCGCGACCTGGGAAGGTCTGGGAAAATAAAAATTTGAATTAACAGCTGAGCATAAAGGCCTATATTCTTTCTTAAAATCGTCTCCACAATATCGGAAAGATAATTATGGAATGCTGAAATACAGCAAGTGAAAGTCTACATGAAAGAATGTGAACTCTCGCCAGGCAACCAAACGTCTGGACTCATACATATAAATAAACCCTTCATGCCCTCAGTGTCTGTTGAGATAGTGTCAGAGAGATAATAATTCTACAGGGCCATTAAAAGGCACCACAAACTACATGCCAACATACAATACACAGACAATACATAATAAAAAGTTAAAGGTTAGGTTAGGTTAAATAAAATAAAATCTTATGGGTGAGTTACTGTGTTAACAAAAAACAGTGTAAACTTTTGGCAACAAATGTTTTTTTTAAATATTAACTAAGAAATAATCATTTTGGATTAAAAAAACCTCAATCATTTATAATGTATTAACATATAAACTAATATTGATCCCAAAATGACCGTTGACGACCATGAATGAAGGTAAAAGGGTAAATAACATCTCCTTGGTTACGTATGTGTTTTTACAACAATAGAACATGTTTTAAAGCACATGGATACGCCTGTTATTCATTACCAGTCTAGTCTTGATCACAGTCAGTGAGATATCGTTAATAATTAAATTATTTATTACATAATCTCTACCAACATGTGCCCTCTTTATCTGTTCATTCAACCTTTTAGACTCATACTTTTCCACTTCCGGTCCCCCACGCGTTCGGGACACGCCCACGGGTTTTGATTGGGCGTTAACAGCAATCATTGTCCAGGTGGATGAACTTTGACCCAGTGAGCTGTAGGGAGGGTTGACTCAGAGGGAAGGCGCGGCTAAGGTTCCTCCTCACAGGTTGACACCTCAATACTGCCATTTAAAACACACACACACACACACACACACACAGACATACATACACTGGGCACACACACACACACGCGCCAACATGGCTGTGACGCTCGGCAGCTACTCCGTGTCTTTACTCGGAATAAGCGTTTTCATCGCCACGCTCACCTACCTGACGTACAGGCTGCTCAGCGACTACCTGCACCAGTGGTTCGTGATGAAGCCCATCCCGCAGCCGGCGGGGACGTATCCCTTCATCGGGAACGCGCACCAGTTCAAAACCAACGCAGGCGGTAAGACGTCCGCGAACGCGCCGCCGTCTGCAGCGCGACCCGGTACCTGTGATCCACCTTTGTGATCCAAAGATTACCTTTCGCCTCTTTTCTTTCTTGTAGATTTCTTTCGACAGATTGAGGATTTAACAGCAGAGTTCAGCGGCGAGCCGCTGTTCAAACTCTGGATCGGACCGGTGCCGTTTCTCATTCTGTTCCACGCGGAAACTGTCGAGGTACAGTGAGTGACAGGTGCACATTTTACAACTAAGGCGCCAACAGCGGGCGTGACTGCTTTAGTCACCGCGCCGTGTCCTGTAAACATGGAAGTATTCTACAACAAAAAAAGGTGTCTCTTCCCGCTGTCTGCGACGTGTGGAGCAACCAAAGTAAACCAAAGTGTTTGCGCAGACTTTGACATTGAACATTGACTAGTGAAGCAAGAGGTGAATTCAGAAGAACCGCCTCAGCTGACCTCAACCCTGGTCCCTCCGTACACATGGCCTACTTAGGATGTCACTGCACTTTTACACACTGGGCTGCAGAGCAGGGAAAGCACGAGGCACCAGGTTCACGCACGCATGCTTTACCTGTACCAACTTTGCTTTTTTGCAGGCAATTCTAACCAACACTGTCCACATGGAGAAATCATATTCGTACACCTTCCTCCACCCCTGGCTTGGAAAGGGCCTTCTAACAAGGTTTGTGGAGCTCATCTGATTATCCAATAATCCAAAGCTTGTCAGTGACCAGCAGAAAAGAGCAAATCATAGTGAAAACGTAGTACTGAAATCCAAGGAAATAAATATGAATGAAAATAATAACAGCCATAAATATGTGTCCTGTACTTCTGAATTTGTTCACATTGAAAAAATAGCGTTATAACATAAGAAGATTGTGTGTATACTTGCAGCCAGAAGGGGGCGCCATAGGATTAAATACGTCATTTTCGCATGATTCACAAGCAGAATAATTGGACTGAAGGTGGGGGAAAGGTTGAGGAGTCACCGCAATCAATACAAGCAATACAAGTTCCACCTGCAGGCAGCACAATTCATCTTTTTGCGATCATGAATTTCTACAACAACTTATTTTGTCCTTGAGATCATTTTGTCTTAGTTATTTAGTTAAAGGAAAAACTGAAATGTGTCGTGTAGATCTGTATGGAGCCAGTGGCGTAATGCACGTGTGTGAGGTGATGTTGTGACCGTCCCCCCTCCCCCCCCCCGTAAGACAGAGCATCTCTTACCAAAAGGTCAAGGGTCAAGTCAAACGGTCTCATCTGTGCTCCTCCCGTATTTAATTGTGAGAACGCGGGGCCCCGTCTCGGCCTCGAGTTCATCCGTGACGCCTTTCTGCTCCTGCTCAGCACCGGGAACAAGTGGCGTCAGCGGCGGAAGATGTTGACCCCCACCTTCCACTTCTCCATCCTGACGGACTTCTTGGACGTGATGAACGAGCAGGCGGCCATCCTGGTGGAGAAGCTGGAGAAGCAGGCGGGGAAGGGCCAATTCGACTGCTTCAGCCACATCACTCTGTGCGCGCTGGACATCATCTGCGGTCAGTGAGGACGACAGATGTTGTTGAGAAATGCCCGAAAAAAACGGGACGAAAAGATGTTCAACTAACAATGTTTCTTCAGAAACCGCAATGGGGAAGAAAATTTACGCCCAGAGTCACTCCGACTCGGAGTACGTTAAGAGCGTCTACAAGTGAGTTGTTTTCGATGTTAATCTCCACCACACGAGGAGATGGTAGAAGAGGGAACATTAACAGGATTGATAGCTCCATGTGTCGGTCTTCGTCCTTAGAATGAGCGACATCGTGAGCCGCAGGCAGAGGACGCCGTGGTTCTGGCCCGACTTCGTGTACAACTGCTTCGGCGAAGGCCGCGAGCACAACGACACGCTCAAGATCCTGCACTCCTTCACTCACAAAGAAAGTGGTGGCTCGGAAAAATCCGTCCCGTTTGAAAAAAGCAGCAGCAGGGTCCACATGCGGTTTCAACCTGCGTTTTCCTGCCCCAGGTGATACAAGAAAAAGCGGCGAGCGTTTCCGCCACGGGTTCGGACAGCGACTCCGAAGAGGGCGCCAAGAAAAGGCCGGCCTTCCTGGACATGCTGCTGAAGACCACGTATGACGACGGCAGCAGGATGAGCCACCAGGACATCCAGGAGGAAGTGGACACCTTCATGTTTAGGGTTGGTGCTGATGATCGAATACTGTCGGTGACGAAAACAACAGAGAATCCGCCTGAAATGATTGACTTAACGCGTTTGTTTCCCCTCCCCCGGCCCCCTGTGTTTGATGACCCTCATGGCAGGGACACGACACGACGGCGGCCTCCATGAACTGGGCCGTGCATCTGCTGGGCTCCCACCCGGAGGCGCACAGCAAAGTGCAACAAGAGCTCCAGGAGGTGTTCGGTAACGGCAGCGCGCCCTCTCCCGCCGCCCCGTCTTTAACTTTCGTGGCGCCATTTGTTTTTCCCGCCCGAAGGCCCCTCGACTCGTCTCGGGTCAGACGCGTTCCTATTGGGGGGATAATGGATGTGAAAGGGGCCTCGCCAAAAAACATAGAGAATAATTGAATCATTATTCACCGCCTGCCTCTTTCTTTCCATGACGTGAGCCAGGCGGCCGCGTGGTGACCGAATGTTTCTGCGTTCTCCGGTTGATGATCTGATCTTCCTCCTGAAGCAAAGGCGTGTTGGTTTTAACTGTGACCTTGTAGCTTGTTTTGCTTCGTCGGGCCTCACCGTTGAGCTTTCGGGCCTGTCGAAGCGCTTTGTGAACTTGGAGCTTTAAGAAGGTGCTATATAGATTAAGTTGGAAACGATTTGAGGCAAAGACACTCGACCCTTGCCACTTGAACAATGCAGTCGTATTAGTCTCTTATCGCCGGTAAAAGGCGGGGAAAGTAGGCTATAAGTCAAGAATATAAAAAGTAGGATAACAACTTGCTTACGTTCTGTTCTTTATCAGTACTTTGCACGTACGGGTTTAACAGCGTCTCCTGTTCTGCCTGCAAAGGTTCATCTGACCGGCCCGTTAACATGGAGGACCTGAAGAAGCTCAAGTACCTGGAGTGTGTGATCAAGGAGGCGCTGAGGCTGTTTCCCTCAGTGCCGTTCTTTGCCCGCAACATCGGAGAGGACTGCCACATCAGTGAGTTCCAGATGAGTGATGACACTGCAATGAAACATTCATCTGCGGAGTGCAAATCCCCAAAGGCAGTGCTATTTCCTTTATAAGAAGCCACGTCTGTGTTATTCGCACTGGAAAATGGGTTTCTTTGTCACACGGCATCCACTCTGAGGTTGTCAGAGCCGCCTCTCAGCCGGAGTTTCTAGCCAGAGTTCTTATTAAACAAGGGCCTGATCCCTTTTGTTGTTGTTGCAGATCTATTTGCACTTATATTATTAGCATTGTTCTGATCGGTCTATCCTGCAAATGGACATATGACAGCAGACGCCCCACCCCCTCCCACTTCATTTCACTTCGCTTTGCTATTAATTGTTTAAGCGACCAAGTAAAACCATAAATCTGAGAATGTGTTGACATGAGAGGTCACCAGCAGTCGGGCGCTTGCTCGCCGTTGGACCTTTTATTGTGGTGATTTCACCTTTTTTTTTGCAGCAAATAACATGTGAATAAAGTGACGATCAAACTAGAAAGATGAGACCAAATTGTGATGTACTATTTTAATTTCAGCCTTTAAAAAAAAAAGATAAATAAACGTCTCATCTGTCCGTCAGTATTTCTAATAAAATTAAGGCCGTATATTCATACATACGGTCAGCAATTACAATAATAAAGGTTTCCGTTGCAGATGGTTTCAAGGTGCCCAAAGGCACCAACGCCATCATCGTGACCTACGCCGTCCACCGGGACCCGCGGTACTTCCCCGAGCCCGAAGAGTTCAGGCCCGAGCGCTTCCTGCCGGAGAATTCTGTGGGAAGGCCTCCGTACGCGTACATCCCCTTCTCCGCCGGACTCCGCAACTGCATCGGTGAGAAAAGGTCAACCGGACCCGCCTCCATGTGCATCTCCCGGTCGCGTCTGTTCTCATTCTCGCCCCCCCCGCAGGTCAACGCTTTGCCCTCATGGAGGAGAAGGTGGTCTTGGCGGCCATTCTGCGGAACTTTAACATCGAGGCGTGTCAAAAGCGGGAAGAGCTCCGGCCGGTGGGGGAGCTCATCCTGCGACCGGAGAAAGGCATCTGGGTCAAACTGGAAAAGAGGAAAAGCCAGACTTAATCAAATCAGCACCTGCAGCCGCTCCGCTCCGCAAAAGCTTTTCGCTAATTTAATCATCCTTTTTGGAACTCTGTTTAAAAGCCCATCCTTTCAACTTCGAGTGGGTATGTAATGGCCTCTTATCGGGGGGGGGAGAGAGTGGCCGCTGGGTTTCATTTGAAAATCTTACCATCACGGTCTCTCTCCCGGTATCGGGATTCGACTGTTAGTTTTGGGGCAAACAGGTTTGTGATTTACTAATCTGGCTCAACAACTCTGCACTTGTGTGGTTGTGCCCAAGGAAGGTTGAAACGTAACTGTGGAAATGATATTTCGCTATAAGCGGCTAAGAAGTGACGATAAAAACGCTTAGCAGAGCACATGTGTATCACTTTAAGAAAAGTATCTGGTTGTTATGAAAGTTATTAGTGATTGAAAACATAATTTATCATCGATTTTCTAGGTTCCATGCATTTTAAGAATAAGGGTTACATACAGTGATCCACAGCTTTTACTCATTTGTTTTTTAATGAGTAAGTAATTTTTTTAATTTAAACAAAAACATGCTTGAAATGCATCTAAAGTTGTACTTGTTGAAAGAGCTCATGATGAAGGTGAGATTATACATATTTTGTGGTAATAAAAGCCTGAAGCTTTACTCTTAGTTGCCGCTCTGCATCACTAACAACTGAACGTTACATTTCAAACCCCGTGCTGCATTTCTTTCGTTGCATCACCTCATACGACATCTCATTTGCTCACTGGTGTGTTTGATGGGTCATCGACTTACTGCGGATGGGAAGGATGCGACGGACTCCCTCGGCGAGCAACACGCCTGGTTACCGCTTTGGTCTGGTGCTGATGCAGAAGTCCTTCACGACACGTCATGGAGTCCACATAGCAACCGTGTCCTGTAACAGAACCCACTCAAGCAGCAGCGCTGCCACACTTTAAGGGCCGAGGAGACTGAAACAGATTTCAATCAAGAGTGTAACTTTGAGGGACGGAACTTGTCAGACAACTCTTAACATTGTCAAATTTGGTCTTTAGTACATTTTAATGACTTTTTTTTAGATATAACTCCCCTCTGATGATATGACAATCCATTCAGGTTCATAGTTGCAATAAGCCGAGCTCTTTAGCCACCGAATCCCATTGAGGTCACAGGGATCCATTTGAACAAAGTGGTAATAATAGCATGACACACTTCCAAATGACCCCATCCGTAACGTCACCAGATGATTTAGCCGGCACGGCTGGGAGGGTTATTGCCGAAGACCAGAACAAGAGGTCCGATGATGAATTGAATGCTCTCTCTCCTGAAGTATTGAGCACATCTGTAATCAATGAGAGAGCCTGAGCTCTAACTGGAGAAGGAGTACATTTGTCTGAGGAATCGTAATAAACTGCTTGTGCTAAGAGAACGTTTGCTCACATTTAGTGTCTGCAGTGTGGTGGATTTCAAGAAAGTATGCAGATGGTTTTTGATTCGTAGAGCGTCAATTAAACAATGTTTGTAAAAATGACAGTGTTGATGGAGACAATTAATTACCTGTCATATTCTTTGAGTAAACATTTCCTGTGTTATATCACAGTTGGTTAGTGACTTTATCTACTGAAAGACAAACCCAGCAGACACACTTTGAAATCACAATACAAACATCATGAAAGACCTCAATCGGCCTTTAATGTCGGACGCACAGAAGCCCCTCGGGCTCTGTGATGAAATTGAATGGCACCGCTTGAAAGCACCAAATGATGACGGACTTTCGGAATTGAATTATTTGTTTGGAGTCATGAAGCACCTGCTCTGAGGACTCCGTACCGTCTTGGCGTTGAGGAGAAAAACAGCAGTAGATTAGAAAATGACCGTCATTATCCAGCTGATTCTTCTGTTCGGTGTAGTTCAAACGGATGTCCAGAGAGAGGCAGTGGTGGTGTGTGCGGTCATGAATGTGTGCAAGGAGAAGGCGCCTGTGTCGCGCACTGTCTTCTGTGTGTGTGTGTATGTGTGTGTGCAGAATGCCTGGCAGCCTCGTGTTGATGTGATTGACAGCTGTATTTAGCACGTGTACAGCCTGTGAGTCTCCGATATTCTGTGTTCTGACACTTGAATGACATAGGAAAGCAATGTGCTGGTTCATTAACACGCGTCCATTCTCAGCACAGCTGCAGCCCGGATGCACGGCGTTCACTGCTGGGGTCTCATTTGATCCCACAGGGATCAGAATCCATCGGGCACTGATTTACTTACTTACATCAGTGAAATACCACGAGAGACAAACTATGTAAGCAAAAAGAGACCCCCTCCTCCCACCTGCTGGCTGTCGTTTACAAAGATAAGTCTAGGATACACCCACACAGAATGAAATCCTGAGGCCTAATGTTCTCTCGGCCCACGACTCGCGCCGTGTTCGTGTAGGCGGAGCAGCTCAGCCCAATTTGCGCTGCAGCGTGAGAACAAATGGCCTCCGAAAAGCCTTCGAAATTAGTGATGCTTAAAACACCGGTAGAGTCACGGGGGCCAATCAATACCGGTTGGATAACGCATCCGAATGCAACGGCGCCATCAGATGTCGTGAGGTGTGAGTGGCTCCAGCAGCAGGGAGGGTGTCCGCCCTGCTGCTGCTGCTGCTGGAGAAACCACGCGGGGGGCCGTGCTGCTGACTGCATGTGCGGATGTGCATGACTTATTTCAAGCTCACTACAATTCGGATTTTCAGCTGACTCGGCGCAGATGGAAAATCATAGCTAAGGGTATTGCAGTCCTGCCAAATAATCCCCTAAATATTTCCTACTGCTCTTTTAAATACAAGAAAAGGAAGCATGAGTTCAAATTAGGCCATTTAATTCACTGTGTCCTCCAAATCGGGGCATAATTCAGTCTGTGCTTTTAAAGCTCAGTTTCATGTGACAACAAACACCCTATTCATGCAAGTCACAAACTGCGCCTTTAAAACAAGAGGCAAATCCCCTTCAATAAACGATTAAGATCAATTGAAGCTGCAGCTGCCTCGGCACACTGGAAGACGTCGCGGTATTTGCGTATACGTCTCTCTCCGCGATGTCTCGTGGACCTCGCTGGGACCCACAGAGCAACACCAACGTTGAGGAGGATACGACGTGACAGCATCCCTGGATCCCACTGAGCACCATGCTGGAGCTTCCCTGACACACAGCCATTGGTTTCTTTTAGTCACTCTCCCTCACACATGCCACATGCAAACACACACACACACACGCACACACACACACACACACACGCGCACACTCACACAGAGCGAAACCACCCACTCGTTTCCAGCCCCTGTCCCTTCTCCGCCAACCTCAATCCATTCTCCCATCAAGCAAATGCCCCTATTAGGGGCCCAACTGGAATGGGGGATCGTGTCGTCCCATACGTGACGAGGCAGGGGGGGGTGAAGGGGAAAGGGAGACACAAAGGATTAACATGAGAGACGGGAAACAAGGTAACAAGGCGGACTGAGCAGGAGTCTGAGGGGAGGAGAAATCGGAGACGACGAGGAGGAAAGCGATTGCACGAACCAGACGAATGTTGCGCCCCGTCAAAGGAAGGATCGCTCGGGGGGGGTCGAAACAAAACCCGTCCGTCCGCCGTCTTTACCGTCCCTGCAGAAACGCGTGCGAACCATTCAGCGTGCCACTTTGAGGCGGACAGGTGCGTGCTGCTGGAGGCGCCAAGGCCGCACATTCTCCCTTTGAAGTGCGCGAAAAACCTAATCTCACAGCTAAATTGTTTAAAATGTGAGTCATGGCACCAATTTCACTACAGTGGGGCTTACCGACTTAGAATGGAGCCACGGCTCAATATATCAGTGCTTAGTCAATGTTGACCCAGGAATAATACTCCTACAGTCCTTTCTCATTAAGCTGAGACTTTCTGGATGTTTCCTGTTAAGTTTCAATCATCAGTAGCCGCGGGTAAACAAAGTTGTAGAATTGGAGTCAAAACTGTTTTTTTTTAAGAAAACGAGAAACTTTTAATGAACAATTGTCCACCTGAATGTCAAGTCTCCAGATTATTATTCTCTCTTTTTTTTTAAGAATCTTCTTATGTAACCAGTAAGTAACCAACAGCGTGCGCTGTAAACCGAAGCACGACGCCATCACCAACACGACACATGAATTCAATGCTCAGAAATGATGTAAACAGAGAGCTGAAACAAAATGGTTTTAATATCCACAGAGATTAGAATAATATGGATGTCATGTTTTTTTTTCTAAAATGGCTAAAACTCACATTTTCAAAGCTTTTTGTTATCCGTTTTTACTTTTTTGATACTCAGAAGTTGTACATAACTTCATATGAAAGAGGATACGTTTTTAATTAATTAGTATAATATTCACATTTTATTTGAAATATGACAATAACTACTGTTGAGGTGTCAATTGAACATTGTCTATTCCTTTTACAGACATTAAAAAATTTGCTCTGCTACTTCCCCACATTTGGGACAAAATCTCAACACACAAGTTAAACATTATTGAGAAAAGAAGAAAGAAGAAGAGAAGAAATAAAAGATGGTCTCGATACCGAATGGACGGCGCTGCATCCAAAACATCCCTGGAATGGAGACCAGTGTGTGATTGACCATTTTGAAGACGGAGGCGTGTGATAAAAAAGGAGCACAATCATTAGTCGGGCCGGACGTGCACAAGAGAAGCAAAGTTAAAGCCCCGTCAAGGTTGAAGCAGGACTGAATCCGTAGCAGCTCCATATATGAAGAGCAAGTAACCAAGTAGAAAGTCCCCCTCCCTCCCCGTCCAACGCATTCTTGTCCAAAAGCTCAACATGTTCTCCAAAGATATTAGATATTAAATCTTAAGCTCCAGGGTCCCTCTAACCGGTCACTTTGTTATCCTGCCAATCAATTTGTTTTTCTTTAATCACAGAGATTGACAGAGAATAACTGCTTCTATATTAGATCGCCTTCATCCTCAATCCTGTCTGTTGAGCTGCCACAAAGTCTGGACCCAGTTGAGAAGAGGGCTCTTTATTTAAAACATAAATAATTCAATAATATAATGATATTACATCCCAAGTCCCTTAATCCGTTCCACTTCTCTTGTCTGTATTGGAAGGGATCAGCTGGATAGGTAAAACCTGCTCGTAACGGCGATGACGTGTGACGGGTGGAAACGGCCTCAGCAAAACAGCCAAAACTGCTATTTATTCTGGCAGCCGTGTTAGTCCAAATATTAACTGCGCATGAAGGGGAGGCAGATGTGCCCGGTTCATTTGGATTGACGCGCACTATTTGTTGCGTTCTAACCTTCCCCTACCTTACAAAACCAGGGTGACCTTAGCAGAAGCTACACATGACTACACATTAGAAAACGCAATCAATCTCTCCAGTGCTCCGATCGCACTCCCTTTAACGTACAGTTCATTAAACTGAAATATTTTGATTCAAAATCAACAAAAGAAGCGTTATTATTTTCACCGTATTACGGCAGTAGCGTTTATATTCTAAATTATATGCGAGAAAGCGAGTAAGCATGTCCCTAAAATGTCAAATCACTCCTTTAACAACCAGCATGTGGACAATCATATGTTGGTCTTGCACTTAAAAGGTGACTACATGATGGAGGCGTCTATCAAAGCAGCTCCTTTCTGCAAAAAATGGTTTAAAGAAAACAGCAAAAACGTAGCGGCTCCAACAACTGAAAACTCTTGTTTTGCATTAGAAATGTAGTAAAATGGACTTCATTCCCAGAAGGCTTTCCTACCTCAGGGGACAAAGCGCTTTACAATTTTTGCTTCTTATGCAAAGTGCAAAAAGGGATCCGGGAGCAACGATGGAGCGTGCACGAGCGCCATCTGGCACATTTGAAATAGCTGGCGGAGAAACCAAACACAAGTTTAGCTGCCAGTTATTTTATATAATTTCATGCTTCAAAATAGGACGCAATGTCAGAAAGAAACATGCCTGCGTTTATTCTGTCCACAATCCGGTACAATACACGGCGCGCGGTGCATATCTGATTTATCCAAATTCATTTTCCCACTAAAAGACCCAACGTGCTGATCGTTTCAACCCCCCGTCTCTCCCGCTCATCTCACCTGCAGTTCACCCCCCCCCCCCATTATTCTTTCCCTTGCTTCAAATGCGCCTGCATCATCCTGGATATTGTGTGTGAGCTTGTGAATTCACAGGGGGAGACAGACACAGGCGGAGAGGAGGCCAAGGCAAGCTGGTCGGCCATGTTTTTTCCCTTGATGCATGAAGCCGTCTGGAGGCGGGCCTACTTTTCGCGCTGTGTAAACAATAAACAATGAGCCGGAAGATGCCAAAATGCTGTGCAGAGCTGAGGAAAGACAACGGCGGTTTTAAGGTGCAAAAAACTCACACCGGCCATGGTTGAAAACAAAATTTGACCATTACTGTGAACACACACACAC